TTAACATTTATGGACGTTGGTCATCCTACTCCCTCTGGATCCTATGGGTTTGTTATTATTGGATTTCCTGCACTTGAACGGTTTGATTCTCTGATCTCTTCAACAACAACTGCTCTTGTGATTTAAGGTCCAAACAAAAATAAATATTACTTGCACTAGATTATACATTACTTTAAACAAGTATAGTTCTTATTCATTTATCTCGTCCTCCTCATTCCTACTGTCTGTAACGTGTGATGCAACACTGAAATGTCCTCACTGTGGGACAAATAAGGATCTCTAAATCTTAAATTGAATTGAAATAATCTTGGTCCAACACTTTTTTCTTTATCATATTAAACCTTTAGTAATCATTGATGAAAAACCACCCAGGTCTAAAGTGAAGTTCCACCAAACAGCAGAGTAATAATGTGCAGCCATATGAACTCCTCACCCTCATGCCTCTATCCCGTTCCACTCCGCTGCTCAAATATCATCTCCCTGTTGCCGGGGGCCGTCCATTTCTCACACGTCGTCATGACAATGCAACGCCACTTTTTCCTTCTTCCCCTTTACTCATTTGCGCGCTGCCACAGTCGCCTTGATGAATGGGAATGCAACGGCCACTGTGTCTCTGGGAACACTCCTATGCGCACATATCGGATCACTTTACATGCTAATTACCCAGAATCCCCCTGTGCAAACATGGCGGACGATATGCGGTTGTTATGGCGGAGAGCAAGAGGTCAACTGGGGTCTGAAAACGCCGCTCAAATTATTTCTCGTTTGACCCCTAGAGGCGGTAGTGGCATTTGCACAGACACACACAGGGCAAACATACAGCTATAGAATGGCTTAAATCTCAGACAGGAACAAAGCTGCTGTCCCCGGGGGAAGTAGGTAAAGAAACCTACATTCTTTATGTCAAGAGGGTCCAAAGAGAATCCCCAAAGGTCTAATCTGTCTCCAATGATTGTTTATCATATGTCTCTATTTTTAATAATTAATCCCCAAAAGAATCTATTTAAAAAAGACAGATAGCCCTTTTGGCGGCAAAGCAGTAGAATTGCTAAACGAGAAAACATTTTTTTTAAATTAACTGCAAAAAGAATCTACCCACAGGTACAAATAAAATCACCTTGAACCTGAACCTTGAGCACTTGAATTTAGGACACTTTGTACATAGCCCGACCTGACATGGAGTCCAAACAACACGCCTCCCTTCCCCACTGTTGTCCCAGGTCGAGAAATGAATAAAAACAGTATTCATAATAAAAGTAATTAGTAATAAAAGATGAATGGTCATTTTGATCAGGTAAACTTAAGTTTTTGCGAACAGTTGTAACTATCACGATGTGGACTTTTTGATTTTTTGAAAATAATCTGGAGAAGCTAAACAGGGACAAAAATGTATAAATCAGACATTCAAGGATATTTTCTTGAAATAAACATGGGAACTCCCAGGAGGAGGTATGTCTGGAGCTGGGAGAAATAAAGATCTCTCTAACTGTAATGTCTAAAGCCGTGTTCAGACCGCAAACGCTCAAACGCTGAAGCCCCTCTCGCCAGACGCGCATTCTCCAGTTTTCAGACGCACGGGTCTTCACACCAGAACATCCTGACCAGCGCCGGAAGTGCCAGAAGTAGCCGGCCGGCTCTGATGCTAACAGAGTTATGCTAGCGGCTTCTCGTGTAAAGATCTTCTCCTATATGCAGCTCTGCAGTGTCTCTGTGTAGAGCAGAGACGCAACGAATGATCCGGTCTGAACGCGGCTTTAGAACATCGCCATCCTGACGCAGCAGCAGGCCAAGATAGAGACGCTGCTGTATGAAGTCAACGAGCTAAAAAACCTTGTATCGGAAAAGAATAATATCATATGTCAACTAGAGGAAATAATTGACGACCTAGAACAGTACACGAATGGAAGAGGTTATTATCAGTGGAGTGGAAACTAAACATCGAAACTACGCTCGCGTAACGGCCTCTGGTACCAGCGGCGCTATGGTGGGGCAAGCTTCGCACCTGCAGACGAGCTACAAACACTGGAGCAACAGATTGGAGATTTTCTTGCAGCTAAAAGCATTAAAGGCCCTGGTCTGACCGGGATTCAAAACCAGGAGCTTCTTGCTGAGAGGCGAGAGTGCTATCCACTCAGCCACCGTGCCGCCCAGAATGGAGAAATAGCCAGGGAAGCACGGAGTTTGTGGAAGCAAAAGAAGATACAAGAAACATGGACCAGAAACGGCCCTGTACTGATTCGACTAACTGGGACATCAGAAGAGGCAAGAGTGATTACGGAAAGGGATTTTAAAGACTTGGAGCAATTCAAGTCAGTTCATCGCTCTTGATTAGACTTTACCTAAAGGATGACTTATCTGATCCAAAAGACATGTCTTATTTCATGTTTTTTTTTGTTCACGTCGTATGATTATTATGGACTATATTTGTGGAAACTCTCCTTCAGTTTGTTCAATTATATACATTATTTGTTTAGTCAAAATAAAATGGCCGTTACAACAGGATATTTAAGAGATGAGACAGATGTTGATGATGATACAAATGGATTCTACAATAGTTTCAATGAATCAAATATAGATTATAGTAAATATGATATTAAAAGAGATATTAATATATTGTGCAGCACTTTGGAAATTGTGTTTATGAAATGTGCGATATAAATAAACTGGATTGGATTGAATACATCCCCAAAATCCCGCAGTGTGCACAGGACAAGCACATAAATAAATGTACAGAATTACAACAAACAAAACATCATTTACAGCTGTTTAGGAAGCATTTAAAGCTACTTTTCTCAGTATATTCTGTGTGCTCCTGTATGTGTGCTGCAACACTGATATTTCCCCAATGTGGGACATGATCGCGGTATTGAATTCTGATGATTCCACTGTTTTTTTTTGCAGAAACTGAGACCAAAGAAGGAGCATCAGATTCAGATTTGGTTTATTTTTCATTTGCAGTTAAAAACAATAGTTGTATTATTGTATAGTTGCTTCATCCAACCCCTTTTCAAACCTGTGTAATTGTAAATAACTGACTAACTCGTTTTTTTACATGAATATTCCAATGCGGGCACGTTTTGGACTCCGTTTTTATGTTGATTGGATTGCTTTGACGTTTGCTGAGACTCAAACACGTCTCTGCTTCATGGAGCGAGACCGTGATCCGTCCGGACACATGTGGGTCCCGCTCGTATCAGCGGCGTTTTCCAGCCTATTTCACCAAAGCCTCAGAGAGCAGAGCAGAGAGAAAATCCACGCTACGGGAACTCGATTGAAGAAGATGAGGTTTCTCTACAAAAATCATTAATAATTCAAGCAGAGTCACTCCATGAGCCGGGCACAAACAACACAACAAGCTCCCGACACTGCCCTATGGAAACACTGCAGGGGCTTCAGTCAGAATTGGCTTCAACTTTAAAATGAATTGTAATGCATCGCTTTTATACATAGCACTTTTTGGACACTCAAAATCGCTTCACATGTCATTATTCAATCACTACAACCACTACTGTACATGGTGGTGATAAGTTACTCCAGCCACAGCTGCCCTGGGGCACACTGACAGAAGCGAGGCAACCAGTCTGTGCCATCAGCCCCTCCCACCACCGCCAGCCATTCACTCACACACCAGACTCATTCTAATGTGGGTCAAGCGTCTTGCCTAAGGACACATCGACAGTTTAGCATTTTACAGCCGCCCCACTGGGTCACCTGGTGTTGCCAGAGGTCTCCCATCACAGTACTAACCAGGTCATGCCCTCCTTAGCTTCTGAGGTCTGACGAGATCTGGCTTTCACACTCTGAGCAACACTTTTGAGAATATTTTGAATGGCCTGAAATAGGATTTGTCAGTGGAACGTGCATGAAATGTTGTAGTACTTGAGAAAAAAAATCTTGTAGTTCTATTTAAGGTCTGAGGTTCAAATAATTAAATCAGTTAAATCATAACTAATGGATTATTGAAATAGTTCTGACTCATTTGGTCATTGATTACTGAGCCTTGTTTTATTGCACCATCCTGACATATTTCTCTCTGGTCTCTTCTCTGCTCTCTCTGGTTTCTCATCTCTCTCTGGTCCCTCTCTCTTTCTCTGGTATCTCTTTGGTCCCTCTCTCTGGCCTCTCTCTCTCCCTGGTCTCTCTCTATATGGTTTTTCCCTGGTCCCTCTCTCTCTGGTATCTCTCTTTGGTTTCTCCCTGGTCCCTCTCCCTCTTTCTGGTATCTCTCTCTGGTCTCTCTCTGGCCTCTCTCTCTCCCTGGTACCTCTCTGTCTCTCTGGTTTTTCCCTGGTCCCTCTCTCTCTCTCTCTGGTATCTCTCTCTGTGATCTCTCTCTGGTCTCTCTCTGGCCTCTCTCTCTCCCTGGTCCCTCTCTCTCTTTGGTTTCTCTCTGGTTTCTCCCTGGTCCCTCTCTCTGGTTTCACTCTGGTCCCTCTCTCTCTCTGGTATATCTCTTTGTGATCTTTCTCTGGTCTCTCTCTGTGATCTCTCTGGCTTCTCTATCTCTCTGGTCTCTCTCTCCCTGGTCTCTCTCTATATGGTTTTTCCCTGGTCCCTCTCTCTCTGGTATCTCTCTTTGGTTTCTCCCTGGTCCCTCGCCCTCTTTCTGGTATCTCTCTCTGGTATCTCTCTCTGGCCTCTCTCTCTCTGGTTTCTCCCTGGTCCCCCTCTCTCTCTGGTCTCTCTCATCTCCCTCTCAGGCCTGCATTCAGGACGTTCACAGATATCGGGAGGAACAAGTTCTTAAACCGGTTGAGGTATCTTTTCTGTCTAATATCAGTCTCCTAAAAATATCTGCTGCAAAAATGAATGCTTCCTAACTCCCATAACTTACACCACACTGGCCCTTTAAGTCTCAAACAGGTAAACCAGAACCAAACCGAAGCCTAAACTAAAGATACAGCCAAAGCAAGCAGTTACATTAATCTACTACAGTCTGAGAAGTTTCCATTTTAACTTCTGCCATATTGGTCCTTCATAACGCATTCGAATGTACTCACAGTCTCTCGGTTCCCTTGGGGAGGTTTTTGGGTACCGCTTTGATCCCCAGGCCGTGACAGTCCACCACGGTCCCCAGGCAAGTGCAGTGTGTGGGGCATGCCTTCGTCGAGCACCCCCCCTGTCCGACCACCAGAGCCAGAAGAAGCATCACCGAGAGCCCCCCATCTCCGACTCGCCTCATCCTGGAGCTGTGTCCCAAAAAAAAAATTACAAAAATCAATAACTCTTCAAGCTTTCTCAAGTGTAAAAATCTCAAATCCTGCTCCCAAAATGAGCAAAAACTTTAAATTGTTTGTTCAAGTTCATGCAGAAGCTGGTACTTTTGGTGTAGATTTTTTGTGCAGAGGAATACGGAGCTGTAAGATCCAAGTTTTGGGTCCGCGGTGGCGAGAGAGGAGTGTGGCGTGGGGAGCTTGTCCCAGCATTGTGCAGTGAAGAGGGAGAAGGGCTGGTAGTATATGGGGAGTGGGAAGGGGAGGGGGATCTGTCTCTCTACACACACACACACACATAATAGAATCGAGTGGTCCATCCACTGCCATCAAAAGCAAATAACAGAGAGATTCAAGCTCCGCCCGTACACACACACACACACACACACACACACACACACACACACACACACACACACACACACACACACACACACACACACACACACACACACACACACACACACACGCTTACTGGGTTCTTGTGCCATGTGGGGACGTTTGGATTGTGCTTATTTACTGCACACTGATGCAAAGCTGAATACTTTAAATACGAAGAACGTTCTGTCACGTTTACAATCAGAGACAAAATTTACAAGATTTTTAAGTAACAGCCAAATGTGAAGTGAAGGTGGAAGTGGAAGTTTATTTTTCTAAACTTAAAAGTGGGGATTGTATAAGTATAACTACTACCACTAAGTAAGTGCAGCTTCACATGTCAATAGAAAACTAAATAATAATGAATAAATAAAAACAGTGTAAATACATACAAGTATTCATACAATATTAAATTTACAGTTTGTGAAATTTCCTTTTGCTCCTTTTGGGATATGACTGTGAAAAGTTTTGCACATCTCAAGACTTAAATGTTTTCCCATTCCTCTTTACAAAACAACTAGAGTTCTATCAGATTGAATGGAGAGCGTTTATGGACAGAAGTCTCAAGATCTTTCCACAGTTTCTCAATTTGATTTAGTTAAACTTACATGTAGCTTTGGCCATTCCACTGTTGCTCTGGCTTTATACCAATTACAACATCTAAAGATTCACTTGGACTGATTGTATTATGTCTTTTATTGAATAATAGTAATAAATTATATAAGTGAGTAAGTAATCTATATTTATCTAGAGCCTTTCACAGACCTCAAAAGTCACAAAGCTGTAACCTGTTGTGGGCATTTGTCTTTCCCTCCACACAGAGATGGGAGCGGGGTCACTGTATTTATCGCATGTCAGACCAATTGTACATGTTTTCAGTGGTAGGGAAACCAGAGCACCTGGAGGAAACCTGTGCAGACACGGGGAGAATGTCATGGTGTGGATTTTATTTTTGTATTCGGTTTTATTTTGACAGTTGCTTCATGCCCTGTTCCCTGTTGATTGTCTGCCCCGCCCTGATGTGTTTCACCTGTGTCTGTGTGTGTCTATATGTACCCTGTGCTTCTCTCCCCTTGTTGCTGGTTCATTGTCTTGTTCTTGTCTTGTTCATGTCCTGTTCTGGTTTCTTTGGATTTTCGAGTTTATTTTTCTGCCTTGGACTTTGTTTTATTAAAACCTTTATTTTTGCATTCCTGCGTTTGAGTCCTCCATCTCTCATCACGTGACAGAGAACATACAAACCCCACACAGAAAGGTCTGGACGTGAAATAGGGCTGCACGATATTGGAAAGTAGAGCGATTTTCGATATGAGTGTTTAGTATTGCGAGAACAATATTATTGCAATATTTTTGTCTTTCACCTAAAATTGAAATCTGCATTAAAACGCAAGAGACAAATAACAAAAACATGAATGACATTCAAATGCATATATTTATATACTTTTTTGTGTGTTGTATTGGTTGAATGTTGATGTGTCTGTCTGTTTTGTTGTATTTTTTATATAGATCTTACGCACAAATATCACGATAACGATATTTTTTTGATATATTGTGCAGCCCTATCGTGAAAACTAACCCAGGACCTTCTTGCTGAGGCTCAAACGCTAACCACTGCGCCACAGTTTATTTGACTGCTGTGTTTACCAGACGTGTTTGTGTTGGATGAGACGGATCATTAACAGGGGGTTTACTAAAACAATCAGGCAGCGGCACTTCTAATGTAACTCATTATAACAGACTGTGGGGAAACGTCATCATGCTCAGTGTGTTTCCCACATGAACTGTGTGAAAGACGCTACAGAAGACTCTCCCTCGTCCTCCTCCTGCTCCTCCTGCTCCTCCTGCTCCCCCAAGCATTCTGTCTCTCCTCCACAGTATTTAACAATGTGAATCCACAACCATGTAATATTACAGTAAGAAGATATAACCTAAACTGCAGTTGTGAGCTCTCAGCAGCAGATTGCTTATAGATAGATAGATAGATAGATAGATAGATAGATAGATAGATAGAGATATACACGATTAGGAAACGTGTTACAACATTGTACTGGTGGATGCTACATCTCTGCAGACTCCAGCAGGTTTTAAGGTTTTGACCCTGGCTTTCTGTTTGTCACTCCTCCATGTGTGTAGTGTATGATAATATTTGCCCCATGTGCAGATTCCCCCTGGTGAGCCATGGCTCTCTGCAGCTCCTCCAGAGTAACCATTGGCCTTGTTACTGCATCATTTTTCTGTCCAATATCGGCTGTAAGGAGGAAGGTTGCCATCTTGCACTAAGGTAAAGATAACCAACTTTCTATGACCCATTTTCAAGGTGCCCTTGGCTGGTCATGGTTCAGAGCTGTGTCAGCGCCTTGGTTTTCCTCCAGGGAAGAGCAAGTGCTAGTAGGGCGACACGGTGGCTGAGTGGATAGCACTCTCGCTTCTCAGCAAGAAGGTCTTGGGTTCAAATCCCGGTCGGAACAGGGCCTTCCTGAGTGGAGTTTGCATGTTCTCCTCGTGTCTGCGTAGGTTTCTTCTGGGTGCTCCGGTTTCCCCTACCACTAAAAACATAGGTATGAATGTAAATGAGAGAGTGAATGGATGGTGTTGGTTGGAGCTGATGGTCCAGTGTGTTCTGGACTCGCTTCTGTCATCACCGTGTGTGGAATGATTGGAACAATATCTGACTCTGAACATTGTAAAGCGCTTTGGGTGACCTTGGTCTGTAAAATGTGCTATATAAATAAACATTACTTACTAGTTAGTTACCATAGCAACACACTGTTGTTGTTTGCCAGCATTTAGCAACAAAATGTTTTTTTCTGTTTTGCTGAGCCGTTTATAGCAGTAAGAAAACGTTAATAACAACCAACAAAAAACAATTTATGAATAACTTGTTTAAACTTCTCCCCCCTGGACTGCCACCTTAACGTGGTGGGGGAGTTTGAGTACTCTGATGATCCTGGGAGCTATGCTGTCTGGGGCTTCATGCCCCTGGTAGGGTCTCCCATGGCAGACAGGTCTCAGGTGACGAGTCAGACAAAGAGCAGTCCAGAAGACACCATGGACAGCACAAATATAACAGCAGTGACGTCGCCCGGCATGGCGCAGCCGGGGCCCCACCCTGGAGCCAGGCCTGGGGTCGGGGCTTGTATGCGAGCGCCTGGTGGCCGGGCCTTAGCCCACGGGGCCCGGCCGGGCTCAGCCCGAATGGACGACGTGGGCAGTCCCTCCTGTGGGCCCACCACCCGCAGAGGGGTCCGTGGTGTCGCGGTGCTGAGAGGACTGGGCAGCGGTCAAAGGCGGAGACCTCGGCGACCCAGTCCGCACACACAACATCTGGCTCTTGGGGACGTGGAACGTCACCTCACTGGGGGGGAAGGAGCCCGAGCTTGTGGGGGAGGTTGAGCGATACCGACTAGAGATAGTCGGCCTCACCTCCACACACAGCTTGGGCTCTGGAACCCAACTCCTTGAGAGGGGTTGGACGCTCCACTTTTCTGGAGTTCCCCGCGGGGAGAGGCGGCGAGCTGGGGTGGCCATTCTCATTGCCCCCCATCTCAGCTGCCACGTGTTGGAGTTCTCCCCGGTGAATGAGAGGGTCGCGTCCCTCCGCCTCCGGGTGGGGGACAAGTCTCTCATTGTTGTGACGGCCTACGGGCCTAACAGCAGTGCAGAGTACCCGGCCTTCTTGGAGTCCTTGGGAGGTGTACTGGACGGTGCACCGCCCGGGGACTCCGTTATTCTCCTGGGGGACTTCAACGCCCATGTGGGAAACGCCAGTGACACTTGGAGAGGGGTGATCGGGAAGAGCGGCCCCCCTGATCTGAATCCGAGCGGTGTTCAGTTGTTGGACTTCTGTGCCAGTCACAGTTTGTCCATCACGAACACCATGTTCGAGCACAAGGGTGTCCACCAGTGCACGTGGCACCAGGACACCCTAGGCCGGAGGTCGATGATCGACTTTGTTGTCGTATCATCTGACCTTCGACCGCGTGTCTCGGACACTCGGGTAAAGAGAGGGGCGGAGCTGTCAACCGATCATCACCTGGTCGTGAGTTGGATCCGCTGGCAGGGGAAGAAGCCGGTCAGACCTGGCAGACCCAATCGTATAGTGAGGGTCTGCTGGGAACGTCTCGCTGAGCCCCCTGTCAGACGGACTTTCAACTCACACCTCCGGGAGAGTTTCTCCCAGGTCCCGGTGGAGGAGGGGGACATGGAGTCCGAGTGGACCATGTTCTCTGCCTCAATCGCCGATGCGGCGGCTCGTAGCTGTGGTCGCAAGGTCTCTGGTGCTGGTCCCGGCGGTAACCCCCGAACCCGGTGGTGGACACCGGCAGTAAGGGATGCTGTCAGGCTGAAGAAGGAGTCCTATCGAGCCATGATGGTTCGGGGGACTCCTGAGGCAGCTGTCCAGTACCGGCAGGCCAAGCGTGCCGCGGCCTGGGCTGTTGCAGAGGCAAAAACCCGGGACTGGGAGGAGTTCGGAGAGTCCATGGAGCATGACTATCGGTCGGCCTCAAAGAGATTCTGGCAAACCGTCCAGAGAGACGCAGAGAGAGAGAGACACAGACAGACAAGAGAGAGAGAGAGACGCAGAGAGAGAAGAGACACAGACCAGACAGAGAGAGAAGAAGACACAGACGAGACCACGAGAGAGAGGAGAGAGAGACGCCAAGGAGAGAGAGACAACCAGAGAGAACAGAAGGACCAGAGAGAAGAGATCTAGATATATTTTTGCGGGAAAACACCTTTTGGACCGACAACACTTGTAATAATCAAATCACCTTTTTTATTGTCCGTGTGACTTTAACGACCCAAACTAACACCTTATATTGTGTAAAAAATAAAACAATGGTGAAAAGTGTGACAAATACGTCCCATACGGCCGATGGTCAAATCTCGGATCCCAGGAGGAGCAGTGTGGTTTTCGTCCCGGTCGCGGAACACTGGACCAGCTCTATACTCTACATCGGATACTCGAGGGTTCATGGGAGTTTGCTCAACCTATCCACATGTGCTTTGTGGATTTGGAGAAGGCGTTCGACTGTGTTCCCCGGGGTGTCCTTTGGGGGATTCTCCGGGAGTACGGGGTCGGGGGGTCCTCTGCTGAGGGCCATCCGATCCCTGTATGACCGGAGCCAGAGCTGTGTTCGCATTGCCGGCAGTAAGTCAGACCTGTTCCCGGTGAATGTTGGCCTCCGACAGGACTGCCCTTTGTCACCGGTTCTGTTCACTGTATTTATGGACAGAATATCTAGGCGCAGCCAGGGGTCGGAGGGGTCCGGTTCGGGGACCACAGGATTTCATCTCTGCTGTTTGCGGACGATGTTGTCCTGTTGGCTCCAACGAACCAGGACCTGCAGCATGCACTGGGACGGTTTGCAGCCGAGTGTGAAGCGGCTGGGATGAGAATCAGCACCTCCAAATCCGAGGCCATGGTGCTCGACCGGAAAAAGGTGCCCTGCCCTCTTCAGGTGGGTGGAGAGGTCCTTCCTCAAGTGGAGGAGTTCAAGTATCTCGGGGTCTTATTCACGAGTGAGGGAAGAATGGAGCGTGAGATTGACAGGCGGATCGGTGCAGCGTGCGCAGTGATGCGGTCGCTGTATCGGACCGTTGTGGTAAAGAGGGAGCTGAGCCGAAAGGCAAAGCTCTCGATTTACCGGTCAATCTTCGTTCCCTCCCTCACCTACGGTCATGAGCTTTGGGTAATGACCGAAAGAACGAGATCGCGGATACAAGCGGTCGAAATGAGCTTCCTCCGCAGAGTGCCTGGGCGCTCCCTTTGAGATAGGGTGAGGAGCTCAGTCACACGGGAGGAGCTCGGAGTAGAGCCGCTGCTTCTCCACGTCGAGAGGAACCAGTTGAGGTGGCTCGGGCATCTGTTCCGGATGCCTCCTGGACGCCTCCCTGGGGAGGTGTTCCGGGCACGTCCCACCGGGAGGAGGCCCCGCGGAAGACCTAGGACACGCTGGAGGGACTATGTCTCTCAGCTGGCCTGGGAGCTGGAGGAAGTGTGTGTGGATAGGGAAGTCTGGGCGACTGCTGCCCCCGCGACCCGGCAACGGATAAAGCGGAAGAAAATGGATGGATGGATGGATTGTTTAAACTTTTTAATAAATCTGGTTCAATTATTTTGAAGGGGAGCAGTCACCTCTCTGAGTTCTAGTTGTTTCTCAGTCTCAGCCAATTTGACAGCTTTTGGTTTGGAAGCAAAATAGCAGTAATAACTTCATAACTGTGACTTTTTCTGTTCCTGTATGTGGTTTATTTCTATGTAATTAAAAAAATAAATAATTATCTTTTAATTGTGAAATGTGGTTTTAAATAAAGTTAGCATTTGGTTAACATTAGCCTTTCAACAAACTGTATTCAGAGTTTTGAGCACTTAGTAAAAGTGAATAAAGGTGTAAATAACAACATATACATTATAGTAGTCTCGTAATTCTGGGAGTCCTAGTGTTAATACATTAAACACGTGAATAATTAAAGTTTCATAGGATTTGAGGGGAGCTGGATGCTGCTGTAGTGACCTCTGGTGGTCCACCCTGAGTTGGGCCACTTGGTCCTCTGTTGTCTGGGATAGAAGCAAATTCGTTTTTTGATGTGTTTTAACTAATACTGCAGCTACAGAGACAGCGAAGAGGGCAGTACTCACACAGAGAGGGTCAAGGGTGAGGAGGCACCTGGCCGCGGGGGACGGGCCTCCATCACTGAGACCAGAGACCCCAGAGACCTTCAGTAACACAGTTCATCCACGCCACGAACTAACAAGACTAAACTTTACACACGAGGGCGGTGTCACAGGAAATACTGTCCCAGGAAACAGGTTTATCACCAGATATATTCAAGTGTTAAATATGGCCTGCGTCTAAACTAATAGAAATTACTTACGTACTACTGTATTGTTTTTTATATAAGGTAAAGGGGGCAGCCTCAAATAGTTAAAGTGGGAAGAAAAATTAAGTGCTTGAATTAATAATAGATATGATTGTTCGCTTCAAGGGGGGTAATAATAAACCAGTCATTTATGTTTACTCTTTGTATAGAACCATTTTGTTACCCTTCTAAAATAGATGATTTTAGACACATTTGATTTGTTGACCCATCATTTACAGTAATTTTTAGATTTAATATGGTAATTATGGTCAGTGTGCCCAAGGTATTGTGTATGTGTATGGAATGAATTAATAGTAAATATAAAGTGAGGCTTCTTTGAGAATAGCAGGTTATAAAACCGATGCGTTATTATTATTTAAACCAACAGGGAGTGCTTACATGAGTGAGTGATTGGTGGTAAGAGCACATCATCAGTCTGCCCCAGGGCAGCTGTGGGAGAAGTTCAAACTTGAGCAATGTTGTACTGTCCTTGTTCCTGCAGTAGAGGGCGCTGCAGACCTGAGGGTCCTGTATGGATGATCAGCCCTCCCTCCTCTCTCTCTCCTCCGGACTCTGTGTCCTGACACTCCGCTGCAGCAGCTACAGTTACATTCACCCTGAGCTCTGACATCATCATCATCATCCTCATCCTCAGCAGCAGCAGCAGCAGCAGCAGCATCCCTCTGCGCACACAGGGCAGAACATGGACGTGGACCGGGCCGGTGGTACGGGACCCTGAGCACCATGAAACCCGCTGCTCTGCTGCTGTGCGCGTGCAGCCTCCTCCCGGTGGCGCGCGCGCTGCTGGGCTTCAGGCCCGAGGCCACGGGAGCAGAGCTGTCGGTGGAAGACGGAGTGCTGGTGTCCGCGGAGGGCAGCCGCTTCTTGCTGCGTGTTTACTTCTCACTGCCTCCGTCCGGGGCGGCAGCGCGGAACCGCAGCACGGCGCCATGGATCGCGTTTATAGAAGAAACTGCTCCGGGACGCGAGCGTCAAGCGCACCCAAAGCGGAACCTGTGCGTCGACCGTGCGGCGCGGACGTCAGACATCGAGGTTCTGGGCTCGTTCCGCTCCGCGTCCAGCCATAACTCTGTGCTGGTGGAGCTGTGGGCCAAGGAGCTGCGCCGCGGGGAGCACGTCAAGTACTACTCCACGTGCGCCTTCGACGGCGCGCGCTGGGAGCACTATCGCACGCGGGACTTCATGGTGGCGGTGCGGGAGCGGTCCTCTCGGCCCGGACTGTGGCTGCAGCTGCTGGTGACCGCTCTGCTGCTGGCTCTGTCCGCGCTCTTCAGCGGCCTGAACCTGTCGCTGCTGGCGCTGGACCCTGTGGAGCTGCAGGTGCTGCAGAACAGCGGCACGAGCGCGGAGCAGAGCTACGCGCGCCAGATAGAGTCTGTGCGTCGCCATGGTAACTACGTGCTCTGCACGTTGCTGCTCGGTAACGCCGTGATCAACGCCGCGCTGGCCGTGTGCACGTGCCAGATCCTCGGCATGACGTGGATGTCCACGCTGCTCTGCGCCTTCGCGATCTTCTTCGTGGGAGAAATCCTGCCACAGTCCGTGGCCTCGCGCCACGGTCTCGCCATCGCCTCCAAAACCATCTGGGTCACGCGCCTGCTCATGGTGCTGTCCTTCCCCATCTCGTACCCCATCAGCAAGCTGCTGGACCTGGTGCTGAACCAGGAGATCTCCAACTTCTACACGCGGGAGAAGCTGCTGGAGATGCTCCGTGTGACGGACCCGTACCACGACCTGGTGAAGGAGGAGCTGAACATCATCCAAGGCGCTCTGGAGCTGCGCACGAAGACCGTGGAGGACGTGCTGACGCCGCTGCAGGACTGCTTCATGCTGAGCCTGGACGCACTGCTGGACTTCAGTACCATGTCTGATATCATGCAGAGCGGATACACGCGCATCCCCGTGTACGAGAACGCGCTCTCCAACATCGTGGACATCCTGTTTGTCAAAGACCTGGCCTTCGTGGATCCGGACGACTGCACCCCGCTCAAAACCATCACGCAGTTCTACAAACACCCGCTACACTGCGTCTTCCACGACACCAAGCTGGACGCCATGCTGGAGGAGTTCAAGAAAGGTCAGAGGTCACACACACTTCCGGAGTTCAATCATTTAGAGTCAGTGGCTTCATGTTGCACTTTGTGTTTACAATCACAAACATACAGATTATGAATACACAACAGTAAATAACAGACAACTGTGAAGTGAAAAGTGATGAGTGTGGCTTTTTTCACAAGTTAGTGCACCTTTGTCTTTATTAAACTGATCCAGAGTTTTATCTCAGTATGAATACTGCTTCTGTGATTCCTCAGAGCTTCCTCAGGTCAGGAATGAAGATGTGGAGAGGCTTAAAGCAGAGTTATGGTAAAGATGTTTGAAGCTTTGAACCTCCCACAGAGCACAGTTCAATTCAACTATAGGAGAATAAGTACCTGAGTCAACCCGTCTACACAAACCTGGACTTTAGGGACGGGTGGTGAAGAAGAAAGCCATTGTTGACGGAAAGCCATAATGAAATCAGATTTTTCAGTTTGCCATAAGTCATGCAGGTCGACACGGCTAACATGTGGAAGAAGAGATGTAAATGTAACTCTCCTGCCCAAATGCAAAACATGTGTGGTGGAAACTAGAAACTGCACATTCTCAATACACGCTGTGTCAAATATGGAGGGGGCAGCATCCTGTTCTGGGAGTGCTTTTCTTCAGCAGGGACGACGAGCCAAATACTAATTATGGAACAAACTGGCTGCCGTCAGAAAAACGCTTGAGGTTTGGAAATGCCGTCTACTAATCATAAAACCAGAGACGTGATTGCAGCAAGAGAGGAATCTATAAATGAAATGTTGTATGAATCAGGCTGTGTGTTTATTTGTATAACACATTCATACACAAGGCAACTCAATGTGATGAACAAAACTAGAAACAATGACAAAGGCATTGAAATCATGAAGAGAACTGCTGTAAACATGATAGAATGTACAAAAGTTGAAGTTGTATTAGTACTTTTACAATCCTCTGTGAATACATCTGTGTATAATGATGTACACAGATCTCTCTCTCTCTCTCTCTCTCTCTCTCTCTCTCTCTCTCTCTCTCTCTTCTCTCTCTCTCTCTCTCTCTCTCTCTCTCTCTCTCTCTCTCTCTCTCTCTCTCTCTCTCTCTCTCTCTCTCTCTCTCTCTCTCTCTCTCATCTCTCTCTCTCTCTCTCTCTCTCTCTCTCTCTCTCTCTCTCTCTCTCTGTGCTCAGTCGCTTTGGTGCATTTCTCACATCACTCTTCACATTTGCACTTCTTAGTTCAAACTGTTAATTTCTCCTGTGTGAGATCAATAAAGTCTATCTTATCTTATCTTAAAACCTTGTGGAAAACTTGCAAAAGTGTGCCACTTTCTCAAAATGAAAAGTTGATTCCTCAAAAGCAAGTCTTAATGTCAATGACAGTGATATGAAGTCAAAATAATGTGTCCTGACAACATTGAGTATGAACAACAGTCAAATGGTTTAGTCATGTTTTCATTGTGAAAGTTTACTCTCTGTTTTCAATGTAAAAAAGTCAGATCTCGGTGACACTTTGTGAGCACTAAACAAGACATGTGTGGGGCAAAAAAGTATTTAGTCAACCACCGATTGTGAAAGTTCTCCCACTTCAAATAATGACAGAGGTCTGTAATTGTCATCATAGGTGCACTTCAACTGTGAGAGACAGAATGTGAAAAAAAAATCCAGGAATTCACATTGTAGGATTTTTAAAGAATTTATTTGTAAATTATGGTGGAAATTAAGTATTTGGTCAATAACAAAAATTCAACTCAATACTTTGTAATATAACCTTTGTTGGCAATTACAGAGGTCAAACGATTACTATAGGTCTGTACCAGGTTTGCACGCACAGTGGCTGGTATTTTGGCCCATTCCTCCATGCAGATCTTCTCGAGAGCAGTGATGTTTTGGGGCTGTCGCCGAGCAACACAGACTTTCAACTCCCTCCACAGATTTTCAATGGGGTTGAGGTCAGGAGACTGGCTAGGCCACTCCAGGACTTTCAAATGCTTCTTACGGAGCCACTCCTTCGTTGCCCGGGCGGTGTGTTTGGGATCAAAGCTCTCACTGATGGAAGGAGGTTTTGGCTCAAAATCTCACAATAAATGGCCCCATTCATTCTTTCCTTAACACGGATCAGTCGTCCTGTCCCCTTAGCAGAAAAACTGCCCCAAAGCATGACGTTTCCACCCCCATGCTTCACAGTAGGTAGGTGTTCTTGGGATGCAACTCAGTATTCTTCTTCCTCCAAACACGACGAGTTGAGTTTATACCAAACAGTTCTACTTTGGTTTCATCTGACCACATGACATTCTCCCAATCCTCTGCTGTATCATCCATGTGCTCTCTGGCAAACTTCAGACGGGCCTGGACATGCACTGGCTTCAGCAGGGGGACACGTCTGGCACTGCAGGATTTGATTCCCTGTCGTCGTAGTGTGTTACTGATGGAAACCTTTGTTACTTTGGTCCCAGCTCTCTGCAGGTCATTCACCAGGTCCCCCCGTGTGGTTCTGGGATCTTTGATCACCGTTCTCATGATCATTTTGACCCCACGGGATGAGATCTTGCGTGGAGCCCCAGATGGAGGGAGATTATAAGTGGTCTTGTATGTCTTCCATTTTCTGATAATTGCTCCCACAGTTGATTTGTTCACACCAAGCTGCTTGTAAGTAATCTTCAGTAAGTAATCCTTATTTATATATACCGCCTTTTCACTGCACAAAAAGGAGTCTCAAAGCGGTTTACAATTGGGATTTTTGGGAGTTGGGGGTGCCAGTACAGGAGGCACATGCCAGACCTATTGTACATATTTTTAGTGGTAGGGGAAACCGGAGCACCCGGAGGAAACCTACGCAGACACGGGGAGAACATGCAAACTCCACTCAGAAAGGCCCTGGTCCAACCAGGATTCGAACCCAGGACCTTCTTGCTGAGAGGCGAGAGTGCTATCCACTCAGCCACCGTGCCGCCCCCCACCGTGCTTGCCTATTGTAGATTCACTCTTCCCAGTCTGGTGCAGGTCTACAATTCTTTTCCTGGTGTCCTTCGACAGCTCTTTGGTCTTGGCCATAGTGGAGTTTGGAGTCTGACTGTTGGCTGTGGACAGTTGTCTTTTATACAGATAACGAGTTCACCTCGTTACCTGCCATTAAAACAGGTAACGAGTGGAGGACAGAAGAGCTTCTTAAAGAAGAAGTGACCAAATACTTATTTTCCACCATAATTTACAAATAAATTCTTCTGAAATTCTTCTTTTCACATTCTGTCTCTCACAGTTGAAGTGTACCTATGATGAAAATTACAGACCTCTGTCATTATTTTAAGTGGGAGAACTAGCACAATCGGTGGCTGACTAAATACTTTTTTGCCCCACTGTATGTGTGTGTGTATTTACTGTATGTATGTGTGTATGTATTTCCCATATTTACTCCTCTTTGCAATTCTACAGCATTGTGCAACAAAAATACAGTCACTTACAGTATATACATACAGTATAACAAACATACAAAATATCATTATGTTAGAACTGTGACAAATGTAAACAATAAAACACACTCTTCCTCATGAGTGAACCTGAAATTTCCCTGAGAGGAATTGTTCAATTTAAGTATGAAATTATCTTGACAGATTTTTATTTTGACTAACTAAACTAGTTTAACAATTTCGCATTTGATGACTAAAGCAATGAAATGAGGACTATTGGTTTCATTTTGACTGACAGGACACAAGCAAATGATAATGTTATGAAACAGCAGAGAATTATATGAAATTAACTGATACATGTCCATAAGTATTAGACATTTGTTCAGAGGAGAAACTGCTGCTATGATGTCACACATGACTCAATGTTGTGAAGGTTGAACGAATAGTTTTGAGAACTTTAAGTCTGATGTGAGAAATGCACCAAAGCGACTGAGACAAACTGTAATCACAACAGCAGTTGTTTGGAGGACATTACTAAGTCAATTTGCCAAAAACAGATCAGAGAATCAAATATTTCGAATACAGAATCAGAATTATTTTTATTGGACTGGGCTCTTCTTGAAGTCCACAATCATCTCCACTGTCTTCTGGGCGTTCAGCTCCAGGTTGTTACCACTGCACCAGGACACCAGCCGGTCCACCTCCCTCCTGTAGGCGGACTCATCGTTGTTGGAGATGAGTCCAATGAGGGTGGTGTCGTCCGCGAACTTGATCAGCTTCACGGAGTCGTGGCTGGAGGTGCAGTGGTTGGTGTACAGGGAGAAGAGCAGGGGAGAAAGAACACAGCCCTGTGGGGCTCCTGTATTTATAATCCGAGAGTCCGAGACATTCTTCCCCAGACGCACTCGCTGCTTCCTGTCCGTCAGGAAGTCAGTGATCCATCTGCAGGTGGAATCGGGCACGTTGAGCTGGGAGAGCTTGTCCTGGACCCTGGCGTAGGTCCCCGGGGAGTCCAGGTGCTGTAGGATGGTGGAGGGCCAGGTTAATAGTGTACTCTACAGATCTGTTGGCTCTGTAGGCAAACTGCAGAGGGTCCAGGAGGGGAGAGGTGAAGGACTTGAGATGAGAAAGAACCAGGCGTTCAAATGACTTTATGACTACAGACGTCAGTGCCACAGGTCTGTCGTCATTAAGTCCAGTTATCCTGGTCTTCTTTGGGACAGGGACAGTGATGGAGGACAATAATGGGAAATGCATTACGGTCATAACAAACACAAAGAAGGAGCGGGATGACCACTTTCTATAAATGTTTATAAATGTCCTTAAATGTCCAGAATCATCACTGTCCTTAGACCCTCCTGCATTACAAGGAACGACTCAAAAAATTGAGAAACCTCTGGGACAGGCTGTAGATCCAGGACTCGGATTATAGATCCAGGACTTAGGACTATAGATCCAGGACTCAGGACTATAGATCCAGGACTCAGGGAGAAGAACAAGGACTGAGGACTGTTTTTAAACAAATATAAAGCCAATGCATTTCATTTTTCTAGACACATTGTTGTAATTGAATAGACTATAGTCGTATTTGATTGTTGTTTTTTCTGTAAATATCCATTTCTGTGGATTTCTTTGAACGATATCCTTGTCGTAAAATGTCCTAAAATATCTTGGTAATATCAGCCGCAGCCTCCATCTGAGCGGAGCGCAGTGTGATCAGCAGATGTTCTCCAAACACATCCACCAACACTCAGGGATTATCCAGGATTATTATTCAGCCCACGTTATAATCTGTGTTTCCTCGCCAAGTACTGAATTACACATGTGTGTTGACACTGAAAGTGTCTGTAGAAGTGTCTGTGGTGTGGAGACAGGACTTGGATCAGATGAAAGGTATAAATACTTACTATACTACATGTGGTGGGTACAACGACCCGGGGCTGACTTGGGTCATGCACACATTATTTGTATCATTGGTTTCAGATTTAAAGTGTTCTCATATTTCCATTTGATGAATTGGTTCAACTGATGGATAGCACAATATATTTTGATGGACAGATAGATAGACAGGCAGACAGACAGACAGGCAGAGAGACAGATAGATAGATAGTAGGGCTGCACAATATATCGCAAAAATATTGTTATCGCGATATTGGTGCGTGCGATATCCATATCAAAAATATCTGCAAGAAAAAAAAGATGTATTTCTTTTTTAAGGACCACAAAACAGACAGACACATTCAACAAGAACAACAAACAAACAAAAAAGTATATAAATATATGCATTTGAGTGTCATTAATGTTGTGCTTATTTTTTGTTATTTGTCTCTTGCAGATGCAATTTTAGGTGAAAGACAAAAATATCACAATAATATCGTTATCGCAATACTAAACACTCATATCAAATATCGCTCTAATTTCCAATATTGTGCAGCCCTAATAGATATAGATCTGTAAATGTTCTCTTAACAGTTTGGTTGTAGGTTTGCCCTTGATTACAGCGTTACCCTGTGTAATTGTGTCTATCTTCTTTCATTCAGCACTTTCAGTTTCCTTGTGTATGAACCGTGCTATACAACTAAACTTGCCGTACCTTGCGCCCGAAACCCCAGAACATCTGACATATGTTGTTGTTGTTGTTGTTGCTGCAGGGAAATCGCACCTGGCCATAGTGCAGCGCGTGAACAATGAGGGAGAAGGAGACCCGTTCTACGAAGTGATGGGCATCGTGACTCTGGAGGACGTCATCGAGGAGATCATCAAGTCTGAGATCCTGGACGAGACCGATCTCTACAGTAATACACTCATGACTTTGTTTTTTAAATGTGTGTTTAATGTTTGAAGGTGTTTTTATGTCTTTCTGGTATGGACCTTTTACTCTAGTGTCCGAAATATAGTATTGAATTGAATTGAATTGAAAACACGTTTTGTTATGTGACACTGCAGCCTGAGATTGTAGTTTAAAGGCCTGCTGTGTGTTTATTTCTCTCTTAATTCTGTGTAAAATCAACTTATTTGAGTTTTTAACCACGCAATGTTTTTAGATCCATCCAGGATTACATCAGGAACTGTCACAAACAGGTAGCTCCGCCCCTTCTGTCTAAAAGCTCCTCTCTCAGTAACAGTATGATGTCATCATATCACTATGGCACGGTGGCTGAGTGGATAGCACTCTTGCTTCTCAGCATGAAGGTCCTGGGTTTGAATCCCGGTCGAAACAGGGCCTTTCTTAGTGGAGTTTGCATGTTCTCCCCGTGTCTGCGTAGGTTTCCCCTACCACTAAAAACATGTACAGTAGGTCTGGCATGTGCCTCCTGTACTGGCCCCACTCCTCTCTCTGTGTGGAGTGAGAGACAAATGCCCACAAATGTAAATCGCTTTGACTCTGGGCTGTGAAAGGCGCTATATAAATAAAGATTACGTACTACTACTAAAACAAACACTATAAACAAAATAATAATGTTAATTATTTAAAAAATCTCATTTTCTGTTTAAGATTTTCTCATGTTCTAAAGCATGAAATAGCAAATGTAAATAGTCTCATTATCGGTTTTAACGGTGATATTTTTAATCCCAAGTATATTTTGCTCCTTATGTGTCATTGAAACTTTAATTTGGTCAGGGACAACACAAGAAAATATGTCATGTGTCAGGTGTGAACAAAAATGCTAGTTTCCATCCGGATTCCCTGGACAGGTGGAGGATGTAAACTCAGTCTAAAGTCCATTACTAGTTTGACACAAGATTTGACCCAAAAAGATTTCCTCTGTGGATGAATTACTCTAAAATTGCTTAAACATTATTCTTCTATTTTACCCATCCATCCATCTTCTTCCCCTTAATCCATTTCTGGGTCGGGGGGTGACAGTCAGAGCTCCACCCAGTACACAGAGCACCAGCCCCTCACTGATCCTCCTGCAGGTGGTGAGTCCACATGAGCCTTGATCTTTCAGAGGGGGCTTCAGGCAAAGTGGGTTAAGTGTCTTGCCCAAGGACACAATGACAGCAGACATCAGTGGGAAATAATGTGTATAAAACTGTCTCTATCTCTTTCTTCTTCTTCTGCCAGTTGAAGTCATACTGTATATTACAATCCTATTGGTTATTCAGCGTGACGTGGTTTGTGTCTGTTTCCAGCCGACAATCGCACAAAGCGCCGCGTTTCGCATCACGAGCGAAAGCAGCAGGACTTTTCCATTTTCAAACTCAACGAAAACGAGATGAAGGTGAAGATCTCGCCTCAGCTGCTCCTGGCCACACACCGCTTCCTCTCCGCAGGTAAATCACGGTTCTGTCTGTGCGGCCGCAAACTTGTTTCGACGGATAGGACTGACAAAGATTGATTCTCTGATTTGTGTCGGCAAATCAACAACTTTGAAAAGTTCTCCGAGACGACTGCTGTTGTGATTTAGGACTATACCTATGGGTGGCATGGTGGCAGAGTGGTTAGCACGCTCGGCAAGAAGGTCCTGGGTTAGAATCTCAGTCGGAGTGTCTTTCTGAGTGGAGTTCGCATGTTCTCTAAGTGTCTGCATAGGTTACCTCCTGGTGCTCCGGTTTCCCCTACCACTAAAAACATGTACATCTGGAGATGGATCCTCTGCTTTATCTGGGCCTGCCCCCTCTAACCAAAACATCACCAATATAGCGCATGTGATACTTACATGCACATACATTACATATACACATTTAACACACACACACACACACGCACGCATATATAAATTGAACACACACACACATGCAATACATATACACGTACACACTCATGTACACATTTAACACACACACATACAGTCCATGCGTATGTGTTTCTGTGATTCTTTTGCCCTCTTTGCCCTAAAATGAGTTTTGTGTTTTTTGTCAGAGGTGGAGCCGTTCAAAAGCGCTCACGTGTCGGAGAAGATCCTTCTGCGTCTCATCAAACATCCCAGTGTTCTGCAGGAGCTCAAGTTCGACGACAAAAAAAACAAACATGCGCCGCAGCATTTCCTGTTCCAGAGAAACAAACCGGTGGATTACTTCATCCTCGTCCTGCAGGTGACACTCACACACTACAACCTTGTGTTGCTCTTGTGCTGCTAACATGTGCAGATGCTAACATGAACAAAGGCTAACATGTACAGATGCTAACATGTACAGATGCTAACATGTGCAGAGGCTCACATGTACATTAGTATCACATGATGCTAACATGTACAGATGCTAACATGAACAAAGGCTAACATGTACAGAGGCTCACATGTACATTAGTATCACATGATGCTAACATGTACAGATGCTAACATGTACAGAGGCTCACATGTACATTAGTATCACATGATGCTAACATGTACAGATGCTAACATGAACAAAGGCTAACATGTACAGAGGCTCACATGTACATTAGTATCACATGATGCTAACATGTACAGATGCTAACATGTACAGAGGCTCACATGTACATTAGTATCACATGATGCTAACATGTACAGATGCTAACATGTACAGAGGCTCACATGTACATTAGTATCACATGATGCTAACATGTACAGATGCTAACATGTACAGAGGCTCACATGTACATTAGTATCACATGATGCTAACATGTACAAAGGCTAACATGTACAGAGGCTCACATGTACATTAGTATCACATGATGCTAACATGTACAAAGGCTAACATGTACAGAGGCTCACATGTACATTAGTATCACATGCTGATAACATGTACATTAGTATCACATGCTGATAATATGTACATTAGTATCACATGCTGCTAACATGTATATTAGTATCACATGCTGCTAACATGTACATTAGTATCACATGCTGCTAACATGTATATTAGTATCACATGCTGATAACATGTACATTAGTATCACATGCTGATAACATGTACATTAGTATCACATGCTGATAACATGTACATTAGTATCACATGCTGATAACATGTACATTAGTATCACATGTTGATAACATGTACATTAGTATCACATGCTGATAACATGCACATTAGTATCACATGCTGATAACATGTACATTAGTATCACATGCTGATAACATGTACATTAGTATCACATGCTGATAACATGTACATTAGTATCACATGATGCTAACATGCACATTAGTATCACATGCTGATAACATGTACATTAGTATCACATGATGCTAACATGCACATTAGTATCACATGCTGATAACATGTACATTAGTATCACATGATGCTAACATGCACATTAGTATCACATGCTGATAACATGTACATTAGTATCACATGCTGATAACATGTACATTAGTATCACATGCTGATAACATGTACATTAGTATCACATGATGCTAACATGCACATTAGTATCACATGCTGATAACATGTACATTAGTATCACATGCTGATAACATGTACATTAGTATCACATGCTGATAACATGTACATTAGTATCACATGATGCTAACATGCACATTAGTATCACATGCTGATAACATGTACATTAGTATCACATGATGCTAACATGCACATTAGTATCACATGCTGATAACATGTACATTAGTATCACATGCTGATAACATGTACATTAGTATCACATGATGCTAACATGCACATTAGTATCACATGCTGATAACATGTACATTAGTATCACATGTTGATAACATGTACATTAGTATCACATGCTGATAACATGTACATTAGTATCACCTGCTGATAACATGTACATTAGTATCACATGTTGATAACATGTACATTAGTATCACATGCTGATAACATGTACATTAGTATCACATGCTGATAACATGTACATTAGTATCACATGCTGCTAACATGTACATTAGTATCACATGATGCTAACATGTACATTAGTATCACATGCTGATAACATGTACATTAGTATCACATGCTGATAACATGTACATTAGTATCACATGCTGATAACATGTACATTAGTATCACATGCTGATAACATGTACATTAGTATCACATGCTGATAACTTGTTTTTAAGACCTAGTGCTCAGCTGTTTCTAACTGAGCTCTGACTGTGTCCCAGGGTCGTGTGGAGGTGGAATTTGGAAAAGAAGCCTTAAAGTTTGAGAGCGGTGCTTTCTCATATTTTGGTGTTCCTGCAATAATGCCATCAGGTAACTCTAAACGTCCGACTCAATCCACTTTATTTATTTAGCACAATCAAACAACAGGAAGTTTCCTTAGTGCTCCACAAAAAGCAAGTGTTGGTGACAAGCGCTGTTGTCTGTGCTCGGTCCAGTCCACAGGTCTCCGTCCCGCAGCAGTGGTCTGGACCGGTCTGACTCCATGTTGTACGGTGGGAGTCTGGGGCAGCTGAACGGAGGCTCGAACCTGTACTTACCCGACTACTCTGTCAGACAACTCACTCACCTCCAGGTTATCAAGGTCAGCAGACAGAAGGCTGTGCTATGGTCTGCATCAGCCAGTCCTGTTTCCACCAGCCCTACTTGGCCCTACTCTACACTCTACTCTACCACATTTCTTTGCGGCTGGCAGACCCTTCACACTTCTGTTCTCATGAATGAATTCAAAATGTTCTTAGAAATGATAATTGGGGTAAATAAAACAAAAAGCAAGTAATAAATCAGTAATACATATGTAGTGTTTTGCTAAATACAGTAAATATGTGAAATTGGGTCCAGCTCTCAACAGTAAGACAATATCCCAACGTCACTACCCAAAAATAAAAATTGCCCACCTCTGCTTTTGCTGACGTTATTTTCCATTATATTTATTGAAGTAGGGAAATTCAAAAGTAGGTAAGGAAGTAGTAGTAGGGAAGGGTTAGGGGATGGATGGATATTCCTTGGTAACCCTCGCATCCAGCTTCACCCTGAACAATCACTGTCACTGAGAACTCTTTAGTAGAAGCTCGGCCTGTTTAGAACCAGGGCCAAGCAGGGGTTAAAAAAGTGCCTGGTATTGGGTAAACAGAGCCAATGAAAACACTCCCAATTGAGGGAGAGTAAAGTAGAGTAGAGTAGAGTAGAGAAAGTAAGTAATATTTATTTATACAGCGCCTTTCACAGACCAGAGTCACAAAGCGGACCTATTGTACATGTTTTTAGTGGTAGGGGAAACCGGAGCACCCGGAAGAAACCCACGCAGACACAGGGAGTAGGGTAGAGTAGAGTAGAGTAGAGTAGAGTAGAGTAGAGTAGAGTAGAGTAGACTAGAGTAGAGTAGAGTAGAGTAGAGTAGAGTAGAGTAGAGTAGACTAGAGTAGAGTAGAGTAGAGTAGAGTAGAGTAGACTAGACTAGACTAGACTAGACTAGACTAGACTAGACTAGACTAGACTAGACTAGACTAGACTAGACTAGACTAGACTAGACTAGACTAGACTAGACTAGACTAGACTAGACTAGGCAAGGCAAGTTTATTTGTATAGCACAATTCATACACAAGGCAACTCAAAGTGCTGAACAAGATAGCATTAAAATCATAAATAATTACAGAACATTAAAACGAAAGATAAAAATATAAAATCCCTCAGTTGTATGCACAGCTAAACAGCACCGTTTTTAACCTGGTTTTAAACATTGTCAGAGAGGAGGCCTGTCTCACACCTTCAGGAAGATTGTTCCAGATTTTAGCAGCATGAATCTGAAAAGCTGTTTCCCCATGTTTAGTTCTGACTCTGGGCACTAACAGGAGTCCAGTCCCTGTGCTCCTCAGAGTCCGGGCTGGTTCATATGGGACTAACATCTCACTAATATATTTTGGTGCGAGGCCATGGAGAGATTTGTACACAAGCAGAGCTGTTTTAAAGTCTATTCTCTGAGCCACAGGAAGCCAGTGCAGAGACCTGAGGACCGGACTAATATGGTCGTACTTCCTGGTTCTAGTCAGGACTCGAGCTGCTGCATTTTGAATGTACTGCAGCTGTTTTACAGCCTGTTTGGACAGACCTGTGAGCAGGCCATTGCAGTAGTCTAACCTACTGGAGACAAATGCATGGATAAGAATCTCCAAGTCTGCTTTAGACACTATGTTTTTGATCCTGGCAATGTTTTTTAGATGGTAAAAAGCTGCTGATGTTACTGATTTGATGTGGCTATTAAAATTTAAGTCTGAGTCCAGTATTACCCCTAGATTTCTGACCTTGTTTGAAGGTTTTAGGGAGAGAGACTGTAGGTGACAGATGACGCTCTCTCTTTGTTTCTGGGGACCAAAGACAATCATTTCAGTTTTGTCTGCGTTTAGCTGAAGGAAGTTGTTTTGCATCCACTCACTGATCTGTTGGATACAGTGAAGGAGTGAGTCCACTGGTCCATGTTCTCCTGCAGTCAGTGAGACATAGATCTGAGTGTCGTCTGCATAGTTATGATAGGAAACTTTGTTTCTGCGTATTAACTGACCTAACGGCAGCATGTAGAGATTGAACAGAAGAGGTCCCAGGATCGACCCCTGTGGTACTCCACAGGTCAGGGCCATATGATCTGAGACACAGTTTCCAATCTCCACAAAGTACTTCCTGTCTTCAAGGTAAGACCTAAACCAACTTAGGGCGGTGCCAGCGACGCCAACCCAGTCCTCTAGTCTCTGTAAGAGGATCTCATGGTCGACGGTGTCAAAGGCAGCACTCAGATCTAACAGGATTAAGATTGAGACTTTGCCTGCGTCAGTGTTCAGCCGGATATCGTTTGTAACCTTAACGAGAGCAGTCTCAGTGCTGTGGTGGGGTCTAAAGCCGGACTGAAACATATCAAATGAGTTGTTGATTATAAGAAATCTAGTAAGCTGTAGGTAGACAACTTTCTCAAGGACTTTCCCCATAAATGGCAGATTTGAGATGGGACGATAGTTGTTAAGTACCGTAGCATCCAGACTGCTCTTTTTTAGCAGGGGCCTGATGACTGCAGTTTTCAGGGCCTTTGGGAATATTCCAGAATCAAGGGACATGTTTACTATCTGTGTGAGTGAAGGTAACAGACTGCTCAGAACAGACTTTAGAAATCTAGTGGGTAGTACATCCAGGCTGCATGTGGAGGAGCTCAAACTGGAGATTATCTCTTGGACAGTTTGATCATTTACAGGTGCAAAGTAAGTTAGCTCAAAGAGCCTTTCTGGCTGTTGGATTGTTATCTGTGGATTGGAGACAATGGCGTTTTTGATGCCTTGAACCTTGTCATTGAAAAAATGTGCAAACTCATTACATTTACGTTTGGAAGTTAGCTCTAATGGCATTTGAACAGGGGGGTTTGTTAATCTATTAACTGTTGAAAACAGAACACGCAGATTGTTGCTGCAGCCTTCAATCATTTCAGAAGAATATTGCTTGCAAATCTTCAATATAACCTTTTAAATCAGGTTTGTTTGGTATCTGTCATTTCTATTTACTGTTTTAACATTGGTTTTGTCTCTTGTTGAACTAAAAGGACCTGCAGAACGAAACGGGCTGTGCTACTGCGGCCTGTCTGCAGCTTCTGGGGCAGGGGAATTCTGACAAATTACTGCATTACGGAGCAAGGTCAACACTTCCATGGAGCTAGGAAGGCCCACACTTTTCAAAACCAAGAACTGATTTTACAGCAACTATTGATTCGTACTCTAGCTTAGATTATGACAGTTTACCATCGGTATACCACTTGTGGTTTGATTTATGACAAAGAAATGATCATGTATTGTATATTTAAATTTTCTTCACAGGACACATAAACGGCCATGACCTTAACTCAGCACATTGTATACATAGTTCCCACAGACCAATGAATGTCACATGACCTCCTCGGAGACGCCATCTTTGATGGCACGCTGCTGTGTTTGTGCATTCCATTAAACAGAAGAATGAGAATAAATGTAGATATTCAAACGCAAATTGGAAAAAAAGGGCAACTTTTGAGCAAATAATTGTATATTAATACAATGGCACCACAGTTTAACGTGCTACGGACATGTTTTACATATTTTATCAAATTATGCAGCAAAAATTAACAAGCAATGCAAACATTTCTCAAAAACTTTAGATTTAATACCAGTTGGAGCTCCATTTAATTATTTTAATTATATTAACAATTAATTTAATTAATGCTAATGCCACACGGACACTCTGGATTGCTGTTATTGTTTATTTCCGCGTTTTTGACCGTATGTTTTGGTGAATGGTGGGCAACTGATTTTTCCAGGCGTAAAGAGCAGTTTATTTTATGACACAGATCTTTTTACAGAAGCAATGCTGTTTGTGAACATTGTTTTAGCCCACCATAGAACTATTATTATCTATTTAATACATTTACGTTGCCCTCGAGAGCCTCGGACGCGACACCGATCCTCCTCATAATAAAGTAATCTAAATAATGAAACTCTCAAGTTACCAGCTATCAGCATACACAAGTTAGTACTGAGTAAATTACGTCTGTCAACACATTATGAGATACGATACGCACCTGACACAAAGTGCTCCGAGCATATTCTTGCGTGTTTTGAGGGAGTTTCTTGCCTGTTTATCTTCGCAAGCCATAACCTCCGTCGTAGTTCTGACAAAAGCTTAGTCTTCTCACATTCATGAAGTCTAATGATGGGTATACTGTAAAATCCAAGTTTAACGGAACCTCCGGCACGATTTGAACATCCATTGACCCAGCAGGAGATGACCATTTTCAACTTTATCACGACATTAACACGTTTCAGCTTCTTTTTCTATTGTTTTGCCCACAGCATGCCAACACAAATGGCGCCGGGTCGGCAAATCCCCGTATGTAGTGACGTCATGTGGGAACTATGTATTGTTGAGTGTTGAAAGCAGTAATACCTTGCGATGAATGGAGAGTGCAGCTTTGTGGAGACTCCGGGTGTGTTTATATGGAGCAAATTCAGTCAAAGGAGGGTGGTTGAGAGAAAAAAGTTGGGTTACAAATGTGATACAAAAGGTTACACATGTGATAAAGGAATTAAAATGTATACAGCACGATTTTGGCTATTCTACATATAACATTATAATAATCTTCCTTGAGGATTAAAGTTGTGTATTGTATGGTTGTCTCACCATTGGCTGGCTGTGTTGTCGTGGCATCATTGAAGCTGCAGTCCATCTCAATTCTGCTTTTCCATTGTTCCGTCCACAACCAAGCTTTTCTGGTTGTTCCAGGTCGCTGGGTTCCACAGGCTCCCTCTTCTTGCTAGGCTCATTATTGGAACAGGCAGACGTCTTGTTTCTGCTCACTGTATACCTCTTCTCATTGAGGCGATCCATTTTGCCGTCACTCACCCTGCCCAATACAGATATTGTACTGTTATCACTACGTGTTGGAGACGTGGTGTATGTGAACGTAGATCAACAGCAAGCCAACTCTGTCTTCATGAGGCAGGAAACTGAGCACCTTGCTCCTTTAACCCAACAATGCCAATGGGAATTAGATAGCTATAAAGTGATCTGGCCTTAGGTCACAACAACCCGATTGTGTATCTGCTATGATTGTGTGTCCGTGTTTTGTTCTTTCGATGTCTTATTATGTTCTGATTGTTCTCTTGATGTGACACAAACGCTTATCCATTTATGACGTATGTGTGACGTAAACGTTGACTATATAGACTATATCCTGATTATGTTCTGTCTGAAAGATCCTGAAAAAGTCCTGAAAAGAACTGAAGAAACTGAGAATAAACATCCGAGCACTGGTGCGCCTTATCTCTGTGTGCTTGATTTTCCACAGGCCTGACACACCTGGTAAAACAGACCTGTAAAACCTATGCACTGTAAAAAAGAAAAAGTTAGTTCAACTCAAAATTTCAAAGCAACCAGCTGCGAAGGATTTTTGAGTTGAAGGCATTAACTTAATTCTTCACGTTTTGAAGAACTACACTTATTAAGTTGTGTCAGCTAAGTTTTCCAAGTTCTGCCAACTAAGTTTTTAAATTCAAGCTACTGGAAATTTCAAGTCTCTATAAAAACTTACTTTTTTATGTTCAGATTACTGTCCACTACAATAACTTACTATTTTGAGTTTAAATTAGCCCCACATTAAGCCATCATGATGTTTATTTATATAGCGCATTTTACAGTTGGGCAGGGGAAACCGGAGCACCTGGAGGAAACCTGTGCAGACAAAGAGAACATGCAAATTCCACTCAGAAAGGCCCTGTTCCGACCAGGATTCGAACCCAGGACCTTCGTGTCAAGAAGCAAGAGTGCTATCCATTCAGCCACTGTGCCGCACACACTGTATGCCCGATTAGTGGGAATACCAATGTTTCTAAGACTGACCCAGGGAATATATAGGGCTACTTTGACTTGGCCCTGTCAATTACGGTTGGTAAAAATAAATACAATGATTGTTTTGGTCAAATTAGTTTTTTCAAAGGCCCCGTCCCAATACTCGCACTTCCACCCTCGCGCCCCTCATTTGCGCGTTCCCGATAAAGGGTGCGAGTGCGTAGGGTGTCCCAATTCTCCAGGGAGGTCTTTGGCCCCGCCCCCTTTGCGCCCCTGATCCACACTTCGCCGTAGCCTGCATCTATGCGCACTCTGGCGAAGGATATTGCCCATAATTCTTTGCGGTACACACCAAAACGTCGGGAAAATGCATTTAAATATACATTTTGAAATATATATGCAGTATGTGTGTAAATAAGTTTTGCTATGTTACTTGGAAAGAAGCATAAACGTCTGATGAATAATTACGGACATTGTGTTTTAACAATTTAATAACTTTTTAAAACAAGCGTTTATATAACATTCAATTTAAACTTTACACTTAGTACAATAATCTTAGAATGTATAAAAACTGACCAGATAGTTAGTCACCCACATTTAACTTAAAATTATACAGCTATCTCTAATTAAAAACAACTAATATACATGTCCCAAAGGGTCAGACAAAATTACCTTTAATGTTTATAAAGTTTAGGTCTGAAAATGACCATCTCTTGACGAGTCGATGACGTAACCTGCACTCAGTGTGCACTGTCCCAATTCCACCCTTTTTTGCACACTTGTAACCTGCGCACTCCAACCCTGGTGTGCACTTCGAACAAATGCACACTTCGTAGAGGTGTGTAGGGTGCAGTGTGGGTATTGGGACTGGGCCAAAATGTTGAATGCAGCTGGTTGCCATGACAAATATTTAAATGAGAGCAGCCGTCCTCCTGTGGACTCACCACCTGCAGAGGGTCAGTGAGGGGCTGGTGCTATGAGACTTGGGTGGCATCTCTGACTGCCACCCCCCTGACCCAGAAATGGATTAAAGGGAAGAAAATGGATGGATGGATGGACAGGCTAAACATCCGAATTTGACCATGCTAGTAGCTACCATAAGGTAGCCGCAGACCCCGGCGGCGAGAAACTCAGACGAACTCCGTCCAAATGGTCAACTCACTGACGTACACGCGTGTGTAAAGCCCTGTTTAATGTGCAGAAACAAACTACAGATCAGACAAAGTACAATCATATGTACATTATACTACATTTGCGAGACGTAGTCATGGCCGTCTCCTCCGCCTCGCGCAGCCATTTTGTTTCTTCAAACTTTGTGCGTCAAACATGGATCTAATTGTCACTCCCGTATTCGTCCCGGAAACTGGATTAGTCCGGAAGTTCAGTTTGATCCAATGAGCATAAGCAGCAGTAGATTACGTCACGGAATCTGGACGGAAGCGGAAGTAAATATAAAAAACTACCTATTCATGCCTAAACTTAACCAGCCATTCCCATAAAATAACCCCAACCCAGCCTTAACCCTAAACTTAACCATCTTAATCAGACGCCTAAACTTAACCAGTCTCCACTTAAGGACTTATTACACTTTTTGACATGCGCAAACTGAACTTCCGGACGAATCCGGTTTCCAGTACGAATACGGGAGTAACAGACACTAATAATAACGTCAACGTTACAGACCGGCGGCTTAGTGACATCATGACGTCTACTTCTTCTTTTGTATTTACAGCGGTGGGCAAACCTTTCGATGCATTTACCGCCACCCTCTGGACTGGAGTGTGACGCAGTATATCTGACTCTTTATATTCGTTATAGTAGTTTCGTTTTAACTAAATACTTGACAATTTATTTACCTATCGTACTTGCTGAGTGAAAACCTATCCTGCAACACTTTTCTCATACTTCGGGCAGCTGATTAACACATGACTAGTGGTCTCTTGTCCCCACCCACATACATATTCCTGATGGATGTTTCCCTATTCTAAACAATGTGCTAATTAACCCTGTATGATCAAACCTCATTCTTGACATTACATCTTCTATTCTTTATTTTTCTATTTATTTTCTATTTTTTCCTGATGCCCTCATCTTTCCCACCTGTGTCTGAATGCTATACAAATACCTTCTCTATTGCTCACAGTTCTATAACAACTGCCAATTCCTCACAGTTTGCTCTTTTATGAGGAACTGGCAGGCTTATCTACCAACTCATTTCCTTCTTCACCTAGATGAGCAGGGACCTTGCGTGAATGAATGAAAAAAATAAATAAATAAAAAGCTTTTATTGATTAAAGACGTGTAAAATTTACCCAAATAAACATAGAATTATTTTAGATTGCAATGCAGAACCTGTTGCTATCATGGGGTTGCTATGCCAACCAGATCCACGGGGACACTGCTGTGAAGCTGCCGCGCCGCTGGGGGAGCTGTGACTTCCGCTTCCTGGAGTGTCATGGCGGCGTCCGCATACCCGTGACTTCACATAATCCTCACTGTTTACATTCATGGATCTGTTCATTATTCTGCTCTGGAAAAACAAACTTTTGCGGAATAATCTCTCGTGAGACACTGCCGCTAGGACACGCTGCACCCGCGGGGAATCCTCTGCTCCTCTGTCCTCCATGGACCCCAGAACCACCTCAAGACCTCCACCACTAGACATCAACTACTGACAGGGACTAAAGCGGACTGAACCCGAACCAGGTGAGACGCAGACCCGGAGTGAACCAGGACCGAGCCACCTGTTTGCCTGGCGTGGCCTGGTTTCTCTACACACATTACTCTGCAGCTGTCTTATATATTTATTGAATTTAAAGTAAATAAACTTCTCATTTTGAGGTAAATCTCTCTTGTATAACTTATTATTGTGAAAAGGTGTAATCGATTGGTCCAATTACATTTCTGGAATAGTTCACACGGCCCCTTGTTGTAGCACTATCTGAATGTCAAAGCCAGATCCTGTCAGACCTCTGAAGCTCAGCAGGGCAGGACCTGGTTAGCACTGTGATGGAAGACCTGTGGGAACACCAGGTGCCACTGTGGGGCGGCTGTAAAGTGACAAACTGTTGTTGTGTCCTTAGGCAAGACGCTTCACCCACATTGCCTGGAATGAGTCTGGTGTGTGTGTGAATGGTTGGTGGTGGTCGGAGGGGCCAATGGCACATACTGGTTGCCTTGATTCTGTCAATGTGCCCCAGGGCAGCTGTGGGTACTGTAGTAGTTTATCACCACCGTGGATAGAGTGAATGAATAAATAATATGTAAAGCGTATGAGTGTCCATAAAAAGCGCTGTATAAAACCGATTCATCATTATTATTAGTATGATGGCATTGTTCAGACTGCGGTCCATCAGGACTAGAACCTCCCGCCACAAGAACAGTTTCTCCCCCTCTGCTGTTGGACTCTTGAACACTTGAACACTTCTTAACCTCTCCGCCCTCTAGAAGTCCCCTACTGCTCTTTATAAAGTCACTTTACTGCCCTTCATACGCCACTTTACTTCACTGTACTGCTGTCACCTTACATTGTGTGCACCATGTGCACTGTATTGTATATAGTAATTGTAACTCTATTTTAATTTTAATTTTAAATGTATTCCTTAGAGGTGTTTTTTATTATCTCTTTCTGACTGTTGCACAGAGCTAAAGCAATTTCCAAGTCTTACGTGCCAATAAAAGTTATTTTGATTCTGATTGTGATTGTTCAGTGTTTAAGTTCCTAATTCTATGTCCTTAACTCTTGCTGTCTGTGCAGGATGGCCTCAGTTCTTCGCGGATCTTGGAGGCTGTTGGCTCCGCCTCTTCTGCGAGTGGCCCCGCCCTCTGTCTGGAAAACTCCACTTCAGGTCATGGTGCGAAGACACGCCTCCAAACAGGTAATGTTTGTATGAACCACATGATGGTAGGAGCCCTAAACAGGCACTGATGTCATTAGATATTAAAGCATTAGTACATAACCAGTCACCATCACTGAGCTGAAGATAAGGAAGCCCGTGGAGTACTCTGACTAATCTTGTTATTAATACTTTTGCAGTTGTGTGAATTGATGTCCCTTATAAACATTATTGATTAAGCTTGATCTGTGCAGGTCAAAAGTCACAGGAAAGAACCAAAGCTAAAGACTGAGAAACAGGAAGTAGAGATTAAACAGAGGATGAGTGTGGAGGAGCTGGCACGAGCGATGGGCCGAGACGTCGGTGAGTCTGCTCCTCTACACGAACAGTATGAGCGTTGCTTTGTGTGTCTCTGACTTTCTTTGTCTGTCTCTCTGTCTGTGTGGGTAACTATATGTCTCTGTGTGTAACTTTCTATGTGTGTTTCTCTCTGTGTCTCTGTCTTTGTCTCTCTGTGTGTGTCTCTGTCTCTATGTGAGTCTCTGTGTGCGTGTCTATGTTTGTCTATGTCCCTCTGTGTGCCTCTTTGTGTGTGTCTCTCTGTGTGTCTCTCTGTGTCTCTATGTGTGTCTGTATGTCTCTCTGTGTGTGTCTCTATGTGAGTCTCTGTGTGCGTGTCTATGTTTGTCTATGTCCCTCTGTGTGTCTCTCTGTGTGTCTCTCTGTGCGTCTCTCTGTGCGTCTCTCTGTGCGTCTCTCTGTGCGTCTCTCTGTGCGTCTCTCTGTGCGTGTCTCTCTGTGTGTCTCTCTGTGTCTCTATGTGTGTCTGTATGTCTCTGTGTGTGTGTCTCTATGTGAGTCTGTGTGCGTGTCTATGTTTGTCTATGTCTCTCTGTGTGTCTCTCTGTGCGTCTCTATGTGCGTCTCTCTGTGCGTCTCTCTGTGCGTCTCTCTGTGCGTCTCTCTGTGCGTCTCTCTGTGTGTCTCTATGTGTGTCTCTCTGTGTGTCTCTATGTGTGTCTCTGTCTCTCTCTCTGTGCCTTAGTGTCTATATATGTCTCTCTGTGTGTGTCTCTGTGTCTCTATGTGAGTCTCTGTGTGCGTGTCTATGTTTGTCTATGTCCCTCTGTGTGCCTCTTTGTGTGTGTCTCTCTGTGTGTCTCTCTGTGTGTCTCTCTGTGTGTCTCTATGTGCGTCTCTCTGTGCGTCTCTCTGTGCGTCTCTCTGTGCGTCTCTCTGTGCGTCTCTCTGTGCGTCTCTCTGTGCGTCTCTCTGTGTGTCTCTCTGTGTGTCTCTGTGTGTCTCTCTGTGTGTCTCTATGTGCGTCTCTATGTGCGTCTCTATGTGCGTCTCTCTGTGCGTCTCTCTGTGCGTCTCTCTGTGCGTCTCTCTGTGTGTGTCTCTCTGTGTGTCTCTATGTGTGTCTCTGTCTCTCTCTCTGTGCCTTAGTGTCTATATATGTCTCTCTGTGTGTCTCTCTGTGTGTCTCTATGTGCGTCTCTCTGTGCGTCTCTCTGTGCGTCTCTCTGTGCGTCTCTCTGTGCGTCTCTCTGTGTGTGTCTCTCTGTGTGTCTCTATGTGTGTCTCTGTCTCTCTCTCTGTGCCTTAGTGTCTATATATGTCTCTCTGTGTGTCTCTCTGTGTGTCTCTCTGTGCGTCTCTATGTGCGTCTCTCTGTGTGTCTCTCTGTGCGTCTCTCTGTGCGTCTCTCTGTGCGTCTCTCTGTGCGTCTCTCTGTGCGTCTCTCTGTGTGTCTCTATGTGTGTCTCTCTGTGTGTCTCTATGTGTGTCTCTGTCTCTCTCTCTGTGCCTTAGTGTCTATATATGTCTCTCTGTGTGTGTCTCTGTGTCTCTATGTGAGTCTCTGTGTGCGTGTCTATGTTTGTCTATGTCCCTCTGTGTGCCTCTTTGTGTGTGTCTCTCTGTGCGTCTCTCTGTGTGTCTCTCTGTGTGTCTCTCTGTGCGTCTCTCTGTGCGTCTCTCTGTGCGTCTCTCTGTGTGTCTCTCTGTGCGTCTCTCTGTACGTCTCTCTGTGTGTCTCTCTGTGTGTCTCTATGTGTGTCTCTCTGTGTGTCTCTATGTGTGTCTCTGTCTCTCTCTCTGTGCCTTAGTGTCTATATATGTCTCTCTGTGCGTCTCTCTGTGCGTCTCTCTGTGCGTCTCTCTGTGCGTCTCTCTGTGCGTCTCTCTGTGTGTGTCTCTATGTGTGTCTCTATGTGTGTCTGTCTCTCTCTCTGTGCCTTAGTGTCTATATATGTCTCTCTGTGTGTGTCTCTGTGTCTCTATGTGAGTCTCTGTGTGCGTGTCTATGTTTGTCTATGTCCCTCTGTGTGCCTCTTTGTGTGTGTCTCTCTGTGTGTCTCTCTGTGCGTCTCTCTGTGTGTCTCTCTGTGTGTCTCTCTGTGCGTCTCTCTGTGCGTCTCTCTGTGCGTCTCTCTGTGCGTCTCTCTGTGTGTCTCTCTGTGCGTCTCTCTGTGCGTCTCTCTGTGCGTCTCTCTGTGTGTCTCTCTGTGCGTCTCTCTGTGTGTCTCTCTGTGCGTCTCTCTGTGCGTCTCTCTGTGTGTCTCTCTGTGCGTCTCTCTGTGTGTCTCTCTGTGCGTCTCTCTGTGCGTCTCTCTGTGCGTCTCTCTGTGTGTCTCTCTGTGCGTCTCTCTGTGTGTCTCTCTGTGCGTCTCTCTGTGCGTCTCTCTGTGCGTCTCTCTGTGCGTCTCTCTGTGCGTCTCTCTGTGTGTGTCTCTCTGTGTGTCTCTATGTGTGTCTGTCTCTCTCTCTGTGCCTTAGTGTCTATATATGTCTCTCTGTATGTCTCTCTGTGCGTCTCTCTGTGCGTCTCTCTGTGCGTCTCTCTGTGTGTGTCTCTATGTGTGTCTCTGTCTCTCTCTCTGTGCCTTAGTGTCTATATATGTCTCTCTGTGCGTCCATGTGTAGAAAGAAAACCTTGCAGCCACACCATTCTATTCAGAACCGGTTTAACTCCTTGTACTTTCTCTCTTAGACCACGTGCTGGACTGCCTGATGGACTCGGAGGTGAACGTGGACCGGGTCAGACCCAGTTCTATCCTGAACGACACGTGTGTGAAGCATGTGGTGCAACGCTCTGGGATGAAGTTTGTCTGGACCAAACTCAGTGAAACCAGAGAGAAGGTGAACAAGGACGCCACCTGCAGGTCAGTCAGGGAGCTACAGTGACCCCATTGTGCCCATTGTGTGTGTGTGTGTGTGTGTGTGTGTGTGTGTGTGTGTGTGTCCCCGTCCATAGACTGTATTTAGATGGACAATGCCAACCTGCAATTTCTATGACGCTCAATAAGAAAGTGCTCCAACTCGCTCTGGTTCCTATTAACTTGCATGTAAAAGAAAACACCTAGCCCAGTAACCGTTTGTGTCACACTCACCACTTTGGGCATAAAAATCCATGGTTTAGCGCTGTGAACCTATTGTTTTTAGTATAATATCATCTTTGTAAATCTCCTCTGGCCCGGAGTTGTGGGCTGCACCCCCTTCCCTGCCTGGAAGCCTCCTCAGTCCTTGTTCTACAGCCTTAGTCCTACAGTAGATCTATAGTATGTCCTTCCTCTCTCAATACTGGCCTTCCGGAGGTTTCTGACTCTTTTCCCACTGGTCACTTTTGCTTGAGTTCCTTGCAGAGGCAGGAGGATCTAAGGACAGTGATGATCCGGGACATTTATGGACATTTATGGACATTGGTCATGCCGCTCCCGATGGATCAATGGCTCCTATTTGGTTGATATTATTGCATTTCCTGTGTTTGAACAGTTTAATTCTCTGATCTCCAAGAAGACTGCTCTTGTGATTTAGGGCTATACAAAAATGAATACATTTGAATGGAATTAAATCCATATATAAGCCGTAATGATTGACGAATCAAAGGCCTTAGTTCGTGGGGGGAACTCTTTGGGGAACTCCAGCCTGCTTGCTACAGCACCAAGCCAACCCTCTCATAACAAATACCCAGACTCCGTTATAAGGAAATTGTCTCCAGCTTCAAGCTACAGTCTGTGTGTGTATTTGATATGTCAGATGCTAACCACTCTGCCGCTGTCTTTCAGAGCGCCTGACCCCGCCCTCCTCAGGCCCCGCCCCCCTGTGGTCACCATCATGGGCCACGTGGATCACGGCAAAACCACGCTGCTCGACAGTCTGCGTATGAGTCAGATCACGGCGACGGAGGCTGGAGGCATCACGCAGCACATCGGGGCCTTTACAGGTAAAATCAAACACAAAGATATGAAACATTAAAGCTTGGGTACTTGACTTTATTTCTCCATAAAACACACATGTTTTCTGTTCTAACAGAAAGAGCCTAGTGAAAGTCATTCAAAAATCAGACTAATACATGTCTACTTAGCCCTGTGAGCTGAAATGACAAAATGACATGCATGTGATAACTAGAGATATCATGGAACCAAACTGTTTTCGAGCCAAGAACTTAGTTCCCTGTGAATTCTGGTCTTTCGTCTTTAGTCCTAGTCTAAACTCTGTCTCAGGTCTCTGATATCAGGTCTCTTGCCTCTGGTCTTTGGTCTCTCACAGCTTCTAGTCTTTAATCTCTGGTCTAATCTCAGTCTCTGGTCTTTGGTCTTTTGTCTAATCTCGGTATGTGTTCTTTCTCAGTGCGTCTGGCCAGTGGGGAGACCATGACCGTCTTGGACACCCCGGGACACGCAGCCTTCTCTTCCATTCGCGCTCGCGGAGCTTCCATCACAGACATTGTAATCTTGGTTGTTGCCGCGGACGATGGCGTGATGGAGCAGACGGTGGAGTCCATCCGACACGCCAGGAACGCAGGAGGTGGGTCCAAGAGAGGCAAGGCAAGGCAAGGCAAGGCAAGTTTATTTGTATAGCACAATTCATACACAAGGCAACTCAAAGTGCTGAACAAGATAGCATTAAAATCATAAATAATAACAGAACATTAAAACGAAAGATAAAAATATAAAATCCCTCAGTTGTAATGCAGGACCAACCTCTCTCCAAAACTCACAAAACACTAAGTGGTTAGCACTGAGTATCAACATCTGGAGAGGGGTCCCCGGGCGCTGTGCAGCGACCCCTGCTCCGGACAGAGGCCAAAGTTCCCCAAGGGGAACAGTGCATTTCATTTCAATTGTCTGATATTGAAGAACCAAATAACTGAACAGAGTGAATACTGTCTGATCCCGATCCATATTTGTGCTTGACTTTTTCCAAGTCTCACCTTGGACTCGCCATGTATTTATCGACAACATCTAGAACAGAAACAGGCTTCTTATCTGTTTCAAATCCAGGTTAAAAAAAAGGAGGATTGTATCTTCACTTTTTTGAATGTTCTGTTCTTATGATTTTAACGCCTTATGTGATCGTTTCTAATTGTTGCATTGTGTATGAACTGTGCTATACAAGTAAACTTGCTTTGCCTTAACAAACCTAGTCCTGAACCATGACAACAAAAACATTGTATATTTTCTTTGGTGGGTCAAATACAAATAAGTTCTTGGCCTAATAACATTAACATGAAAGTATACTATAGAATACAGACACTGTCCAATCCATCCACAGGTTGTATTTTGCTTAGAATGTTTCTGAACGGCGGTGATTCCACTGAGAAGTGCTGGTCCTTGGTTCAGTCGTGACTCTGCCTGGTTGTGTCCGTAGTGCCGATGATCGTAGCGGTGAATAAATGTGACAAAGTCCAGGCTGATCCAGAGCGAGTGAAGAGGGAGCTGTTGTCACATGACGTCGTCTGTGAGGAGTTCGGAGGCGACATCCAGGCCGTGCACGTGTCTGCGCTCAAGGTACTGCCCCCTACTGGACAAACACAAACTGCACATGTACGCAGGAGCCGTCTATAAGGGGGCGTGGCTTATCTCCACAGGGGGAGGGGCTTGTGGAGCTGACGGAGGCGGTGGTGGCGTTGGCTGAAGTCCTGGAGCTAAAAGCCGAACACGAGGGAGCCATGGAAGGAGCGGTGATAGAGAGTCGCACCGACAAAGGAAAAGGGTGAGGGGAAGTCGACAATGTTCTTTCACACGGATAAGATCTTGTCTTGAATATTATAAAATGATTATTATGAATTTGAGATAAGATAAGATGTGCTTTATTTATCTCACATAGGAGAAATTTACATGTCACATTTGGCATGGATAGAACACTCAGATTGTGCAAAAGGAGGAAATGTGCAAACATGTTACATGCAGGATATATATGTACAATAAAGTGACAATAATTATGTGCAACAAAAGTGACAAGTGTCAATTGGAAACAGTGTCAATAGTAGTGCAGGTTTTCACACAGTGATCATTTAAAGTGACTTATTGTACAGTCTGACAGCGGTGGGGATAAAGGCCCTGCGGTAGCGCTCCTTCCTACACTGAGGGTGCCTCAGTCTTCCACTGAAGGAGCTCCTCAGCTCCTCTACAGTCCTGTGCAGTGGGAGGTGTTGTTCATGATGGAGGTGGCTTTGGCTAGCACCCTCCTCCACAGAGTCCAGGGAGCAGCCCAGAGTGGAGCTGGCCCTCCTGACCAGCTTGTTCAGTCTGTTTCTGTCCCGCTCTGTGCTGCCCGGGGCCCAGCACACGGCAGCGTAGTAAATGGCAGAAGCTACCACAGAGTCATAAAAAGTCCTGAGCAGAGGCCTGCTCACTCCGAAGGACCTCAGCCTCCTCAGAAGGACCTCAGCCTCCTCAGAAGGAAGAGGCGACTTTGGCCCTTCTTGTGCAGGGCGTTTGTATTATGGGACCAGTCCAGTTTATTGTTAATGTGAACACCCAGGTACTTGAAGCTGTCCACCAGCTCAATGTCCTCCCCCTGGATGTTCAGCAGCGTGTAGGAAAGTGGTTTTCTCCTGAAGTCGATGATCATCTCCTTGGTCTTACTGGTGTTCAAGCACAAGTGGTTGCGCTCACACCAGTCGACAAAGTCCTTGATAACCGACCGATATTCCAGTTCGTTCCCCTAGGGGGGGGGGCAGATGGAGAGGGGGGAGAATCAAACCGGTTGAAGTACTGGTTAAATTCATCCGCCCGGTGCTGGTCTCCATCCGCTGTTCCTCTGGCACTCTGTCCAAAGCCAGAGATGTTCTTTAGGCCTCTCCACACGTCGCGGGCGTTTAAGCTCAGGGGTCACCCATGGGTGGTTGTTAGAAAAACACCGCACCTTCTTAGTTGGTACAGTGTTATCCACACAGAAGAGAATATAGTCTGTAATGCAGTGTGTCAGCCTCTCCATGTCCTCACCATGAGAGCTGCAGATCATTTCCCAATCAGTGTTTTGAAAACAATCTCTCAGCATCTCATCCACATCATCGCTCCACACTTTTACAAGCCTATAGAAAGGTTTTCATACGACAGTAGTATCAAAGTAAAGCTGTCAGTGGCCGTGTCCTTACTGTCTCTGGAACCATAGCTTCTTTAGTATAATCCTATAACAATTATACTAAATATTCCAGTGTTTTGGGGTAAATGTGTATTTTCCATTTAACACTAGGGCTCCCAGAGCAGTCATTTTGGACTGCAAATCAATGGAATTCTGAAACCCCTAAAAAAAAGTTTGTTAGTGTTCCACTGGAGCAGTCAAAATGACAGCTCTGGGAGATAAAGTTAGAACTACTCACCTTTTAAAAAATATAGATTTCATTTTTAAGTACTGTTATATAAATCTTATCGTAAAGCAATCAGCAGGGTCAGCTGATAGATGGGCGTCTGGACGTCTCCCATCTTTCAGCCGACCTTGCTGCCAACAGATTATATGTGCTGTGTTTGAAGAGTCAGATTGCTTTACTATAATATTTCTATAACAGTACATACGTAGAAATAAACTACATGTAGGTACAGGAAAAAGTGACAAAGTTATGAAGACCAGAACTAAAACTGTTAAAATGACTGGTCTTGAAGTTCTAGCATTAATAATAGTGAAATATACATTTATGTAGCACTATAAACACAAGGAAATGTATCCACTTGATACTATGAGAACACGCTCTCTGGAAACACAAGATGGCTGCCACAGTGAACGAGAACCCATGCTCTCTCTAGTCCCTCATATAAGCTTTATGTCTCAGTCCTGTCAGCACTGCCCTGGTCCAGAGGGGGGCGCTGCAGAGGGGAGCAGTCCTGGTCTCCGGTCGGACGTGGGCCAAAGTCCGGTTCATGTTCGACGAAAGCGGGTCAACCTTGGACCGAGCCGAGCCGAGCCAAGCCGTGCAGATCTGTGGCTGGAGAGAGCTGCCGTCAGCCGGGGAGAGCATCCTGGAGGTGGAGACAGAAGTAAGACCGGGTCTGAGAAGCGGTCCTTATGCTTTGTAAATATATAGAGAGAACGCAAAAAACTCAGTCTATTCAATGTTGCTGCCAAACTGGTCTGAGCGCTCTGGTGCCAGTCTACATGCTGAGGGCTGTATCCAAACTCAGGCCCGGGGGCCAAATGCGGCCCTCAGTGTCATGTTATGTGGCCCTCTGCCTTGCAAACCTAAAGTTGTCAATGAGATCATAAACACAAGTTCACTGTGTCATCCAGCCAACTTCAGCTTAGCCAATATAGACCTTGTTCTAAAGCCCAGTCAGTTATTTCTGCATACGGTACTGACACGGTTTTTGATTGTGTCACAAACGTCCGTTAAAGATGCTAATGTAGCTGGTGAGATGGTAAGCATGTGTCATTCAGCCAACTTCAGCTCTGTTATAGATCATTTTAAAGCTCAGTCAAGACAGTTTTTCAGTCTGAGATGTCGGCCCCTGAACTAGTCTGGTGAACTAAAGTGGCCCTATTACTAAAAAGTTTGGACACCCCTGCTGTAACTGATCAAACGGAGCCTTGTGGCACTTTTAAAGGCGTCTTGTTACTTTGCTTTAGCACTGGAACTTTGGAACAGTAATAGTAAATATAAATGCCTTCATACATGCGCTACAAACACACTTTTGGCAAATGTTCTAGTTTACTCTGAGCATTTGATTTTAAGTCCTTTAATTTGTGTAGTGAAACTTAACGCACCATGTTTCCTGCTTTTCAGTTAAGTTGTACTTTATTTATCAGCGTTGGGAAATTTGTCCTCTGCACTTGACCCATCCTGTATAATGCCACTAGGGCCTCTGTGAGGAGCAGTGGTACAGAACTAAAACAGAATGATGAGGGACTGTATACCAAAATTACCAAAAAATACTGCTCCGAATACATTCATTTCTAGTATAAGCATGGCGTTTTCCTGTGCTCTTAAATGCATCCGATGACACTGTTTCGGTAGTATCTGTTTTTCGTACTTCAAATTCATTGACTACATGCGTCTTTCTCAGTCAAATTAATTTAGTCTTTCGGCAAGTTTTCCGCCGGTTTTGTAAACGTACTCCGTGCTGAAGATGGCAGCAGCAGTTCTCTTGTATCTCACTCCACCAGCTCTAAACGTGTGCTTCCTCCGTCCTGCAGCAGAGGGCGAGAGAGGTGCTGTCGTACCGTCTGTATCTGGACGATCAGCAGCGGCAGAGCGAGGAGCAGAAGACGGTATCGGCCAATCAGGAGGCTCATCAGACTCAGTACCGCCTCCAGAGGGCGGAGCTTGCACACCTGAGCTGGAGGCAGCGGAAGAACGCCCTCTACCAGAAGAACAAGGAAGTGTTTAACACCAGAGCAAAAGAACGAGACTCGGAGGAGGGCTCACCGCGACTCGGGATCATCATCAAAGGTATTACTTGTCACTGTTTTTTAACCAACTGTTTTATTTATTTTTTACTTGTTTGGAGGATAAGATCCTAGAGATGAGACATTTCGTTTTCAAGGGGGTTCTCAAAATTGCACCAATGACAAATACAGTAAGGCAGACAGTGAAGCAGACAGTAAATGTTAGATAGATAGATAGATCGATACTATATTGATCCCCGTAGGAGAAAATCAGGTGTCCAGCAGCAGAAGACTCATTCAGGTTTGTTGTACAGTCTGACAGCCGAAGGAACAAACGATCTCTTGAAACGTTCCGTTCGGCAGCGTAGTGACAGGAGCCTGTTGCTGCGGTTACTCCTCTGAGCGGCCATAGTGTCATGCAGACATAACACATTGTATCATGATAACATATTACATAAAAAAGACAAAATCATGAGACAAAACACACACACTCACTAACTAAAATTACAGGGTTAAGGCTAGTATTATAGTAATGAATAAATACATACAGGTTCATAATCTTGGATTCTTAGATAACATTGATTCTGGAGATACTGTACAAGAGCATTTTTAGAGGCAGAGGAGTTGCAGAGGGGGTCGGTATCGTTCAAAAGTTCATGTATTTCTGTAACTCGACTTACGATGTGAATCTAATGCGTTAATAACAAATACAGACATATTGACATTTGATATATCCAAAAAAGAGGTTCTTAATCTCAATAAAAAAGTGAAAACAATCTCACTTAGCACTTTGATATGCGTCTTATTGACACAGTTTCACATCGTAATTTTAATTGCAGAAGATGTGTGCCTTACTTTCTCATTTGTTTAAGGTTTTGCTTTTTATACACCCTTATATACTATGAACAATGTGTCTGTTTTTATTTTCATTGTTTACATGTTTGTTTTTTTCCAGGAGACGTGGACGGCTCAGTAGAAACTCTCCTGAACGTTCTGGACTCGTATGACGCCCAGGACCAGTGTGAACTCAACCTGATTCACTTTGGAACCGGAGACGTTTCAGAGACGGACGTGAACCTGGCTCACACCTTCTCTGGTCAGTTAGTTACTTACCGTACTTTCTAGACTATAAGCAAAGTTCATTTTGTCCACATATAAGCCGCGCCTGAATATAAGCTGCAGGTTTTCATGTTGTAATGAAGCAGAGAGACGACTGTTTTAACTGGACAGGATTTGATGACGAGGCGTTAGCTTAAAGGGGACATATCATGAAAAATCCACTTTTTGTGTCTTAAATGCCTGATGTTGTGAAGTTGGAGCCTCTAGAAGTGCAAAAAAGTTCAAATCAGTCTCTTCATGGGTTGCAGAGAACACTTCATATTCTGTTTAGGTAAGATTTTTCAACCCGTTCTGATTTTTGCGTCCAGCCGCTCGCAGCCGATCCACCGTGTTGCGGCTGAACGCGCAGCCTCAACGTGGCCATGTACCCAACCCCATAAACGCGCACAGGACCATGCGTGTCTTTGTGTAATCTGTGCACACAATAAATACACTGCTGCAGGAAAGAGTCCGCGTCTCCCCTCTCCTCTCGAAGCGCGATTAAACACCCTAAATAAAGCTCTGATACCTAAATTTTGCATTGCATTAAAAGTTCATGTTTGAGCCCAAAAGTAAAATGTTGTGAACAAATTAAACAGATTTAGAGCCAGCTAATGGCTGACAATATGCATTTCAGACTTTTTTGACCAATTCTCATCCCTGTAACAAACAATAATAATAATGCATCGGTTTTATATAGCGCTTTTTTGGACACTAAAAGACGCTTCACATGTCATTATTCATTCACTCCATACACGGTGGTGATAAACTACTACTGTAGCCACAGCTGCCCTGGGGCACACTGACAGAAGCGAGGCAACCAGTATGTGCCATTGGCCCCTCCGACCACCACCAACCATTCACACACACACCAGACTCATTCTAGGCAATGGGGGTGAAGTGTCTTGCCTAAGGACACAATGGCAGTTTGGCACTTTACAGCCGCAGCCGCCCCACTGTGGCTGGTGTTCCCAGAGGTTAAGTGTCTTGCCAAGGACACAACGACAAAAGTCAGTGGGAGTCGATGGTGAAAGTCTTGAGCGGGGCTTGAACCCACGACCTTCTGGCTCAAAGGCCAACGCTCTACCAACTGAGCTACTGCCGCCCCAACACAATAGTGTTGTCTGTGTCCACCTCCTTCACTCTGAGACATGTTTATTACTCTCTTGTAATGTAGACTATTGCATTTTATTTTATTGTTGAAACTGCACATATCCTGATCCTCTACAGATCATGTGTCAAAGTCAAGGCCCGCGGGCCAAATCCGGCCCGCAAATGAATTATCTATGGCCCCCGGGACATTGCCTGCCATTGAGGCAATGTATTGACCCCTTAAGCTCGCTAGCCCCCGCCGGCGGGAGCAAACGAGGAAAAAAATACATCTGCTGGCAATAGCAGATGTATTTTGAACTTCATAAGCCACAAGCTATATATCATTTTAAAGCTTATTTTCTCAGCTATATTTATATGTAAGTGTAAACGATATCAGACATTAAAAAGATATAACGCATAATGGGCACAAAATAAATCACGTCTGTATTCGTTTTTTACCTTTCGTCTTCTGCTGCTCCAACAAATTAGACGTTCCCCATCCTTGCTTAGTCTCTTTCTCTCCGTAACTGTTCATTGAAGAAGAATATCCACTTGTATTTCCCAAAGTATAATCCATTCTGCAGATTTAATCAAAAAACGCCCCGAAAAGAGGTCCAGACTGCTCTTTTACATTTCACCAAGTTTGAGCTTTTTTTTTTTTTTTTACTATTTTTATTGGCTTTGGAGCATATTTTATCGAGCCAACAGGTGTCACCAGCACTGCCTCTGGATGTTGAGAAACATTGAACCAGTCCGGCCCTCGGCGCGTAGCAAACTTTTTTTTTTGGCCTTCTGATGTATTTGACTTTGACATGCCTGCTCTACAGTATTTGCTTCCACATACTGTATAAACTAGGAGTCGGCAACCTGCGGCTCCGGAGGTGCATGCGTCTCTTTCCTTCTGTAGAAGGAAAAACGTTCTTAACGTTTTTAAATGCTGTAAAATTGTGCATAAGTAATATTCAATTTAAACATTTCTGTCAACGTAGTGCGTCATATCCTGCGACGTAGGCCAGTGCCAGGCGGCCGCTGTTGTAAACAAACCGGCGTGTGAGCTCTGCTTGTTACAAGTCTCTCCATGGCCTCGCTCCAAAATATATTAGTGACATGTTAGTACCATACGAACCAGCCCGGAGACTCTGAGGAGCACAGGGACTGGACTCCTGCTGGGACTCTGAGGATCACAGGGACTGGACTCCTGCTGGGACTCTGAGGAGCACAGGGACTGGACTCCTGTTAGTGCCCAGAGTCAGAACTAAACATGGGGAGGCTGCTTTTCAGATTCATGCTGCTAAAACCTGGAACAGTCTTCCTGAAGATGTGAGACAGGCCTCCTCTCTGACAATGTTTAAAACCAGGTTAAAGACAGTTCTGTTTAGCTGTGCATAGAACTGAGGGATTTTATATTTGTATCTTTCTTTTTAATGTTCTGTGATTATTTATGATTTTAATGCTTTCTTATTTTGTTCAGCACTTTGAGTTGCCTTGTGTATGAATTGTGCTATATAAATAAACTTGCCTTTCCTTGCCTTGACTGTGCGCATGGATCCCAAAGCCAAAAAGAGAAGAGTCGATAATAAGACTGGACTAAGATTGAAAATTAACATTTGCTTTCAGTCAATGAGGAAGGCCTGCTTCATGTTTGCGATGTAATGAGAAGTTTCTATGAGATAATTGTATCTGTGCTTAGAAACTACAAAAATGGCCGCTCGGGGTGGAGTTGAACCTGTGTCACCTGGATGGGGGCGTGGTCAAAAGCGCCTCATTTGCATTTAAAGAGACAGCACCAAAACAGGTTGCTCTCAGACGCACCTCAGAACAGGTGTAGAAGAAAGGCCCGTGGAGCTACAAATAATGAGACTCAGACCCAGGCATTGCAGTTACGCTTTATATAGACCACAAATTAATTATTTAGATGTAAAAATCAATTATTTGAAAACATGATATGTCCACTTTAATCGTTAGCTTCCATGATTCATTTACCTTCATCATCTGTTTTGACAAAAAGAGTCCATAGAGTCCATAGAGTCCATAGAGTCCATAGAGTCCATAGAGTCCATAGAGTCCATAGAGTCCATAGAGTCCATAGAGTCCATAGAGTCCATAGAGTCCATAGAGTCCATAGAGTCCATAGAGTCCATAGAGTCCATAGAGTCCATAGAGTCCATAGAGTCCAGCTGGCTATAGCTACTAAACAGCCGACTCTATCACTATAAAAATACACATCTTAGCCTCATCGCTATATAAGCCGCATGAAAAATGTAGCTGCTAATAGTCCAGATGTTACGGTAGTTAGTTTTGCAAGAACTCCAAGTTATAACAGTATCTCTTTGTTTATTGTGTACAGGTTCTGTTTACGGCTTTAACGTGTCAGTTCCACGCCCCGTCCAGCAGATGGCGCTGAAGAAGGGAGTTCCAATCAAACTGCAGTCTGTCATTTACAAACTCATAGAAGAACTGAAGGAGGAGCTGAGTCAAAAACTGCCTTCAGAGACCACAGAGAATGTACTGGGTAAGAACCATGGGCTGCAAGAACCATGGGCTGTAGGAACCATGGACTGTAGGAACCATGGACTGTAGGAACCATGGGCTGTAGGAACCATGGGCTGTAGGAACCATGGGCTGTAGGAACCATGGGCTGTAGGAACTATGGGCTGTAGGAACCATGGGCTGTAGGAACCATGGGCTGTAGGAACCATGGGCTGTAGGAACCATGGGCTGTAGGAACCATGGGCTGTAGGAACTATGGGCTGTAGGAACCATGGGCTGTAGGAACCATGGGCTGTAAGAACCATGCACTGTAGGAACCATGGACTGTAAGAACCATATACTGTATAAGAACCATCGACCGTAAGAACCATCGACCGTAAAAACCATGACAAAGCCTGGCTCTTACTGTACACTCGAGCCTGAACACAAACTGAACCGTGGTCTCTGCTCTGGTACCAGGTGAGGCCCAGGTCTTGGCCATGTTCCAGGTCTCTGTGGGGAAGAAGAAGGTCCCGGTGGCTGGATGCAGAGTCCAGAAAGGACTTTTGGACAAAAAGCATAGATTCAGAGTCCTGCGGGCGGGACGTGTGCTGTGGGAGGGTACGTCACTGTCTACTCTGGTCTGGTCTGTGGACTGTGAATATTAGTCTGGTCTCTTTGGTCTCTGGCCTAAATCTGGTCACTCTAAACTCGGTCTCTATGGTCTCTCTTGTCTCTCTCGCCTTGCTTGTCTAGTCTTGCTCGTCTCTCTGGCCTCTTCTCTGGTCTCTATTCTCTCTGGTTTGTGGTCTCTCTGGTCTCTCTGGTCTCGCTTGTCTCTCTGGTCTCGCTTGTCTCTCTGGTCTTGCTTGTCTCTCTGGTCTCGCTTGTCTCTCTGGTCTTGCTTGTCTCTCTGGTCTTGCTTGTCTCTCTGGTCTTGCTTGTCTCTCTGGTCTTGCTTGTCTCTCTGGTCTCGCTTGTCTCTCTGGTCTTGCTTGTCTCTCTGGTCTTGCTTGTCTCTCTGGTCTTGCTTGCCTCTCTGGTCTTGCTTGTCTCTCTGGTCTTGCTTGTCTCTCTGGTCTTGCTTGTCTCTCTGGTCTCGCTTGTCTCTCTGGTCTCGCTTGTCTCTCTGGTCTCGCTTGTCTCTCTGGTCTCGCTTGTCTCTCTGGTCTCGCTTGTCTCTCTGGTCTCGCTTGTCTCTCTGGTCTCTCTGGTCTCTCTGGTCTCGCTTGTCTCTCTGGTCTCGCTTGTCTCTCTGGTCTCGCTTGTCTCTCTGGTCTCGCTTGTCTCTCTGGTCTCGCTTGTCTCTCTGGTCTCGCTTGTCTCTCTGGTCTCGCTTGTCTCTCTGGTCTCGCTTGTCTCTCTCGTCTCGCTTGTCTCTCTCGTCTCGCTTGTCTCTCTCGTCTCGCTTGTCTCTCTGGTCTCGCTTGTCTCTCTGGTCTCGCTTGTCTCTCTGGTCTCGCTTGTCTCTCTGGTCTCGCTTGTCTCTCTCGTCTCGCTTGTCTCTCTCGTCTCGCTTGTCTCTCTGGTCTCGCTTGTCTCTCTGGTCTCGCTTGTCTCTCTGGTCTCGCTTGTCTCTCTGGTCTCGCTTGTCTCTCTGGTCTCGCTTGTCTCTCTGGTCTCGCTTGTCTCTCTGGTCTCGCTTGCCTCTCTGGTCTTGCTTGTCTCTCTGGTTTCGCTTGTCTCTCTCGTCTCGCTTGTCTCTCTCGTCTCGCTTGTCTCTCTCGTCTCGCTTGTCTCTCTGACCTTGCTTGTCTAGTCTTGCTCGTCTCTCTGCTCTCTAGTCTCTGTTCTAAACCCGGTCTCTGTTCTCTCTGGTCTCTGTTGTTTGTTCTCTCTGGTCTTTCTGGTCTTTCTGGTCTCTGTTCTCTCTGGTCTCTGTTCTAAACCCGGTCTCTGGTCTCAGGATCCCTCTCTGCGCTCAAACACCACAAAGACGACGTGTCTTCAGTGAAGCTGGGGTCGGACTGTGGACTCTCTGCAGACGGAGACGTAGACTTCAGCCCCGGAGACATCGTCCAGTGTTTCGAGGAAGTGCAGACCCCCCAGACCTGCGACTGGACCCCCCCAGGGTTCTAACACAGAGACTCCCCCCGGACCTGAGACTGGACCCCCCCCTGGGTTCTAACACAGAGACTCCCCCCCGGACCTGAGACTGGACCCCCCCCTGGGGTTCTAACATACAGATTATTTAAACTGAGAATGCATTTATGTCACAATGAAAGATTATGTTCCCAGATGTTTTATGTAATATAAACTATATTTGAAATTGATATTAATTAAGTGTTAAGTGGTTTATCACAGGCACTGATCGACCAATCATCGAGCCTTTTGATTATAGGCCCACATTATCGAGCAAATAACGGTAAATGTTTCTATACTTTTTTCTGTTTTTCACTAGTCAAATCTTTAGTCTTGCTTTCTCCAGCCTACAGACCAAAACAGTCATATAAACTACTGCACTCATATTCTACCAAACATTCCGGACTATAAGCCGCACCCGCATATAAGCCGCACATGTGTATAAGCCGCACCTGCATATAAGCCACACTAGCAACAACTGTAAATAAAGTACATTTTGTCCACATATAGGCCGCACAGTTTCTACATTCAAGGCCAGGCTAAAAACATTCCTTTTTGATTCAGAATATGGATATGTAGGTACCATGATGATCTGTGACACTTTTGGATAATCATTACCATGTATGGACAGTGGTCATCCTGCTCTATGGACCAATGGCTGTTGTGATTTAGTGTTAGTCAGCCATAGACCAGTGTATGATTATTCAAATACTGCAAGTGGGAGATTATTGAAAATAGACATTACATACACTGTATTAATTTTTTTATCCCTATCATTAGCTGAGACCCTCTCATCTGGTTTCTGCTCTCTGACTCCATTCTCTCTCTCTGGTCTTTATGATCTCTCTGGTCCCTCTTGTCTCTGTGGTCTCTCTCTAGTCTCCATGATCTCTCTGGTCTCTCTCTGGTCTCTCTTGTCTCCACAACCTCTCCAGTCTATCTTGTCTCTCTTGTTGTCTCTGGTCTCTCTTGTATCTGTGGTCTTTCTGGTTTGTCTTGTCTCTATAGTCACTCTTGTTTCGCTGGTCTCTTATGGTCTTTCTACTCTCTCTTATCGCTATGGTCTTTGGTCTATTGTCTCTCTTGTTTCTCTTTGATCTAAACACAGCCTATGTTCTCTCTGTTCTCTTCATCTCTGGTTCTGAGTGACCATCCAGGCCTCCCTCTCTCTCCTCCAGTGAACCATAAAGAACAAGACACATCCGGCCTAATATATATTTATTTAAAGTTCCATATAAAATAATCTGTTGACAGTCTGTGCATCTCTCACATTCACGGTCATTCCTTTACATTCAAGCTTCAAAGATGGAGGAGAACAAGACACAAGTCCCACGTCCAAAGAAGTCCCCTTGATTGGAATACAAATTGGAAGACACAAAAAAACCATGCACCTTCTGTCATGTCTTCTGCCTTCAACTCACTGGACATTTGTAAATTGGAATAATCTAGATTCTGGCTGGGAATGGACAAAGAATCAAGTATTGTAATTGTTTTTCTATTGCCCCGTTTCCACCAGCCCTGCTTGGTCTATACTCTATTCTACTCTACTCTACTCAACTCTACCAGGACTTTTTTAGTACCTGCTTGGTTCTGGTTATATACAGGCTGAGCTGGTCCTAAAGTGCTTGACCAGAGTGCTGCTGGAAGCCATGGTTACCAAGGAATTTCCACCGATACTGGATTGTTGTGGGCAGGTCCCTGGGATACAGTACCAGGTACTAAAGCACAGTGTAAATACAATCGGGTAGAGTAGAGTAGACTTGAAATGCACCCACTGTGGGTTGAATAAAGGATTTCTTATTAGGGTACAGTAGGGTAGAGTAGAGTAGAGTAGAGTAGGTAGTAAATAATAGAGTAGGGTAGGATGGAGTAGAGTAGAGTAGAGTAGTAAAGAGTAGAGTAGATAAGGATAGGGTATTCTTGAAAAGGGCAGGGGACAATAGAGTAAAGTAGAGTAGAGTGGGTATAGAGAAGAGTAGGGTAGTGAAGAGTAGAGTAGAGTAGGATAGATTAGAGTAGACTAGGGTAGAAAAGAGTAGAGTATAGAAGAGTAGGGTAGGGTAGTGTAGAGTAGACTTGAAAAGGGTAGAGTACAATAGAGTAGAGTAGAGAAGGGTACAGTAGGGTAGGATAGAGAAGAGTAGAGTAAGGTAGGTAGAGTCGAATAGGGTAAGGTAGGGTAGAGTAGAGTATAGTAGGGTAGAGTAGTATAGAGTAGGGTAGTATAGAGTAGGGTACAGTAGAGTAGGGTAGAGTAGAGTATAGTAGGGTAGAGTAGTATAGAGTAGGGTAGTATAGAGTAGGGTACAGTAGAGTAGGGTAAGGTAGGGTAGAGTATAGTATAGTAGGGTAGAGTAGAGTAGTATAGAGTAGGGTAAAGTAGGGTAGAGTAGACAAGAGTAGAGAAGGGTAAGGTAGTTTTTCTTCTGATTTCTTCCTTGTTTCCTCCCCTTTTTTCCTTTTCTAATCTGTTTCCGCTTTAACTTCCTCTTCACAAAACACCTTCTGCTGCAGACCCCTCCCACTTGCCCGACACATTCTCAATTTCTGACCTTAAAGGAGACATATCATGCTTCTGTCTGAGTCTCACGTGGATAAAAAACATCTGAAATCTTTAATATCGATCCTAAACCGCTTCCTCAAAGACACAAGACCAAGCTTTTTAGGAACAGTCATAACAGTTAAAGTTCAGCAGCGAAAAAGTAAAACTTTTGAGAAGCTTTTTGTAAAATTATTGTAGACTTAATATTTATCGTCAGTGCGTCACGTCAATAACTTTGCATATTTTCAAATCCTTCACAGAAAAATACAATTTAGAGCGTTTTATACAGCTCTGTGGAACATTCCAGACAATACCATCACCATGACAACAAAGACCTCTTAGACCTGCCCCACAGTAAGTTCTTCTGAAGTCCGGGTCTGGACCCGAGTCTGGACCTGGGTCTGGACACAGATTTTGACCTTTGACCAAGGCTTGGACCCGGGCTTGGACCTGGGTTTGAACCTGGATCTAGGCTTGGACCTGGACCCGGACTTGGACCTGGGGTTGGAACTGGCTCTGGTCTGGGTCTGGACCTGGTTCTAGACCTGGCCCTGGTCTGGGTCTGGACCTGCTTGGTTCTGGTTTAGGCACATAGTTTAGTCCTGTTTCGTTCCCGGTACATTCCTGACGTTGCCATGCCAACAGCAGTTATTGCATTAAGCGAAAACAAACAGGACGTTATGGTTTTGCGTTCCAGAAAAATATATAAAAAGCAAGCAGCTGTTTTTAGGAACATTTCAGAATAATTAAAATCTGCAGCATTCGTTTCATTTTTGAATTTATAAATTAGACAAAATTCTGCCAAAAAGTAGAAATGGGCGATATTTAAGTATTGGCCTCGGTTTTACCACATTAACCCCGAAATATCACACAATAAGAGGATTTCACTAGATTTTCTCTTCATCACATGGAAAATAAAAAATATTTTTATTATTTACATTTATATTATTATTATTATTATTATATTATTATTATTTTATTATTATTACTATTATTATAATTATTATTATATGAATCAGGACCAGTTTTTACTTCCATGTCACACATAAACGCCTGAAAAATGAGCTATATTTCTATGCATCATCTAATATTATTCATTATTATTTATGAATTGAACCAAACTTCCAGACTCTCTGATCTGTTGTTGGTGAATGGACAACTTTGTACTCCGAGACTAATGTTGTGATTTAGTAAATTAAAACAATGAATAAGGTTGAAATGAAGACACCGGTTGTACCCGGCTTTATACAGTATTTACCAAAGAAAATATTGGCAGACTTTGATCCTTCTTCACGTAGAGATCGTTCCCAAGTGTAAATAGAGACTTCAGAATCAACGGAGGCCAAATCTACAGAGCCTTGGCTTCACAAAAAGTTCAGCCGTTTTTTTTTTTTTTTTTTGCGTTCTACAGTCTCCTAAAACAGATGCAATTCAGATTTTTGATGTTTTTTTGGTGCGTTTTACATGTGACGGGGTTAAAGTGGTAAATATGGCGCTAATATCCAGAAGTGAGTCAAAGTCAATCCTGTATCGGCCAAAACAGCAGTTCTTTTCTAAATGAGGGAGATAGTTATTTATAAACAAAACTAGACTCTGTACAGTTCGAGACTAGATGAATAGTTCCAATAAATATAAGAAAGCATTTAGTTCTATAAGCATTATCAGCAGAAAAATTAAACTCTCGACCTGATACTACCAAAAGACGACCATCGCACTGCCCCTGCGGGAAAGTGTCCATTTTGATCCTGTTTTTTGGATTCAGATAAAACTCTGAACGTGTGGAACCGCTGCAGTTTCTTTAGGCTCAAGCCTCGACCAGCGGCTGCTCCGAGATGTCCTCCGGGGTCCGCTCTCCCTCACGAGACCGTTTCCTCTTTTTGTGACCTGCAAAAAACAAGTATTTCTAAAGTTGTTGATGAATTTCAGATATGACTAATTTCAGCACTGATACAAATGGTAAAAAATGAGGTAATAATTGCTTGAATCAAATGTTTTTGTCTTAATTTGAGAACATTCTGACTGTGTTAAAACAAGATTTGCCAACGGGACAAAACCATTTAGACTTATTTCAAGAACTGCACTGCAAAAAGTGAAAATATAGACTAGTTTGTTGGAGCCAGTTTCCAATGTTTTCCTTTCAGAATCAGAATCATTTTTATTGTCACGTAAGTAACAGGAAGTCACAGACTTGGAAATTGCTTTGGCTCAGTGCAACAGTCAGCCTCCTGCCACTGTGTGGCGCCACCTAGATAGTGTGCCCTCTATAAGTAGGGCACTAATGACAGACAGGTGTTGTAGTGTGGAGGCAAACATCTTTCAACCGTTGTTTGTTACCACAGCTTAATATTTGTGTACTTGGCAACAAAAAAGGATTGTGGAACACAGTATTTTGCTCTGTCTGGATGGTGAGAGACACTCGTCCTAGACGACAACACACTGCATCCAGCGGACCTTGCACAGGGCAAGTTTTGGCCGCTACATAGTTAGTTCACTTGATTTCAGTGTATTTATCTAATCTTTATCTAAGACCGGAGCGGAGAGGATTCATGGTCCGGACCAAGTGGATCAGGTGATAATCCACTGGAGCAGGGGTGGCCAACCCGCGGCTCGTGAGCCGCATGCGGCTCTTTGGCTGGTTCCGTGCGGCTCTCGGGCTTTCACTCGACAAGCGTCAAAAACGCCTCGGTGGTGGCGCTGCCTTTCATTCCATATGTAGTTCTGACCAATAGTAAAGGCCGACTTCACTCCACTAGCCAGGCCGCCAAAACAATCTGACGTCGGCGAACGTCAATTCTGATTGGTCAGATGCGCTGTCAATCACTCTGCAGCTGTAGCAAATATCATAACAAACAACACGTTGCCTCGAACCATGACGTCCGTACGGAAAACAATTCCTTGGTTGCTGGATGAGGGCAACACCTTCCTCAGTTTGAGGAGAGGACACCAGCCTGATCTCGCTGGTTCCACCAGAAACCAGAAGGTGTTTGTGGAGCTAGCACTAAGGACGGAGCAGAATGATTCCCACAAACATGACAATGCAGAGAAAAGTTAAAAAGCTTAAAAGTGACAACCGTGAAATGAAAGATCACAGCAGCAGAAGTAGAGGCAGACCCGAAAAGTCTGGAGGTGGTTTGACCAAATGGATTACATTTACGGACATCGGCTAACACCGGCTAACATGCTAAAACCAGCTAGCACCAGCTACACCAGGAGATAAGCCAACTCTGCCTGGTGAGTGTCTGTCTTCAATCAAATGCAAAAGTATCTGGTCTTATACTGAGCATGTGTCTGGTTCTAAATCAGCTAAAGTGGTGTTGGTGTTGTGTGTCAAATCTATATCTTTTACTAAAGACAGTTGTGTTTCTGCTGAACACTGGGTTGAAACTTGATTTGTTTTCTTGGTTAGAGATTGAAAGCATTCATTTCGGAATCATAATTGATGTTCGCTGACGTGAAATTGTTCTGGTATCGACTCGCCCGGTTAGAACCAGGGCCAAACCATTAATAAAAAGTACCGGGGAGCGGTTGAAGCGAGCGGTGGAAGCGCCCGCAAACCGGGGAGAGTCGAGTCCAGCCCTTTAGTACTGTACGAGTCCATTTCTGTCATTATCATGTTGATGACATTTACAATAAATCTGTCTGAGCAGAGCACACCTCTCTCTGCTCAGACAGATTGCATGTGTGTGCGCGTGTCTGCTCGTGTGCGTGCGTGCGTGTGTAAGGGTTGGGGTGATGTTTATGTTGTGCACATTTGTATGATGTGGCTCTTTGCTGTAACACAGTAAAAAAAATTGGCTCTTAGTCTCTGACTGGTTGGCCACCCCTGCACTGGAGGAATGCTAACTTTTTGAAAAATGCTAATGAACCATTCAGCATTTTACTTCGGATCAGAGCAGAGAAAATGGTCCGAACCAAGAGGCTACTCCACCTCTGCTGCTGTGACCCGTCCTGCTCCACCCAAAGGCTACTCCACCTCTGCTGCTGTGACCCGTCCTGCTCCACCCAAAGGCTACTCCACCTCTGCTGCTGTGACCCGTCCTGCTCCACCCAAAGGCTACTCCACCTCTGCTGCTGTGACCCGTCCTGCTCCACCCAGAGGCTACTTCACCTCTGCTGCTGTGACCCGTCCTGCTCCACTTCTGCTGCTGTGACCCGTCCTGCTCCACCCAGAGGCTACTCCACCTCTGCTGCTGTGACGTAAAGGGCTGCTGCTGATTATTACTATTGTCAGCTTTTTTGAATGATCAATTATATTTTTATTTTTGCTGCTACTGGACACATGAATTTCTCTGACGGGGATCAATAAAGTATCTATCTATTTACTGTATCTAATCACATCATTTTTTGGAGTGTTTTACTCATGAAGGCTGAAAATACATCAGATAATGTTACTTGTTATTAATATCTTTCTTATTGTTTCAAGAAATGTCAACAAGTGGAAGAATCATGATCCACTGGCAGATCATTTTGCTTGAAAACAGTACATTTCCTCTAATAGTTTTCCGCTATTTTTTACAGTTTTTTTGGAGCCAATTTTTGCTGTGTTTCTTTATTTTCTCATTCCAATGGGGACATTTCTTGAATCCTTTTAAAACAAGATTATTTTTCTTTGTCCCATTTGCAAATCTTGTTTTAAGTCAGTCACAATGTGCTCAAATTAAGATAGATTTTGCCAAAAGAATCCCCCACTCCAGATAAACCAGATGCCAGATAATCTCTTGAATGGTGAGACATTGAGACATTCTCAAAGATTGGGTCTCTTACATACATTCATGCTCTCATTCTGACTTTCCATTCGCTCTCCACACAGACTTGTATTTCTTTGTTTATCAGTCACTCTCACAGTCATTCTCGGTCACTCCAGTTCAAGTCTTATCACTCCTGGCTCGCTTCACACATCTCATGTCACTTTCATACCAGTCTGAGTTGCCCAGGACTGTACTGGTTCTGGGCTCTGTATGTGTTTGTAATGTGTGTATGGTTACATTTCCCCCAATGTAATTAACATTAATGTTAAGTGACCTTAACATTAGCCAGTTTAGCACACATGGGTCTGAATGGGTCTCCGTACCAGTGCTCTCTGCTCTCTCACACATAGTGCAGAGAGAGCAGGCTGCAGTCCGCATGTGAATGAGGCGCAGCATAAAGAGCCGCTCTCACTGAGACCTCACCGAGACCTCACTGCAAAACTACAAAACTCTTTGGACAACACTGAAAAACTCTAACTTGATTTCACAGAGACTATTGTTTTGTTTATGCACGTGTCTGGTGCACACTGGGAGATTTTAGCACATGCATTTTAATGGGATTTTTCTGCAAATACACTGAATCTGAGACCAGAGAGAGACCAGAATGAGACCTCACAAAGACAAGAGAGAGACCATACAGAGACCAGAGAGAGACCAGAATGAGACCTCACAAAGACAAGAGAGAGACCACACATAGACCAGAGAAAGACCAGAAGGAGACCTCACAGAGACCAGAGAGAGACCAGAGAGAGACTCCACATAGACCAGAGAGAGACCGCACAGACCACACATAGACCACACTGTGACCTCACAAAGACCTCACAGAGACTTCACTGAGATCTCACTGAGACCAGAATGAGCCAACACAAAGACCACACATAGACCTCACTGAGACCTCACTGAGACCAGAATGAGACCAAACCGAGACCAGAGAGAGACAACACAGAGATCACACATAGACCAGAGAGAGACCAAACAGAGACCTCGCAGAGACCACACATAGACCAGAGAGAGACCACACAGAGACCACACAGAGACCAGAGAGAGACCACACAGAGACCTCACAGAGACCGCACAGAGACTCACTGAGCTTCAGCAGCAGTTTCTTTCCCAGCGTATCTTCAGATCCGCTCATGGACAGACCGCTGCTGCTGAGGAACGGAGACGTGTCCGAGTCCAGGCCGGAAACCAGGTCTGAGACAGAGGGGAGAAATTTAGAATAGGACTGGACTAGAACTGGACAAGGGTCAGACCAGGGCCGGACCAGAACTGAGCCAGGGATAAAACATGAGAGATGTAAAATGACCTGACCCAACTTAAACTGGACTAGATCAGAGATAGACCATGACTGAACCACGATGGACCAGAAATGGACCAGGGTAAGACCGGTAATGGACCAAGGCTGGACTAGGGATAGGGCATGACTAGACTAGGACGGACGGACCAGGACTGGACCAAAGATGCAACTGGGCCTGGGATAAAGTGATTTAAAACAACTTTAAAGTTCTCTTATATTAAGCTAACTCTCTCTCTCTCTCTCTCTCTCTCTCTCTCTCTCTCTCTCTCTCTCTCTCTCTCTCTCTCTCTCTCTCTCTCTCTCTCTCTCTCTCTCTCTCTCTCTCTCTCTCTCTCTCTCTCTCTCTCTCTCTCTCTCTCTCTCTCTCTCTCTCTCTCTCTCTCTCTCTCTCTCGTTGGTCATGTACCGGGGTTGGTGTCGGTCTCAGCGCGGTCCTCTCTGATGTACGGGACGTCATCCATCCTCAGAAAAACAGAATCACTCGGACTTCTTTGACCGTCAGATTTACTGCCTGAAGAAGAACAACATAAAAATTTGAGTGATTATTTGTGGTATTACAAAACATTTATATGCGACAATGAAGGTTGTGTCTCCTTTAAAGTCAGTTTCCCTTGTGGTAATTGTCATGTACCGTCTCAAACTTGTTGTTAGAGTGATGCATGTTTGTTTATTCTTGTTTATACTTTTTGGATTTGACTTTATTATCTATGTTTTATTTTGATTTCACATGTGTTCTCTGCCTTGAACGCTAGACTTACGGACGATGCGGTTTTTCTCGTTCAGGAGAGACGTGCTCTGGGTGGCGCTGGACTGCACTGAGCGCGTGCGAGCGGAACCTGGTCGCCATGACTCCCGGGGCGGCGGCATGAGGGAGGAGCTCTGCTGGGAGGGGGCGTGGTCAGGGGGGAGGAGTCTGCTCATGTTGTCAGGGGCATGGGTCAGGGGGGAGGAGTCTGCTCATGTTGTCAGGGGTGTGGTCAGGGGGGAGGAGTCTGCTCATGTTGTCAGGGGTGTGGTCAGGGGGGAGGAGTCTGCTCATGGTGTCAGGGGTGTGGTCAGGGGGGAGGAGTCTGCTCATGTTGTCAGGGGGCGGGGCCTCAGGGTGGGGGCTCGTCCCATCTGGATCTGGACTCTGGGGGGAATGGTCCATCCGGGACGCGGCCAGAGCGTTCTGGTAGTGACTGCGGCTGATCTGAGAACAGAGGAAATGAGGCAAAGTCAGTGCGAGAAACTACAAGGAAAATGTTTTATCTAAAATCAAGACTGTTCAATACTGCATCAGAATACTTTTCCCATTTATTTATTCATTTATCAAATAAAGCTGATAAATGAATAAATACTAGTGACTCTACTCTACTCTACTCTACCTTACTCTACTTTACTCTACTCTACTCTACTTTACTCTACCTTACTCTACCTTACTCTACTCTACTCTAACTTTCTCTACTCTACTCTACCTTACTCTACTCTACTCTAACTTTCTCTACTCTACTCTAGTCTAGTCTAGTCTAGTCTAGTCTAGTCTAGTCTAGTCTAGTCTAGCCGTCTGTATCAGCTAAATACATTTCTACTCAATGAGTGTTCACGCAGAGGACTTGGCTTCATTGAAAACTTTAATCTGTTCTGGAATAGGCACGAGCTTTTTGAAGAAAAAGGCCCACATCTGAACAACTACGGAGTAAAAGTGCTGATGGATAACTTTGCATCTGCCCTAAGACCTCAGCCTGCGCAGCGCGTGCAGCCGTTGAAAGGGAGAAAGAAGAAGCAAAGGGCACAGACATCACGACCATCTCCACCGACTCCCGAGGTCTCTGCACCCCCACCGCCTCAAAAGAACTCCACACCTCCACGATTCAAGAAGAACTCAACACCTCCAAGGTTCCAAAAGAACTCAACACCTCCACGGCTTCGAAAGAGCTCAACGCCTCCACCCCCAGCATCATCAGCAGCTGCCACATCTTCATCAGCGCCATCAGCATATACAGCACCACCAGCAGCAGTGGATACAGCCGCAGCAGTGGCTGCTCCATCATCTTCAGCAGCAGCAGTGGCTGCTCCATCATCTTCAGCAGCAGCAGTGGATACAGCAGCAGCAGTGGCTGCTCCACTGCTGCTGCTGCTGCAGTGGCTGCTCCATCATCTTCAGCAGCAGCAGTGGCTGCTCCATCATCTTCAGCAGCAGCAGTGGATACAGCAGCAGCAGTGGCTGCTCCATCATCTTCAGCAGCAGCAGTGGCTGCTCCATCATCTTCAGCAGCAGCAGTGGATACAGCAGCAGCAGTGGCTGCTCCATCATCTTCAGCAACACCTTCCCCACCTACAGCTCCCGTGAAGCTTCCCCCATTACTCCAGGCTACAGTCAGGCCTGTACTGGGGGTTCCTCAACCACCTCTGTCTCCACCAAAGACTCCCTCATCACCTTCCATGGACCCGGCTTGGGTCCCCCCCGCTACATCCACTCCATCTAGGGAAAATGAGGACGACCTTTCCCTTTGTTTTCTATCCCCGCCTTCACTACTGGATTTACCGGAACACTCTGCAGGCATGATAAGATCGGCGATGAAGACTATTCCTCTCACACCCACTGTAGCCAGATCAAGAGTCCTATCTAACATTCAAAACTACTCCCCATACGTACCTCCAAAGCCACCTAGGGCGTCCAACTCAAATTCTCCCACAAAATCCACCCGTCCCTCCTCTAACCCCATAAGTATTCCACCCCCCCCTCCTGCTCATTTAGCCCCCCTCCCCCCCCCTAACTCAGCACCAAGAAACCCTCCACCTCCACTCCCCCCTCGTCCACCACCCAACTCAGCCTGCCCCTCCCCTAACCCATCACCAAAAACCCATCCACCTTCAACCCCTCCCCGTCCAACTCCCAAGAACCACCCGCCTCTCCATCCTCCTCCCCCGCCTTCCCCTTCCCCTCTTTTCTCTAAACACTAGGATGCACAGGGTCTCTGCTTCGCAGCCACTGGCAGTCTAGTTAGAGGAGAGACCCGGCTGGGGCCCTGTCATGAAGCCACCTGTGCCATTCCCTTAGTGATAACACAAAGAATACATAACAGAAAAACATCTGGAGTTAATCAGTCTAATCAGGAAAATCTAATTCTTGTTCCGTGTAAGAATCAGCCGACCACAACCGCTGATCCTGAAACTTTGAAACTTGCTATGCTAAATGTCAGATCTCTTTGTAACAAGTCTTTTTTAATCAATAATTTTATTTGTTCTTATAATCTAGATCTTATGTTCATGGCTGAAACATGGCTTGACCAAAATACAGAAAATGCAGTTTTAATAGAAGCATCACCACCAAATTTCAAATTTGAATCTGAAATACGGGAAAACAAAAAAGGAGGAGGCTTAGCTGCCATTTTCAGAGACCACTTTGTCTCCCATAGAATGTCTCTTGGGAAGTTTCCGTCTTTTGAATATGTGTCTTTTAAAATACAACAAAAACAATCTCCTCCAATACTTTTCGTTGTCCTATACAAGCCACCGCAGTCATGTCACAGTTTTATTGATAATTTTACAGAGTTGCTTTCAGTTGTATGCACAGATTTTGATAGTTTAGTTATTACAGGTGATTTTAATATTCATGTGGATAATGTTGATGACAGAAATGCTAAAGAGCTGAGTTCTCTTCTTGAATCTTTTGGTCTCACTCAGCATGTCAGTGGCCCCACCCACAGCAAAGGGCACACTCTAGACCTGTTAGTTACAAAGGGGGCGAACATTTATAATGTAAACGTGGTCAATGTTGCGCTTTCGGATCATTTTTGTATATTTTTTGACATGTGTTTCACTAACAAACCACCAGTGGACTCTGCAACTGTACGAAGAAGACACATAAATGAAAATACGGGTGAACTATTTATGGGAATGATAAACTTTGAGAATGCATCGTATTCTACTGTAGATGAACTGTTTAACTCTGTCACCTCTAGTGTTTTGAAAGTTCTGGACACCATCGCTCCTGTGAAGGTTAAAATAGTGAAAAATAAGCAGAAGGCGCCGTGGGCTAAAGCAGACTCGGTCAGAGCACAAAAGAGAGAGTGCCGGAGGGCCGAGCGGAAGTGGCGCAAGTCCAACCTCCAGGTTGATTACAAGATCTTCAAAGATAAGTTGTGCGAGTTTAACCAGGTGCTACGTAGTACAAGAGAAAGGTATTTTTCTGAAATGATTGAAGGCTGCAGCAACAATCTGCGTGTTCTGTTTTCAACAGTTAATAGATTAACAAACCCCCCTGTTCAAATGCCATTAGAGCTAACTTCCAAACGTAAATGTAATGAGTTTGCACATTTTTTCAATGACAAGGTTCAAGGCATCAAAAACGCCATTGTCTCCAATCCACAGATAACAATCCAACAGCCAGAAAGGCTCTTTGAGCTAACTTACTTTGCACCTGTAAATGATCAAACTGTCCAAGAGATAATCTCCAGTTTGAGCTCCTCCACATGCAGCCTGGATGTACTACCCACTAGATTTCTAAAGTCTGTTCTGAGCAGTCTGTTACCTTCACTCACACAGATAGTAAACATGTCCCTTGATTCTGGAATATTCCCAAAGGCCCTGAAAACTGCAGTCATCAGGCCCCTGCTAAAAAAGAGCAGTCTGGATGCTACGGTACTTAACAACTATCGTCCCATCTCAAATCTGCCATTTATGGGGAAAGTCCTTGAGAAAGTTGTCTACCTACAGCTTACTAGATTTCTTATAATCAACAACTCATTTGATATGTTTCAGTCCGGCTTTAGACCCCACCACAGCACTGAGACTGCTCTCGTTAAGGTTACAAACGATATCCGGCTGAACACTGACGCAGGCAAAGTCTCAATCTTAATCCTGTTAGATCTGAGTGCTGCCTTTGACACCGTCGACCATGAGATCCTCTTACAGAGACTAGAGGACTGGGTTGGCGTCGCTGGCACCGCCCTAAGTTGGTTTAGGTCTTACCTTGAAGACAGGAAGTACTTTGTGGAGATTGGAAACTGTGTCTCAGATCATATGGCCCTGACCTGTGGAGTACCACAGGGGTCGATCCTGGGACCTCTTCTGTTCAATCTCTACATGCTGCCGTTAGGTCAGTTAATACGCAGAAACAAAGTTTCCTATCATAACTATGCAGACGACACTCAGATCTATGTCTCACTGACTGCAGGAGAACATGGACCAGTGGACTCACTCCTTCACTGTATCCAACAGATCAGTGAGTGGATGCAAAACAACTTCCTTCAGCTAAACGCAGACAAAACTGAAATGATTGTCTTTGGTCCCCAGAAACAAAGAGAGAGCGTCATCTGTCACCTACAGTCTCTCTCCCTAAAACCTTCAAACAAGGTCAGAAATCTAGGGGTAATACTGGACTCAGACTTAAATTTTAATAGCCACATCAAATCAGTAACATCAGCAGCTTTTTACCATCTAAAAAACATTGCCAGGATCAAAAACATAGTGTCTAAAGCAGACTTGGAGATTCTTATCCATGCATTTGTCTCCAGTAGGTTAGACTACTGCAATGGCCTGCTCACAGGTCTGTCCAAACAGGCTGTAAAACAGCTGCAGTACATTCAAAATGCAGCAGCTCGAGTCCTGACTAGAACCAGGAAGTACGACCATATTAGTCCGGTCCTCAGGTCTCTGCACTGGCTTCCTGTGGCTCAGAGAATAGACTTTAAAACAGCTCTGCTTGTGTACAAATCTCTCCATGGCCTCGCACCAAAATATATTAGTGAGATGTTAGTCCCATATGAACCAGCCCGGACTCTGAGGAGCACAGGGACTGGACTCCTGTTAGTGCCCAGAGTCAGAACTAAACATGGGGAAACAGCTTTTCAGATTCATGCTGCTAAAATCTGGAACAATCTTCCTGAAGGTGTGAGACAGGCCTCCTCTCTGACAATGTTTAAAACCAGGTTAAAAACGGTGCTGTTTAGCTGTGCATACAACTGAGGGATTTTATATTTTTATCTTTCGTTTTAATGTTCTGTAATTATTTATGATTTTAATGCTATCTTGTTCAGCACTTTGAGTTGCCTTGTGTATGAATTGTGCTATACAAATAAACTTGCCTTGCCTAGTCTAGTCTAGTCTAGTCTAGTCTAGTCTAGTCTAGTCTAGTCTAGTCTAGTCTAGTCTAGTCTAGTCTAGTCTAGTCTAGTCTAGTCTAGTCTAGTCTAGTCTAGTCTAGTCTACTCTACTCTACTCTACTCTACTCTACTCTACTCTAGTCTACTCTACTCTACTCTACTCTACTCTACTCTACTCTACTCTAGTCTACTCTACTCTACTCTACTCTACTCTACTCTACTCTACTCTACTCTACCCTACTCCCTGTGTCTGCGTGGGTTTCTTCCGGGTGCTCCGGTTTCCCCTACCACTAAAAACATGTACAATAGGTCCGCTTTGTGACTCTGGTCTGTGAAAGGCGCTGTATAAATAAATATTACTTACTTTCTCTACTCTACTCTACTCTACTTTACTCTCCCTCAATTGGGAGTGTTTTCATTGGCTCTGTTTACCCAATACCAGGCACTTTTTTAACCCCTGCTTGGCCCTGGTTCTAAACAGGCCGAGCTTCTACTAAAGAGTTCTCAGTGACAGTGATTGTTCAGGGTGAAGCTGGATGCGAGGGTTACCAAGGAATATCCATCCATCCCCTAACCCTTCCCTACTACTACTTCCTTACCTACTTTTGAATTTCCCTACTTCAATAAATATAATGGAAAATAACGTCAGCAAAAGCAGAGGTGGGCAATTTTTATTTTTGGGTAGTGACGTTGGGATATTGTCTTACTGTTGAGAGCTGGACCCAATTTCACATATTTACTGTATTTAGCAAAACACTACATATGTATTACTGATTTATTACTTGCTTTTTGTTTTATTTACCCCAATTATCATTTCTAAGAACATTTTGAATTCATTCATGAGAACAGAAGTGTGAAGGGTCTGCCCAGCCGCAAAGAAATGTGGTAGAGTAGAGTGTAGAGTAGGGCCAAGTAGGGCTGGTGGAAACAGGACTGGCTGATGCAGACCATAGCACAGCCTTCTGTCTGCTGACCTTGATAACCTGGAGGTGAGTGAGTTGTCTGACAGAGTAGTCGGGTAAGTACAGGTTCGAGCCTCCGTTCAGCTGCCCCAGACTCCCACCGTACAACATGGAGTCAGACCGGTCCAGACCACTGCTGCGGGACGGAGACCTGTGGACTGGACCGAGCACAGACAACAGCGCTTGTCACCAACACTTGCTTTTTGTGGAGCACTAAGGAAACTTCCTGTTGTTTGATTGTGCTAAATAAATAAAGTGGATTGAGTCGGACGTTTAGAGTTACCTGATGGCATTATTGCAGGAACACCAAAATATGAGAAAGCACCGCTCTCAAACTTTAAGGCTTCTTTTCCAAATTCCACCTCCACACGACCCTGGGACACAGTCAGAGCTCAGTTAGAAACAGCTGAGCACTAGGTCTTAAAAACAAGTTATCAGCATGTGATACTAATGTACATGTTATCAGCATGTGATACTAATGTACATGTTATCAGCATGTGATACTAATGTACATGTTATCAGCATGTGATACTAATGTACATGTTATCAGCATGTGATACTAATGTACATGTTAGCATCATGTGATACTAATGTACATGTTAGCAGCATGTGATACTAATGTACATGTTATCAGCATGTGATACTAATGTACATGTTATCAGCATGTGATACTAATGTACATGTTATCAACATGTGATACTAATGTACATGTTATCAGCAGGTGATACTAATGTACATGTTATCAGCATGTGATACTAATGTACATGTTATCAACATGTGATACTAATGTACATGTTATCAGCATGTGATACTAATGTGCATGTTAGCATCATGTGATACTAATGTACATGTTATCAGCATGTGATACTAATGTACATGTTATCAGCATGTGATACTAATGTGCATGTTAGCATCATGTGATACTAATGTACATGTTATCAGCATGTGATACTAATGTGCATGTTAGCATCATGTGATACTAATGTACATGTTATCAGCATGTGATACTAATGTACATGTTATCAGCATGTGATACTAATGTACATGTTATCAGCATGTGATACTAATGTGCATGTTAGCATCATGTGATACTAATGTACATGTTATCAGCATGTGATACTAATGTACATGTTATCAGCATGTGATACTAATGTACATGTTATCAGCATGTGATACTAATGTGCATGTTAGCATCATGTGATACTAATGTACATGTTATCAGCATGTGATACTAATGTGCATGTTAGCATCATGTGATACTAATGTACATGTTATCAGCATGTGATACTAATGTGCATGTTAGCATCATGTGATACTAATGTACATGTTATCAGCATGTGATACTAATGTACATGTTATCAGCATGTGATACTAATGTACATGTTATCAGCATGTGATACTAATGTGCATGTTATCAGCATGTGATACTAATGTACATGTTATCAACATGTGATACTAATGTACATGTTATCAGCATGTGATACTAATGTACATGTTATCAGCATGTGATACTAATGTACATGTTATCAGCATGTGATACTAATGTACATGTTATCAGCATGTGATACTAATATACATGTTAGCAGCATGTGATACTAATGTACATGTTAGCAGCATGTGATACTAATATACATGTTAGCAGCATGTGATACTAATGTACATATTATCAGCATGTGATACTAATGTACATGTTATCAGCATGTGATACTAATGTACATGTGAGCCTCTGTACATGTTAGCCTTTGTACATGTTAGCATCATGTGATACTAATGTACATGTGAGCCTCTGTACATGTTAGCCTTTGTACATGTTAGCATCATGTGATACTAATGTACATGTGAGCCTCTGTACATGTTAGCATCTGTACATGTTAGCATCATGTGATACTAATGTACATGTGAGCCTCTGTACATGTTAGCATCTGTACATGTTAGCATCATGTGATACTAATGTACATGTGAGCCTCTGTACATGTTAGCATCTGTACATGTTAGCATCATGTGATACTAATGTACATGTGAGCCTCTGTACATGTTAGCCTTTGTTCATGTTAGCATCTGTACATGTTAGCATCATGTGATACTAATGTACATGTGAGCCTCTGTACATGTTAGCATCTGTACATGTTAGCATCATGTGATACTAATGTACATGTGAGCCTCTGTACATGTTAGCCTTTGTTCATGTTAGCATCTGTACATGTTAGCATCATGTGATACTAATGTACATGTGAGCCTCTGCACATGTTAGCATCTGTACATGTTAGCATCTGTACATGTTAGCCTTTGTTCATGTTAGCATCTGCACATGTTAGCAGCACAAGAGCAACACAAGGTTGTAGTGTGTGAGTGTCACCTGCAGGACGAGGATGAAGTAATCCACCGGTTTGTTTCTCTGGAACAGGAAATGCTGCGGCGCATGTTTGTTTTTGTCGTCGAACTTGAGCTCCTGCAGAACACTGGGATGTTTGATGAGACGCAGAAGGATCTTCTCCACCGTGAGCGCTTTTTCCACCTCTGACAAAAAACACAAAACTCATTTTAGGGCAAAGAGGGCAAAAGAATCACAGAAACACATACGCATGGACTGTATGTGTGTGTGTTAAATGTGTACATGAGTGTGTACGTGTATATGTATTGCATGTGTGTGTGTGTGTTCAATTTATATATGTAAGTGCGTGATGTGTGTGTGTGTGTGTTAAATGTGTATATGTAATGAACCTCCACTATGTGCATGTAAGTGCCGAGCGTCACATGCGCTATATTGGTGATGTTTTGGTTAGAGGGGGCAGAATCACTCTTTTGTCAGTCCTATCCGTCGAAACAAGTTTGCGGCTCCACTAAACCGTGATATTAACCTGCGGAGAGGACGCCGGTGTGTTGGCCCGGAGCAGCTTGAGGCGAGAATCTTCACCTTCATCGTCGGTTTCGTTGCGTTTGGAAAATGGAAAAGGTCCTATGCTTGCTTGCGGCTCGTGATGCGAAAACGCGGCGCTTTGTGGCGATTGTCGGCTGGAACCAGACACAAACCCCCGTATCAACGCTGACTAACCAATAGGATTGTAATATACAGTATGACTTCAACTGGCAGAAGAAGAAGAAAGATAGAGACAGTTTGTATAATACACATTTATTTCCCCACTGATGTTCTGCTGTCAGTGTTGTCCTTGGGCAAGACACTTAACCCACTTTGCCTGAAGCCCCTCTGAAAAGATCAAGGCTCATGTGGACTCACCACCTGCAGGAGGATCAGTGATGGGGCTGGTGCTCTGTGTACTGGTGGAGCTCTGACTGTCACCCCCGACCCAGAAATGGAATTAAGGGGAAGAAGATGGATGGGAATGGCTACAAATAGAAGACTAAATGTTTTAAGCACTTTTAGAGTAATTCATCCACAGCGGAAATCTTTGTGGAAGTCAAATCTTTGTGTCAAACTAGTAATGGGTCTATAGGACTGAGTTTTACATTCCCCACCTGTCCAGGGAATCCGGATGGAAACTAGCATTTTTTGTTTCCCACCTGGAGCACATGACATATTTTCTTGTGTTGTCCCTGACCAAATTAAAAGTTTCCAAAATGGACACATAAGGAGCAAAAGATTACTTGGGATTAAAAATATCACCGTATAGAAAAAAAAACCGATAAATGGAACTATTTACATTTGCTATTTCATGCTTTAGGAACATGAGAAAATCTTAAAACAGAAACATGAAGATGTGACATTTTTAAATAATTTAACCTTATGAATTTTTGTTTATAGTGTTTGATTTTAGTAGTCGTAAGTAATCTTTATTTATATAGCGCCTTTCAATTCAGCAGCCCAGAGTCAAAGATCGATTTACATTCTTTGTGGGCCTTGGTCTCTCAACCCTCCACACAGAGAGAGGAGTCGGGGCCAGTACAGGAGGGCACATTGCCAGACCTACTGTACCAATGTTTTTTAGTGGGAAGGGGGAAACCTCCGCAGCACACGGGGAGACCACTGGCAAAACTGTCCACTAAGAAGGCCTCTGTTTTCGACCGAGGGATTCAAAACCCACCACACCCAGGACCTTCATGCTGAGAAGCAAGCGTGCTATCCACTCAGAGCCACTCGTGCCATAGTGCTATGATGATGACATCATACAGTTTACTGGAGAGAGGAGCTTTTCGACAGAAGGGCGGACTACCTGTTTGTAGCACAGTTCCTGATGTAATCCTGGATGGATCTAAAACACACTTGCGTGGTTATTCAAAACTTCCAATAAGAGTTGATTTTTACAACAGAAATTAAAGAGAGAAAAAAACACACAGCAAGGCCTTCTTTAAACTACATAACAGGTCTCAGTTTTTTTTGCCTTCGGTGTTCACATAAACAAAACGGTGTTTTCAATTCTAGATATCAATTCTCAATACTAAATTACGGACACTAGAGTAAACGGGGTCCATCCCAGAACAGAACCATAACAAAACACCTTCACCCGTTAAACACACACATTTGAACAAACAACAGTCATGAGTGTATTACTGTAGAGAATCGGTCCTCAGTCCAGGATCTCAGACGTGAATGATTCTCTCTCGATGACGTCCTCACAGAGTCAACGATGCCCCCCATCACTTCGGTTTTCGAACGGGTCCGCCCTTCTCCCCCTCCTTGTTCACGCGCTGCACTATGGCCAGGTGCGATTTCCCTGCAGCCTGACACAACAACAACAAACATTATGTTCAGATGTTACTGGGGTTTCGGGCGCCAGGTACGGCACGTTAGTTGGTATAGCACGGTTTCCATCCACAAGGAAACTGAAATGTGCTGAATGCAAGAAGATAGACATCAATTACCCAGTGTACCGCTGTAATCCAGGGCAAAACCTACAACCAAAAACTGTTAAGAGACATTTACCGATCTATATCTATTGGGCCTGCACATATTGGAACTTAGAGCGATATTGATATGCGTGTACGTATTGCGATAACGTAATCTTGTGCTAATTTTGTACTTTCACCTTAAAATTGCATCTGCAAGAGCAAATAACAAAAAATAAGCACAACATTCAATGACACTTCAACTGCAATATTTATATCCTTTACTGTTTAGTTAGTTGCCCCACCGCCCCCCCCCAATATATTCAAGTTGAATGTTCTGTCTGTTTGTGGTCCTAACAAAAGAAATAATCTTTTTTTTCTTTGCACGATATTTTTGATATGGATACGCACGCACCAATTATCGCTGATACATATTTTTGCCGATACTATTGTGCAGCCACCCTACTATCTATCTCTCTGTCTCTTGCTGTCTGTCTCTGTCTGCCTGGTCCTATCTATCAGTCATCCAAAATATCTTGTGCTATCATCAGTTGAAACCAATTTCATCAAATGGAAATCTGCGAACCACTTTACATCTGAAAACCCACTGATACAATAACTGTGTGCATGACCAAGTCAGCCCCGGGCGTTGTACCCACCACATGGTAGTATAGTAAGTATTTATACCATTTCCATCTGACTCCACAGTCACTGTCTCCACCGACCCACAGCCACTTCTACCGACCCTTTCAGTGGCAAAACCTGTGTAAGTCCGTATTGGCGCGGAAACACCGATTATAACGTGGGCTGAATCATAATCTGGCTAATCCCTGAGAGTGGTGGATGGTGTTTGAGAACATCTCTGATACACTTGCGCTCCGCTCAGATGGAGGCTGCGGCTGATATACCATCGCTAATTTTAGGACATTTTACGGCAAGGATATCGTTCAAAGAAAATCCACAGAAATGGATATTTACAGAAAAAACAAACAATTTTCACATACGATATGTCATATTAATTACACAATGTGTTCTAGAAAAAAGAAATGCGCATTGGCTTTATATTGTTTAAAACAGTCCTCAGTCCTGTTCTCTCACCTGGAGTCTGGACTATAGTCCTGAGTCCTGGATCTATAGAATTACGTCTGGATCTATAATCCGAGTCCTGGATCTCCAGCTGTCCAGAGTTTTCTCAATTTTTTGAGTCGTTCCTTGTATGCGGGGAGGGTCTAAGGACAGTGATGATTTGGACATTTACGGACACATATAACATTTATGAAAGTGGTCATCCCGCCTCCTTCTTTGAGTTTTATTATGCCCGTAATGCAGTTTCCAATATTGTCCTCCCTCACTGTCCCTGTCCCAAAAGAATACCGGCTAACTGGACTAATGACGACAGACCTGTAGCACTTACGTCTGTGTCATGAAAGTCACTTTGAACGGCTGGTTCTCTCCCATCTCAACGTCCCTCACCTCCCCCTCCTGGACCCCCTGCAGTTCTGCCTACAGAGCCACAGACTCTGTAGACGACGCACTATTTAACCTGGCCTCCCCACCTCCGCCAGCACCTGGACTCCCCGGAGGACCTACGCCAGGGTCCCAGGACAAGCTCTCCCACGTCAACCGTGCTCGACTTCCCACACTGACGTGGATCACTGTCCTGACCGGACAGGAAGCAGCGCGTGCGTCTGGGGGAAGAATGTACGGACTCTCGGCTTATAACTACAGGAGGCCCACAGGGCTGTGTTCTTTCTCCCATACACCAACCACTGCCCCTCCAGCCACGACTCCGTGAAGCTGATCAAACTACACCACCCTCATTGGGACTCATCTCCAACAACGGATGTGTCCGCCTACAGGAGGGAGGTGGACCGGCTGGTGTCCTGGTGCAGTGGTAACACCCTGGTGAACGCCCAGAAGACAGTGGAGATCAATAGACGTGGGTCTTGGCGCACAAGCTTCAAGGTAGTTCTGGGATCATAAACTACTCTGATCAAAACTACAAAGAAACATCCACACTGTAGAAATTAGTCTTACTATACACTATACAAATAAGTCTTTCCTCCCTTACTACTATTACTTATTACTAATATTATTACTTATGTTTTCAGCCTAAAGCAACCAGAGAAATGGCCTGTCAGACGGATCCAATCATCAGCAGGCACGCTTGTGTCCAGGCCAATGTTAAGCCCAGCAGGCGCAGCAAAGGTTATTTGTCTTTTAAACAGTCTGTATTATTCACTAGTACAAGAGTTTAATTTTACTTTGGATTCGCTGTTAGATGCTAATGTAACCATTTATGAGTGCTATTAATAATGTGTTTATCTGTGTTCTTTGAAAACAGGCTTGCAGGTGCAGGCTCCACATAAGAGCGTCAGCGTTTCCTGTGATACAGGGACCTTCATGGGAATCCCCACTTCCTGAAAGTCCCCCTGCAGCCTCTACACCCTTGAAAAGAAAAAAGTGTGAGGTGTCTGCATCTGACCCCAGCTTCCATCTGAACGACAGTTCTCTGAACAGTGTTCAAGGTAAAAATGTATGGGGGAAAAGAATGCTTGTGTATTATTTAAAAATATACCTTGGAAAATATTGTAATCTCTTAAATGGTTACATTTGCCTCTTCCTACATAATAGCGCTACAACGGAAGTCCCTCCACACAAAGCCAGAAAGTACATTGTTCATGAGGACCAACTGCTGTCGCTCTTTCAAAAATGTCCTGTCTGCACTCGTCGTTGTACAGTTGAGACAACCACATTGGGCACACTCCTCCGAGTGAAACAGCAGTGTCCAGCATGTGAGTACTTCAATGACTGGTCCAGTCAGCCCATGGTGAAGGATATACCAGCTGGAAATCTTCAGCTTTGTGCTGCTGTCCTCTTCAACTGGCTCGTGTTTTGGTCCAGATTTCCAAGGTATATAAATTCGTCTTATCTGTATTGACAATGTTTCCATAACAGTCAGTTGGTAATATTACTTTTATTGCAATAGTCATGAGGGCTTTCAACATTCTGTCAGAGCAAACTTTTTCCAGCATAGGCCAAGCTCCTCATCCCGACGGTCAGCTGGCAGTGGAAGCTTGAGCAGGACCAGGGAGGCAGCTACTGGTGGGTTTGACACTGGGTGGGGATATGCGTGCTTCTGAACAATGTTTTAAATAATAGTTTGGGCATTTTACAGGACATTATTCAACTAAATACGGTAGTTACACCATGATGAATCTGCAAAGTAACAGCGGCAGGTAAAACACCACCATTTACATTTGTATTGGGAATCATTTGGCGCTTTTATGTAGATAATTCTGTTGTATTTCAGAGCAGTGAAGTTGGGAACAGTGTAAGGATGGAGAAGGAAGGATTTATACGCAGTCTGACCATGCTGGAAGAGAAGGGTGTGAAAGTACAGGCAATTGTGACGGACAGACACACAGGAGTGCAGAAGTACCTAAGGGAGGAAAAAAAAGACATCACTCACTATTTTGACCCTTGGCACATGGGAAAGGGTATGTATTTAGCGTATAATTAACAGATAATATAGATCTAATCCATGTAATAAAAAAAATGTCATAGGAATGGGGAAGAAAATAGATGGACTGGCAAAGAAAAAGATCACTCAGGATGTGGGCCAATGGAGGAAGAGCGTGGTGAATCACCTCTACTGGTCAGCCTCTACTTCCTCCTCAGGAGAAGAAGCTGTGGCCAAGTGGACCTCTGTAGCCAACCACATACAAAATATTCACGCGCATGATAATGCCCTGTTCCCCTGCTGCCAACACGAGCCACTGGTTGGGGAAAGAGCAAGGGAGTGGCTCAAGCCAAGTTAGTAATGACAGTTTTTCTTTGATTATATATTTAGTTATCTTGGACATTTTGCATTTTCTTTCTAATCCAAAATACATTTCCATTGATCATTTTGTGTGTAGGCACAGCAGCATGCGAAAGACTAACGGCCATTTTACTGGCGCCGAGGTTTCTGAAGGACGTGGAGAAAATCAGCCCACTTTACCACACGTCCTACATTGAGGCATTTCACAGCCTCATCATCAGGTTCTCTCCGAAAAGTGTGTGCTTCTCCTTTAAAGGAATGATGGCCAGGTAATGAATACCAAAACCTTGTAAAAGTATTTATTTCTATTCCCTCATTATATATTTTTTTGAAACTGAACCAAATAACATCACTGTTTTCTTATTTTTGTTTTGATTGTTCTAGGTTACAAATCTCAGCGTTGCACTATAATGAGAACGCGACACGCACACACGCCAGAACTGCTGCTGGTGAGCTGAGGTACTCCATAGTGTATCCTAAATATAAACATGGCGACTATACTGTGAGAGCTCTGAAGACCAAATTCACCACATGTATGTCATGAAAGAAACTTGACTGTTATGAATGAGGGCTGTTATAATATTTATGTTGTATTTTTTCCCCAGTCTACATTGATAAGCTGATGACTCTGCTGTTCGAGTGTGTGGTGCAGGATACAGTGCCGTATCAAGAGCACTCGGACAAAATACATGTGCCTGAACCACTCTGTGGCCAGTATGAAAGGCCTGACAAAAAGGAGGCAGTGAGCAGGCACAGGTCACGATTTTTCAAGAGCAAATAAGGTGAAAAACAAACACCAGAAGATCACATACAACAAGAATATAAATATATGGGGTCACTAACTTATTTTGCATGACTGATAGTGTTATAATGTACACATTCTATTGTTCATATGTTTATTCACTGAACACTATGCAAGATTATCATCGTTCTATTATAGCTTTTTTCTGACATGCCTGCATGCCAATAAGAACTAAAATATTTTCAGAAAGCAGACATGAGTCAGCCAGGACACATATCTAACTATGAACCAGAGGTGTGGGAAGACAGGATGGACCTCACTCTCAGGTACCGCTAACATTGATGATAATGTAGTGTTGATCAATTTTCGTAATACATTTAATTGCTGTATTGCACACTAGATACATATTGAATGCAAATTGTCACATTTATATAGCACCTTTTCTACTTTCTTTAAGAACTTGACATCGAGGAACCAGTCACCAATCCATACACCAGTGAATGCAGACAATGGAGGCAAAGAGGGTGAAGTGTCTTGCCCAAGGACAGTGTGCACCTGCGTGATTTGAGCCGCCAATTCTCCAATCACAAGATGACCAGCTCTACTCTGCACCACTGTAGCCGCAAAAATGTATACAAGTGTAGATTGTGAATATAGATTTGTTAGTAATGTAGGGGTAAAGTGATTTTTTTGGGGAATTGGTTGCTTTCAGGTTCTGAAATGTGATTGTCACAGGGTCTAGTGGGTATTTCCTATAAACAGCATTACTTTCAAAAGTCGTATCTAAAAAATAATCAATATAATTTCAAACATAATCAGTCACTGGGTCCATGATCTCTCTGTACAAGACCAACACTTCCTCATTACTATATAATCCTATAGGCCTTTAGCTGTGATGTCACCTGACACTGGGTCCAGGGAGTGTGGCGTTCATGCTTTTGCTGTGACAGTGCCTAAACTTGCTCTCAGTCCATTATCCATCAGTATTTGTTAGGTTTTATTATCAACTGGTGTGTTGTGAGATAAATGTCAGTGGCTTGTGAACATTCCCACATTCAACATCCAAAAACTTCAATTATCTATGTTTGCATTTAGATACTGTACAATCTTGGTTTAAATGCTCAATGTATATATAAATATGACAAAGTATATTGTATATTTGTTAATATATTTTTTCCACTGGTGCACCAATCTACATTTGGATGCTTATTGTATGTACAAATATGCACGTTATAAGATCTGAAGGAAAAAAATTAAGACAAGCAATAAAAAATTTCAGAATGGCATTTGTGTTTATATTGATGTTTATTGGCCATGAAAATTCAGGACAGGGAGGAACCCCGTGTAAGCCACATAATCAGGGAACTCCAGCCTGATACGGGTCACAGCACAGGACGGGATCACGACTCTGATATGCTGGCCTAGGTAACCCCAACACCACCTGACCACATTCCGGTACGCAAGGTGCCGGTAATTACTGAAAGAAGAGATGTATGGGTTGTCAACCACCTAATTGTTAATCAATTATCCTGCAAAAACTAACCTGTGCACCATCGTCTCTGGCATGTCACCAAAGAGCTGTAAGTATGTGCCATACACTGCCTGCAGCACATATGGGTTGAGGGCAACTGCCTCAAACCCCGGGTGCTCCGTAATGCAGGTGTTTACACCCACCTGCTGACATCTGTGCATTACCTACCACAAATAGGGAACTTAATGAGGAAAATATGATTTGTATAATTATGTCTTATTTAATTTTATTCTATTGTACCTTTGGTGTCTCCCTACAGCACACGTTCTCTTCTGGGGATAATGATGTGCAGTTTCCACACAAACACCTGTTGATGCAGAGTCATGTGTGTGTAACCCTAACCACAATATCCATCTCTTTTGTTCTACATCAAATAAAAATATTAGCAATAATGCTAACACCAATGTACCATTCAGTAACGGGACCCATTCTGTGCTGCACTGATGCCTCGGAAGGCTCGTCAGTGCTAGCTGCACCGGTGGCCATCGGCTCAAACATGTACGGCTCAGGGCCGCCGGACTCCTCCACATTAACCTCCTCCACTTCCACCTCTGGTGATGAAGGCGGAGAAAAGTCCTCCACCTCAAAAGAGCGCTCGGTCGCGAAGCTGCTGTCACTGTCACTCTCCATAATTACAAGAGAGCCGTCAATCAAAGCCCACGCCACGCCCAACTCTAAGCCCCCCTTCTTGTCCCTCGGTCCTCCTGGGCAACGCCCATTTTGGGGAGAATTTTCAAATGTTCATGTGGGCGGAGTCAGGCTGGGCACTGGTGTTTAGTTGATCTTTAAGTATTAATTTTAGCAACAGAAACAATACTAAACTGATTTTAGTTTAGCTGGTTCAGGAGTTTAATATTCCAACAGTAATCAGCCTGGGAGCCATGACACTCACCCCGGTCTGGTTCAGGGGAAAAGGGCTGATAACGTTTGTTATGTTAAAATAAATTGCTGTCACCCCGAGCATGCTGAGGAGTAAGCCAACAGTTAGGTTAAATATATTTAGGAGTAAACATTTAAGAGGCATAGCATATAAAACACAGCATTTGATGATTTAATATTTTGTTTCAATTAATATTAATTCTGCCTGGCAGCCATGACACTGTTTTGACTGTTAGCACCAGTTAGCACCAGTTAGCACCAGTTAGCACCAGTTAGCACTAGCATACACACAGCTGTTCTCCTGTAGGAGGCAACCTGGAGCAGGTTATTGACGTGATTTTACCATACACTGTTTATATTCATTTTACACCCACATATAAAAACACATTCATGAAATATAATAGTATGTCTTTTACTAGGTTGTTGAAAATGTTTTTAGTATTTTTTGCCTAATCACTGAATATAACTGTTTATTCATTCCTAAGAAGAGCCAGTCACATTCTTATAAAAAACGTAAAACACTATTCTTCATCAGAAAAAAAGAGTCACGAAGAGTCATAGTAATGGTCTTCTTTACCACTGGTGTCTTGACTTGAGGACCCAGAATGCGCAAAAAAAATTAATGATTTCATGAAGATAAATCAAAGTTCAAAATGAAAAAAAAAACCATTTCATAGCTGTGGCCATCTGCACAATAAATCACATGTTAGAATCAATCAATCATGCTTTTATATTAAGATAGTGGTCTACAACAGTTTTGTTATGGAGCATGTTGTGGTCTACTTATTTTCCCATTACAAAAGTCAAATGCAAAAAGTTTTGCTGGACCAAAGCAGGACAGTTACCTGGTGCAACCATAGACTCATTCTTGTCACTTTGAAATACTCTCAAATAACAGCATGATAGAGAAATACATCATGATATAAATCGTATTTGTTCTCTTTCAATCCCTGATCTCCACATTTTCACACCGTCAACGATAATCCCGGTGAAAGAAGCTCATAAAACACACAGTCCTTTATATTATTTCATATAAAGCTCCCGGATTCAAACCGTCCAATCAGGGTGCGGCATTTCCGGTAGATCCCGCCTACTTTTGACAAACAGCCAATGGATGCGTGAGGTGGGTGGGACCAGCAGCACAACAGCGGAACATTCAAACGGAACATGGCAGCGGGCAAAGATGTCAACGAAAACACGGTGAATAAAGGGTAAGAAATAACGCAAATTAAAAGTCTGAATACAGTGAGTTTAACGCGAATGACTGAGCTACTATTGTTGTGGAATATGTGTAAATATTGAGCTGGTATTGATGGCGAAATTGGTAGGAATGATGACAAATGCAGGGGTCGTGTTCGTGCAGCAGCCTCTTGAAGCCATTTAAACAGAGAATAACCACAAAAATAAATCGGTTTCACTGTTGTGTCCAAGAGACAGGAAAACTGGGAATGTGCACACATGTTAAAAAGTGAAAAGATAGTCTCCTTTGTGCATGATATATTCTGTACAATTACATTAAAAGTGACTATAGACAAAATACATGAAAAATAGTACCTTAGTACCTTAGTTTTAGGCTTGGACAAAGAACTAGTAATGAAAAGGTCTGTCTCTGTCACTGTAACTTCTCCATGGTGGGATAAATAAAGTCTATCTTATCTTATCTTCGTTGTCATCCTTAACTGTAGTGTTGGTATTATGTCATGATAATCTCTAAAGTTAAGAAGAAAAAGAATACAGTCCTTTATATGTCCCACAGTGGGGACATTTCAGTTCAATGAATACACAGTATACAGTGTACACATCAAAGCATGCAGAGTGTACTGCCGTGCTCAAAGTGTCTCGCCCAAGGACCCAACAACAGTGGGAGTCAATGGACTCATGGTGGTCTCGAGCCCACAACCTTCAGGCTCAAAGAATGGCACACTGTAGACTGTAGCGTAAGGAACAAGTAAACAGTCCAAGTACGAGTCAAGTTTATGAAAGATAACTTTGTACAGGATATTTTGTCAGTTTTGACACGGTAGCGCAGTGGGCCACCTTCACTGTGTGGAGTTTGCATGTTCTCTCTGTGTCTGCATAGGTTTCCTTCGTGTGCTCCGGTTCCCCCTACCACTAATCCCATCCATTACAATCCACTTATATAGCACCTTTTATAAAACAAGTTTCCTAAGGGCTGCACAGAGATGAAAGTAACACATTTAAATATACAGGTTTTTGGCCAGCTTTAAATGTTTGAAAAATTGAATAAGTAAAACATTTGGTTTAACAAAGGACATTTAATGAAGTCTGGAACCCTTTTTTGTTATTTTTCAACCAACTGTAACTGTAGAATAACTTTGTTTTGTAATGTACACATTTTGAATTGATCTAAATCCATTCATCCTTGCTGTACTTATGTACTTTTTCCACATGTACCTTTTTTATAAAATCCATCCATTTTCTTCCGCTTTATCCGTTGCCGGGTTGCGGGGGCAGCAGTCTAAGCAGAGACGCCCAGACTTCCCTATCCACACACACTTCCTCCAGCTCGTCCGGGGGGACCCCAAGGCGTTCCCAGGCCAGCTGAGAGACATAGTCCCTCCAGCGTGTCCTAGGTCTTCCGCGGGGCCTCCTCCCGGTGGGACGTGCCCGGAACACCTCCCCAGGGAGGCCTTTTTTGTAAAATATAAAACTTAAATAAATAAATAAAACACTCAGAGTTACTAGAACGGGGACTGGTGCTCAATGTGAATTAGGATAGCTCTGACTGTCACCCCCCGACCCAGAAATGGATTAAGGGGAAGAAAATGATTGGATGGATAAGTTAGTAAAACCTTTTGGAAAAACAATAATACATTTCATAAAAACAATAAAGTAAAGATAAAATGTTACTAGTTTTTCCAGTAGAATCCCTGTGTAATCCTGTGTTGTTGTTGTCGTCAGAGGAGCAGGGGCCACGCGCAGGATGCCGTGTGCAGACCCCGCTCCTCTGGTCTTCAACCCGGACTTCTTTGTGGAGAAGCTGCGTCACGAGGCTCCGGACGTGTTCCTGGAGCTGGTGCTGAGTAACGTGACGCGCCTCATCGATCTCCCCGGCTCCGAGTTCTCACAGCTGCTGGGAGACGACAGCCCCAAGACCCCCACCTCCTCCAGTGGCTTCTTCAGGTCCTTCAACTTCCTCAAGAGAAAAGGTCAGAGGCAGGTTTAACAAAGCAGGTTTTTTGGCTCTTTGCAAATGGTAAAACTTAGGAGTTTCATATAATTCTTTTTTATTTATTCATTAATTTTTTGTATTGGCTGTTCTTCTTTCAGTCGTTCCTTGTCAAAAAAACAAACAAAAAAAGCTAAATAATCAGGTATTAGTAGATATTTAAATCCTAAATATCTACCAGGTTTGGTACTTGAAAAGGCTGGATCTGTCTACAGAATACACTTTTGTAGACCAGGCATTTAATAAAATGGTTTGGGTTTTTAAAATGTTTTATTTTCAGATAAAAGCGTTCTCTTTGGGACTCAGCTGAACGAATCCTGCATCGCTCAGATCTACCAGCTCATCGAGTATCTCAGCAAGAGTGAGTACAGGCACTTTATTGCACTTTATCTGAAGAATTGTTGCGCTGTTTTGAGAAGCATTGTGTCCTGTTTTCTCACTCGTGTGTGTGTGTGTCTCTCTCCCTCTCTCTCTGTCTCGGTCTCACTCTGTTTCTCTCTGGTCTCTCTGTTCTTTCTTTCTCTCTAACTCTATCTCTCTCTGTCTTGCTCTGTTTCTCTGGTCTCTCTCTCTATCTCGGTCTTGCTCTGTTTCTTTCTCTGGTCTCTCTTTCAGACCTTCACGTGGAGGGCCTGTTCCGCGTCCCTGGGAACAGCGTCCGGCAGCAGACCCTCCGTGAGCTGCTGAACTGTGGGGCGGAGGTGGACTGGACTTCCGGAGACTTCCACCCGAATGACGTGGCGTCGCTGCTGAAGAGCCTCCTGGGAGAGCTGCCTGAACCTCTGCTCACACACAGACACTTCCACGCACACCTCAAGATCGCAGGTACCTTGCGAAAGTATTCTTGAACTTTTCAACATGTCGCCACATTTCAGGCTTCAAACATAAAGATATAAAAAATATATTTTTTGTCATGAATCAACAACAAGTGGGGCACAATCGTGAAGTGGAACGAAATTTATTGGATAATTTAAACTTTTTTAACAAATAAAAAACGGAAAAGTGGGGCGTGCAATATTATTCGGCCCCTTTACTTTCAGTGCAGCAAACTCACTCCAGAAGTTCAGTGAGGATCTTTGAATGATCCAATGTTGTCCTAAATGACTGATGATGATAAATAGAATGCACCTGTGTGTAATCAAGTCTCCGTATAAATGCACCTGCTCTTTGATAGTCTCAGGGTTCTGTTTAAAGCGCAGAGAGAACCATGAAGACAAAGGAACACACCAGGCAGGTCCGAGATACTGTTGTGGAGAAGTTTAAAGCCGGATTTGGATACAAAAAGATTTCCCAAGCTTTAAACATCTCAAGGAGCACTGTGCAAGCAATTATATTGAAATGGAAGGAGTATCAGCCCACTGCAAATCTACCAAGACCCGGCCGTCCCTCCAAACTTTCATCTCAAACAAGGAGAAGACTGATCAGAGATGCAGACAAGAGGCCCATGATCACTCTGGATGAACTGCAGATAACTACAGCTGAGGTGGGAGAGTCTGTCCATAGGACAACAATCAGTCGTGCACTGCACAAATCTGGCCTTTATGGAAGAGTGGCAAGAAGAAAGCCATTTCTCAAAGATATCCATAAAAAGTCATGTTTAAAGTTTGCCACAAGCCACCTGGGAGACACACCAAACATGTGGAAGAAGGTGCTCTGGTCAGATGAAACCAAAATCGAACTTTTTGGCCACAATGCAAAACGATATGTTTGGCGTAAAAGCAACACAGCTCATCACCCTGAACACACCATCCCCACTGTCAAACATGGTGGTGGCAGCATCATGCTTTGGGCCTGCTTTTCTTCAGCAGGGACAGGGAAGATGGCTAAAATTGATGGGAAGATGGATGGAGCCAAATACAGGACCATTCTGGAAGAAAACCTGTCTGCAAAAGACCTGAGACTGGGACGGAGATTTATCTTCCAACAGGACAATGATCCAAAACATAAAGCCAAATCTACAATGGAATGGTTCACAAATAGACGTATCCAGGTGTTAGAATGGCCAAGTCAAAGTCCAGACCTGAATACAATCGAGAATCTGTGGAAAGAGTTGAAGACTGCTGTTCACAAACGCTCTCCATCCAACCTCACTGAGCGCGAGCTGTTTTACAAGGAAGAATGGGAAAGAACTCCAGTCTCTCGATGTGCAAAACTGATAGACATACCCCAAGCGACTTGCAGCTGTAATTGCAGCAAAAGGTGGCGCTACAAAGTATTAGCGCAAGGGGGCCGAATAATATTGCACGCCCCACTTTTCAGTTTTTTATTTGTTAAAAAAGTTTCAATTATCCAATAAATTTTGTTCCACTTCACGATTGTGTCCCACTTGTTGTTGGTTCTTGAATTTTTTTGAATTTTTATATCTTTATGTTTGAAGCCTGAAATGTGGCGAAATGTTGAAAGGTTCAAGGGGGGCGAATACTTTCGCAGTGTGACTGCACTGTAAATGCAGTCACATGGTCATTAAAGCTGGGGGACCTGACTTTGGGCTTAGCTTCACTATTTGGCAGGATAAATGTTTTTGTCCTGTTTCATGTAATTTATTTTCATAAATACAATACAGTGAAAATTCCGACCACAACTATTTACCTTTTCAGAAAACATTTTATATTTTGCCTTAATGTAAGAAAGAGCCCTGAGTAGCTATATTTAAGCTTTTGGGCTGACTGGCTTTGAAAGTGGTCCCCTATTTTTCACCTCTGACAAGGAAATGTTTATTTATATGTATACAGAGAACATGTGAAACACTACCACATTTATTGCCAATTTGCAATGTCCGTGCCTAGAAGAAGTTTTAGTTTAGTTAGTTTTTAAAAACACATGTTACATCGTGTTACATTCATGTTTTTTTTCTTTCTTTACACAAAGCCAGGTGTCCTCAGTGAGTCACACAACTGGCTTGTTTTAAGAAACTGTAGAAGATGTGTCCTCATTGTGCAAGTCTTCTTCTCTCTCCTCCCCCTCTCCGTCTCTCCTCCTTCCTTCTCTTCTCTCTCTCCCCCACCCTTCCCTCTCCACCTCCCCTCTCTCTCCCCCTCCCCTCCTCTCTCAGACATCACGCTCCTGGACGAGCAGGGTAACAAGACGTCTGTACCAAACAAAGAACGTCAGCTGGAGTGTCTGCAGCTGCTGTTCCTGCTGCTGCCGCCCACAAACCGCTCTCTGCTGAAGCTGCTGCTGGACCTGCTGTACCACACGGCCAAACTGCAGGACTCCAACAAGATGTCCACCTTCAACCTGGCGCTCATGTTCGCCCCACACGTGCTCTGGCCCAGACACGTGAGTGACCGTTACAGATCAATTCAGTTACACGTTGTACGGCCCTAAGTCACAGCAGCAGACACAACAGATCAGAGAATCACATGTAGGGGATGCAATAACAAACGCACAGGAGTCATTGGGCCAGAGGGAGCTGGACCTCTCACTGTCCAGAAATATAAATATTAATTCGATCTGAGGCCACACGATACAGGACTGAGGTGGATCCCTCTCAATGTGATTTTTGTTGTTGTTGTTGTCGTTCCTTGCCGATGCAGGAGGGATTTAGGACCATTAATCAAAGACATTTATTAGCATTTATGGACATTGATCATCCCGATGGACCAATGGCACCTACGTGTTTGTTATCATTGAATTTCCTATGTTTGAATGGCTTTATTTTTGTTTCGACAACTTTGTAAAGTCCTCCGAGACGACTGCTGTGGTGATTTAGAGCTACACTTGAATGAATACTTCAATCTCCCCATTGGTAACAGACGTGTTGTTGTAGATGAACGCCATGGATCTGAAAGACAATCTGAAGAAACTGAACAGCAGCATGGCCTTCCTCATCAAACACTCACAGAAACTCTTCAGGGTCAGTGTCTCCTGTGTTATGTTTTTAAGTATATATATATAAATATATATTATATAATGTGTACAGTATGTGTGTGTACTGTATATGTATAAACTAGTGCTGTCCAACGATTAAAATATTTAATCGCGATTAATCGCATGAATTTCATAGTTAACTCGCGATTAATCGCAAATTAGTCACACATTTGCGTGCTGTGTGCAATTGCTTTTTTTTATTGAAAACAAGGTGTAGTGTTATATTACACACTAACATTTGATGCAAAATCATCAATAAATGGATGACAAAATAAACTAGAAACTTGCAATGGCTGAAGCCATTGCGATTGACTGCGGAACAGATCTAATGTGGAAATCTGCTAAAAAAAATCCTTGAAATCCTTTAAAAGGCCTTGAAACTGTTAAAATACTTGATAGATATTTGAAACTCCTGAAGTCCTTGAAATTGTTGAAACCTTTAAACTCCTGAAATCCTTGAAACTGTTGAAACATTGAAACTCCTGAAATCCTTGAAACTTTTTTTAAACCTGGAAACTGTTGAAAGTGTGGAAACTCCTGAAATCCTTGAACCTCCTGATATCCTTGAAACTGGTTAAATTCTTAAACAGTTGAAATCCTTGAAACTACTGAATGTATTGAAAGTGTCCTTGAAACTGAAAAATCCCCTCACCGCTGAAACAATTTGGTTCCTGTAACTAAGGAAACCTGGTCTGTGGTCATTATCTGGTGGTGGTCTGAGTCTTCGTTTGGGTCTTGGTCTGGTGGTATAATGCAACCTATTAGGTTGCATTATACTGGTTTACATGGAAAAATCCCTATTAGGTTGCATTATACTGGTTTACATGGAAAAATCCCTATTAGGTTGCATTATACTGGTTTACATGGAAAAATCCCTATTAAGTTGCATTATACTGGTTTACATGGAAAAATCTCTATTAAGTTGCATTATACTGGTTTACATGGAAAAATCCCTATTAGGTTGCATTATACTGGTTTACATGTACAAATCCCTATTAAGTTGCTTTATACTGGTTTACATGTAAAAACCCCTATTAGGTTACATTATAGTGGTTTACATGTAAAAATCCTTATTAAGTTGCATTATACTGGTTTACATGTAAAAACCCCTATTAAGTTCCATTATACTGGTTTACATGTAAAAACCCCTATTAAGTTCCATTATACTGGTTTACATGTAAAAACCCTATTAAGTTGCATTATACTGGTTTACATGGAAAAATCCCTATTAAGTTGCATAATACTGGTTTACATGGAAAAATCCCCATTAAGTTGCATTATACTGGTTTACATGAAAAAAACCCTATTAAGTTGCATTATACTGGTTTACAAGGAAAAATCCCTATTAAGTTGCATTATACTGGTTTACATGGAAAAATCCCTATTAAGTTGCATAATACTGGTTTACATGGAAAAATCCCCATTAAGTTGCATTATACTGGTTTACATGTAAAAAACCCTATTAAGTTGCATTATACTGGTTTACATGGAAAAATCCCTATTAAGTTGCATTGTACTGGTTTACATGGAAAAAACCCTATTAAGTTGCATTATACTGGTTTACATGGAAAAAACCCTATTAAGTTGCATTATACTGGTTTACATGGAAAAAACCCTATTAAGTTGCATTATACTGGTTTACATGTAAAAACCCCTATTAAGTTGCATTATACTGGTTTACATGGAAAAATCCCCATTAAGTTGCATTATACTGGTTTACATGAAAAAAAACCCTATTAAGTTGCATTATACTGGTTTACATGAAAAAACCCTATTAAGTTGCATTATACTGGTTTACATGGAAAAATCCCTATTAAGTTGCATAATACTGGTTTACATGGAAAAATCCCCATTAAGTTGCATTATACTGGTTTACATGTAAAAAACCCTATTAAGTTGCATTATACTGGTTTACATGGAAAAATCCCTATTAAGTTGCATTGTACTGGTTTACATGGAAAAAACCCTATTAAGTTGCATTATACTGGTTTACATGGAAAAAACCCTATTAAGTTGCATTATACTGGTTTACATGTAAAAACCCCTATTAAGTTGCATTATACTGGTTTACATGGAAAAATCCCCATTAAGTTGCATTATACTGGTTTACATGAAAAAAAACCCTATTAAGTTGCATTATACTGGTTTACATGAAAAAACCCTATTAAGTTGCATTATACTGGTTTACATGGAAAAATCCCTATTAGGTTGCATGATTACACTGAAGTCCTTGAAACTGCTGAAGTCCTTGAAACTGCTGAAGTCCTTGAAACTGCTGAAGTCCTTGAAACTGTTGAAGTCCTTGAAACTCTTGAAATCTTGAAACTGCTGAAATCCTTGAAACTGTTGAATCCTTGAAACTGTTGAATCATTGAAACTGTAGAAATGTCTGAAAGAGCTGAAGTCCTATTAAAATGCATGGGCCTATTAAAATGCATTGCAGAATTCTCAATGCAGATTTTTGTCCGATTGCGGAAAAACCGGAAATCGCTGAAGTCCCAAAAGTAATAGCAATAATCTCCCAAACATGTGGAACGTTTTGATGTATAACTTGTGGAAATTGTTGAAAATGTGAAAGCTGTGAAACGTGTCAAAAAAAATGACGGAATAAAGAAATACAAAACCAATGGTTGACTGCGGAAGGTTCCGCAGTCAATCAATAATTGGTAACAAAAAGCCCCTTCAATGTGTGTGTGTGGGTGTGTGTGTGTATGTGTGGGTATAGACCATAGACTGTATAGAAACATCATGGTGTCATTATGATGATGATAAACAATCTGTAAATATTTTGTAAATTTGTTCATGTGAATACTCTATGCTGTTTCTGTTTACCTTCGGTATATCTATGACTGTATACTGTTTGCTTGTATTGCCTTTTTTATTAACCCCTCCCCCCATCTCCCACTTCATGCCCCCCCCCCCTCCTATGTGCCCTTCTGGGTTTCTTCTTTGGCCCCCTGTATCTCCAACTACATATTGTTTGTAATCTCTGTCTACAATGTATCTGAACTAGTCCTTTTCTTTGTTTCTATTTTTTTTTCTGTATATGTGTTTGTCTGCAATAAAAAGTAAAAAAAAAAAAAAAAAAAATTTTTTTTTTTTTTTTTTTTTTAATTGCGCGATAAAAAAAATGACGGCGTTAATATTGATTTGCGTTAACGCGTTAATAACGCGCTATTTTGGACAGCCCTAGTATAAACTACTGAAGCTGGTTTAAACCTGTCCTTCTGCTGCAGGCTCCTGGTTACCTACGAGATTATGCCAAGCAATACTTCTCCGGGACAAACATTCTGCAGAGCAAGGTAAGGAGGCCAGAGAGCGGGAGGCCAGAGAGCGGGAGGCCAGAGAGCGGGAGGCCAGAGAGCGGGAGGCCAGAGAGCGGGAGGCCAGAGAGCGGGAGGCCAGAGAGCGGGAGGCCAGAGAGCGGGAGGCCAGAGAGCGGGAGGCCAGAGAGCGGGAGGCCAGAGAGCGGGAGGCCAGAGGGGGAGAGGCCAGAGGGGGAGAGGCCAGAGGGGGAGAGGCCAGAGAGAGGGAGGCCAGAGAGAGGGAGGCCAGAGAGAGGGAGGCCAGAGAGAGGGAGGCCAGAGAGAGGGAGGCCAGAGAGAGGGAGGCCAGAGAGAGGGGCCAATCAGTCCTTATATAAAACCTGCTGTACTTCTAATTTCAGGACGACCTGGAGCTGCTGTCTCTGAAGTCGTCCCCGGTGCAGAGAAGAGGCGCGTCCCAAAAGAGGACCGCGGCCGGAGCCCTGGACCAGGCCCACTGCTCCTCGCCGTACACCGAGGACGCACTCAAAGACCTCTTCAAACACGTCAACAACAACATGCCCGACTCCGCCAAGAAGAAGAAACTCGTGCGGCAGGTGAGAGCTGGACCTTTTTAAAATACAACAATATCTAAAGCTAGTATCTCCTCTTTGATATCCACACAGTTATTTGAAAACCAAGAAGAATAAACTGGGAATATGCTTTGGTATATGGTGCAGACAAGTTATAAAAACAAAGGAAATTTCTTAGTACAATTCTATTATATAAACGCACACATTAGACATTTAACAGTGCAGATATCAACAAGTGTCCATAGGTGTGAGGTTCTACAGTGACAGAGGTAGATTCTAATGTATTATATGTAATGGTTTTATTTACCTCAAAGTGCATGTTGTCTGGAGCTTAGAATTTTTCATCTTTTGCAAACCTGAGCCCTGGGAGTCAATATACAACTGAAGGCATCATAAATCCCCTATTCTTCTCTTTTCTGTCTGAAAAAGCTGATTTTAAAAGATTTATCAAAGCTATGCTAATATTTATGTGAACTAGTGATTTAAAAAGTGTTTTGAGAGTGAGTTAGAACTTTGTCTTTTGTGGTTGAAGGTTAAGTTATGAGGGAGAGCCTGCCCCATGCATTTCCAATAATTATAGTTTAATATGTGTTAGTGATCATTTTGAGTTCCCAGATCCAAATTGTTGTCTTACTTGTTGAAGTAGATTTCTCACTCAAAGTTGTGTTTGTAGAGTGATTCTTCGGGATATTTCATCTTCAGTGTTGATGTGTTTTCTGTAGTTTGTGAAACAGACCGGAACGCCGACGTCCAATTGTCCTCAGGCTTCTTCAAGCTCAAAGAAACACCCGCGGTCGCGCTCTTTCGGTGGACTGATCAGGGTGAGAAAATGCACACACACATACGTACACAAACACACACACACCGTATAAAACATGTATAAAGTCCAGCAATATCTCATAACTGTTTGTTGTCGGCTAATTTTTAAATTAGTTGTAAAAAACTCGCCAAATTCTCCCTCTGGTGGCAGCACAAGGCGTTACAGGCTGATTTTTTTCTTTACCTTGACTTGATAATGAATCTTCCACAATTTTACAGTTTAAAACATGAAATGGAAACGTATTATCAAAATCATCGTAGATTTTGTCTTGCGTCTCAAGAGAAATTTACGGATTGGCTAAAACCTCACCTGGATCTCAATCGATTTAAATAGCCTTAAAATGGTTGAAAATAGGTTAATAACATAATTTTTTAAAGCTTCCCTAGCTGACAAAATTCTCTACGTATAGTTGCGTTTGAAATCAAAGTGATTTCCTAGAATGTGTAGATGTGTGTGTCTGTATGTTGTGTGAAGTGATCCTGGTCTGTGACGGGTGCTATACAAATAAATTAAATATGCTTCATGTTTTCAGCGTAAAAACCGCGGTGACCAGCTGACAGCAGAGAGAAAGCTCCGGCACATTTCCCCGGAGGCAGTGGCGGCGAGAGCAGGAGCCAAGACGGGCAAAGAAAACGTGTTACTGGATTCTGTGAGTGTGAACCCTGCAAACTGAGTGAGTGTAAAAACTGTAAAAACATGTTTATATCTGTGTGTTTTTGTGTCGTCAGGGCCACAGTCCTAACAGTCAGTTCATGGGGAAGGCCGGGCTCATCGTGAAGAACCCAGACTTTAGAGACAGAACTCTCAAGATTTCACGGGTTAGTTACGTCGAATGGAGTCATCAATGCTCATTTGAATAATAATAATAATGGTTTTATTCTGGACACTCAAAGATTCTTCACATGTCATCATTCATTCACTCCATACACCACGGTGGTGATAAACTACTACTGTAGCGAGGCAACCACCACCAACCATTCACACACACACACACCAGGCTCATTCTAATGTGGGTGAAGTGTCTTGCCTAAGGACACAACAGCAGTTTGGCACTTTACAGCCGCAGCCGCCCCACTGTGGCACCTGGTGTTTCCTGAGGTCTCCCATCACAGCACTAACCAGGCCCTGTCCTACTCAGCTCACGACAGGTCTGACGGGATCTGGCTTTGACATGCAGGGATAACTCCTTACACTTAAACATCTTTGAAAGCATAAAATCAAAATGATACTCATAAACTAATAAGATAATACTGTATAATAACAAATACTTCTTTCAGGGTCATATTTACAGTCAGGCAAGTTTATTTGTTGAGCACAGTTCATACACAAGGCAACCCCAAAGTGCTGAACAAAACAAGCCGTACAAGGTTATAGACTGAATAGATAGTGTTGCCATTGGATACCATTGTGATTCCATATTACACATAAGTTTTCTTTTCCTATGATCTTAAATCTACTGTGTCTAATTTGGCTCCTGGACGATTACTTCCTCCACACAGAAGACAAAAGTACAATAGGACCTGTGTATAATTGTCGCTCCTCTGTGGTTAAAGTGTGTGTTTTTGTGTTGTCAGGCGTCTCCGCTGATGCCACAGTCCTGCTTCTCTCCTCAGGACGTGTCGCTGTGAGCCGTCTGCAGCAGTGGATCCACAATCTACACGTTTTACTTTCTCTTTCTCTGTTTTTAGCTTTTACTGTGAGTGTAACTGTCGGAAACTCAGAAACCAAACATAAAGAAAACGAGTCGGTTTACAAAGCCTCTGCTAAAACTAGACATTGTTGAAATTCAGAAAACTGAGTTAGAATAACGTAAAGATTATAGACATCAGAAATCACAAAATGAATACTTTAAAGCTAGGGTACCTAATTCAGTTTTGGTTAAACCAAGTTTTAAAAATCATTTACGATGTAGCGCCATCACTAGTAGAATTGTGTGACGATTTGAGTGGAATATTGTTAAAAAAAGAAAATAAATTGCCGTATTTAGCCACTATCGCTTGTGTTCTAATGGTTCTATAAGTTGACTATTTTGTCAAAGGGTAAATTGCTGATTAGAAAACCCACGTTCAGTTTCACCATTGCTACAAACTGTCGATCTGATTGGCGAGGTTTTACAATTGAGATTTAATTCACAAAAACATTTCTTGTAAACTCCAAATGTTTGTATGGCAGTACATTTTGTTCATTAGCAAAAAAAATTAGGTACCGTAGCTTTAAGTATTCATTTTGTAATTTCTGATGTTTACAATATTTACTTTATTCTAATTTGCGGGTAAAACTACACATATGGACACAAGGAAAGTGTAAATATGTATGAAAATGTATATACCTCTTTATAATAGTTCCATAAAAACATGTCACTCAAAGTCTTGACAAAGGTTCGGTTTCTTTGTTTCTTTACATCTTTCTAAACGTAAGTGTTGCTGCTGTAAATAACCACTATGAGTCTGTAGCCTGGAGTATTTATACATGTACAGAATAAGCCTCTTTTAATATGAATTTTTTTAATATTTCCTTTGTGGATTTGGTACAATCTAAAACGTCAGAAGCCGGTATATTGTTACAGCTTGGAGGGTGACCAATGCCGCTTGCTGTTTTAACTCTGGTCAATAGATGTGATCGCTTCTGTGCTCAATGTGAATATTAACTTTGGGATTTTGGGAGATTTTTCCAAAGCTGTGAATTGTTTGTTACAGAAAGTTGGGAGAAAGTTGTTGTATGTCGTTCTGTTGGGAACATTTGGGTTTGTTTCTTTTTTTATATATATATATATATTTTTTCCTCAAAACAATAACTTTTAATATAGGAAACTCTAACCTGTGGCTGATACTTGAAATGGGAGAAAGTATGGATTCAAACCAGCAGCAAAAGTGTGTGATATTAGAATCTGTCAATGCTCGAACTCCCAGAGCAGTCAAATTGACGGCTTTTTTTGCTTGTTTTGGCAGTGTGATTACTCGGCTGGTGCACAATCTTGGTCCTGTTAACTTTGGGACTTTCACTGTTTTCTATAAATCTAGTTTAATTCTATGTTATTTTCTTTGTTAATTAATATGTTTTCAAATGTGAGTATTTCTAACTTTGACTCTCATTCATTTGATTCTATGGCCGTTAAAACACCTCTTTCTCTTTGGTACTGGTTCTTGGACTGGTTCCTAGACTGGTCTTTAAATGGATTCTGGACTGGTATTGGACTGGCCGTGGACTGATTCTTGGACTGGTCATGGACTGGTCTTTAAATGGATTCTGGACTGGTATTGCACTGGCCGTGGACTGATTCTTGGACTAGGCCTTGGACTGGTTCCTGAACTAGTCTTAGACTGGTCTTTTGAATTGTTTTTGGACTGGCTGTGGACTGATTCTTGGACTAGGTCTTGGACTGGTTCTTGGACTTGTTCTGAGCTAAGCTTGTTTTACCACCAAAGCAGAGCCTGTACTAGTTACCATAGCAACACGCTGTTTACTTGATGGCAGTTAGCATTTAGCCTGTAGCATTAGCCTTTTCTAACTGTTTTTGAGGTAATTAAAGGTATATACACCAGTTTTAGCACTTATTAAAGGTAAACACTGATTAATTACCTGCTTTTGATCAAACTAACAAACCATAGAGAAATACAAATGGATTTTTAACATGTTCCTCCTAACTGAAGTGTTGTAACTGACAGTGATTAGCCAAAGTGCTGCTGATTAGAGTAGACCAAAAATAGTTCCGTTGACGTGAATGGGAGCCGTCAAAATGAGTCATGCTCTGTGAGTTCGAGTAGCTTCAGAATTCTAGCAGTCCTGATTTTGTTTGCTGAACTTGGGAAAACAATGAAAATATAATCAAATCACACACTCTGTCCTAAAGCATTCAGGCTTTTATTTTTCTATTACGTTTTTCCTGTTTATTTTTTTTGCATGAAACAAATGGGAGCGGTTGGTGTGAAGTACGTCGTTATGAGGGTTTTGAGTCAAAAACGTGAGAGGACTCGATTTAAGAGATTTTGAAATGATTTTGGGTGAAACGGAAGCTTCAATGTGCCACAATGTCTTAATAATTACTTTTAAACTAATTTTTCTGTGTTTTCTCCATTAACTCAACTACTGTCTGTTTTTTGGGCGTCCACAATATAACGTGAGAAGCCCTCCATTTTATAATACAAAAAACCTTATTTGCTAATGCTAAATGTTAATATAAAGCTAAAACAAAAGCACTTTCTTTAAACTTAAACTCTAAAAATACTTAATCTCTGCACTGTTGACATTTCTCATTGCTATTTTTCATCTCATTGTAAATTCTTAATCTTTTGTACATACGTTTTTTTGTTTCTTTTCCACATTCCACAAACTGAAGCAACTGTTACAAAGTCTTATTTTTGTATTTGTGAATAATGGTCATGAATGAGAACTTTGTCCATTTTGGATTAAATAGTTCCTCATTGCAGCCGTGTGTCTTGTCGTCACTTTCCCAGCTCTAGTTTTCACTTGTTTGTTTGGCTCTGTCACGTCTTTTAATCAGATTTTTCAGAGGACCAGCCTCACTCGGCCAATCAGCGCTTACCCTAAGCGTCGAATAGTGACTCACAGGGCTCTTTCTGTCAAGTACATGTTTTATATTGATGACAGGGTGTAGTGGTCTGATTAATTTTACTTTTACAACACAATAAAATTGGCTTTTCACACACTTTTTAGCTTTGTGGGGCAAGACTTACACGTGCCCAGGAAAACTAAATAGCTTTGAAGTCAGGTCGCACCTACCATAGCTACACATACAATTTAGCTTTCTGTGGGGCAAAATTCACATCTGACCAGAAAAAATAAATGCCTCCACATGCTGCTTTTCACATGGTCTCTGCTTTGACTGTTCTACAAATGGACATTCACTCCAGAGTTCTACACAAGGGCATTCACTCCAGAGTTCTACACAAGGGCAATACCAGTTCATTCAACCAACTGTTCATGCCAATTTATGTGGATGCAGCAAAAAGCAGAGCCATTTCTAGGGAAATCATATTGTAAAACTTGTACTACCATAACAAGCATCCCATTGGTGTAACACAAATGCACAGACTGTACATGTTCAGAAGTTTTATTAGTTTGGAGTGAGACCGCTGCTGCTATCTGAAAACATACATTTCTTAACATAACAAAACAATCACAACTTTGGGAAAATAAACAAATCGGAAAGTAATGGAAATAGCCAATTATTACTATACATGCAGTCCTGTTTGTCAGATTATTATACTCTTAGTCCTAGTTTTAACTGAGATAGAACTAGGGACAATTAAGGAGTGAACACAGCTTAAATAAACATGAAACGCCTTGTTCTAATTTCATGGTATGAGACGAGAATGTCGGAAAGGTTTGAGAATTTAGTTAAATGTATTCAGAAGGCAGCGTCGCGCCTCCACCACAGCGTACAAGAATCTGTTGATCCTAAAACGGTGATTTTGTTCAAAAGTGAAAGTTGTAGGACACAAGTGGCACTGAGAAACAGAATTCTGAGGCAAAAATGAATATCAATTATCAGTCTCATTATACAGACTTGTACCACTATTTAAAATGTTGAGTTTACAAGACAAGTTTTTGCAATTGAAATCTCAGTCGTAAAGCCTCTACGATCAGATTTACAGTTTTAAGCGATGATGAAATTGCACAAGGGTTTTCTAATCATCAATTTACCCGTTGACATGACAGCCAACTCTGAACCATTAAAACAAGCGGGGAATGCGCCTAAATATAGCATTTTATACAGTATTCCCCTCAAAGGTTCATCTCCAAATGCCATTTACCACATAAACTATAAGTCTAGACTATGGTTAATTTAATGTTAAAAATTGTGGTTTTGGCTCATGTTTTTGGGTAAAAATCAGCTCAATCTTTTAACCAGCAGAGTATAGAAGTGTCATTTGTTTACATGGTTACACAATTGTTCTTGATCACAGCTAATATTACATTACTCCATGAATGTAATTTCATAAAACCGTCCTAAAAGTCTTACATGAACAGCAAGGACCAAAAAAAAGTGCATGTTTTTTTATATTCTGCAGTTGTTCCTTCACAGATTCTAGCTCCCTGATTGGTTGAGAGCTGCAGCCAATGAGGAGAGAGGGGGAGAGAGGTGAAGGGGGGGAGCAGGAAGTGGATTATTGGATGTTGGTGACGGCGTCGTGGATGGACTGGGCAACGTAGTCGATGTTTTTGGAGGTGAGTCCGCACATGTTGATGCGACCGCTGGTCATGAGGTACACGTGCTTCTCCTTCACCATGTACTCCACCTGTTTGGCTGCAACACCACAGACAGACAGACAGACAGAGAGTTGTATGAAACTGAGAAATGTGATTCTTATGTGCAACCAGTGTGGGTCTGACATGCAGCAATACCACCAGTGCCTGTGGGGGTGGACCCGGAAAGAGAATTATTCCATGCTAACGTATGGTATCCCTCAAAAACACCTTTACAGGATGGTCCAAAAGTGGCTCTTGGCCCAAAGCTCCACATGTGTGTCCATGCTGAGGGCAGTGATTTTTTTTGGACCAGTCTAGTTTAGCCGCTGTGGACTTTTGAAGGCTCTTGTTAAATGAATGGGGATAGTGCAGCTGACGCACGCGCAGATGCGTTGTTTTCATTTTGAAACTGGCCATAGACTGTGAAATTAGTGGCTCATTAGTTTGAATGGCGGAGATACGAGTGACTACAATAATATTTTCAGTCTGTGTGTACAACAGAACTCTGATCCTTAGTGCAATATTGTAGAAAATCTTGGTCGTACTTATGGTATCCTTTATAACCGACTTATTTGGTCTTCTTGAGTTCATGGTGAGGGGCATTGTTGTGTTTTTGTTTGTTTTGTGAAGAAAACTAAGGTTTGTTATTGTCATGTCCTTGGTCCAGTTACTATTGTTTATCCAAGAAACATTTATCTTTCAAGAGACTAAAAGGATGAATCTAAAGAGTGAGACTCAAACTAGCTTCAAGCTGCATGACCTGGAAACTTGCTGCTACTCACTGAGAATGTATTTTGTCGGGAAATACAAACACATACATCAATATTAAGTATCTTTCACAATGAATATATTTAAAACAGTCTCTCTCCTCGACATAAGCCTCACCAGTAAGATTGGCAGGAGGAGAGACCAAAGGGGAGGGGCATCCAATCAGGCCCAAGTTGGGGGCGGGGTCTATGGTCTACGGTCTGGGTCATCAGAGGCGGGTCTCAAGCTCAGTCCCAGTCTGAGTGTGTGGTGTGAGACTCACGGTTGAGGCCGGTGAAGCTGAACATTCCGATCTGAGCCGTGATGTGGTCCCAGGTTCCAGGAGTCCCCAGAGCGATGAGTTTAGAGCGGAGCTGGTCCCGCATCAGCAGAACTCTGTCCGCCATAGTCTTCACGTTGTCTTTCCTGCAAGAGACGAGATGGACTCAAGTTATTTAAAACAGGCATTTGGTGCTTAGAGAGACACAGAAAAAGAAGGTCCTTTATTTGTCCCACGATGGGGAAATATACACATACACACACATATACACACACACATCAAGGCAGGCAGCGAACGTCACTTCCGAGACCAGAGAGAGAATAATTCTTTTATTTATATACCATTCTGCGAAGAGCTCGGGGCAGTTGAGAGTCTTGCTGACGACACGTGCGCCCTGAGACGGAGGGTTGGACCACGTCGTCCTGACGATCTTCTCCATCTGGGACAGGATCCGGGTCAGATTATCACTGTCCCGGGCCACGACGGTCAGGTTCCCTACTCTCTCGTCTGCAGGAGAGAACACACAGGAGTCAGGGAGGAGAAAAGAGGGATTCCTGACCATTTATTTTTCTCTCAAATTATTTCACACAAGGACGAGACAAGAATCATAACTTTTTTATTGCCATTGTAAGTAACAAGAAGTCAAAAAAAAGTAAAAAATAGCACTTGTGGGTGAAATTGTGGGTGTTATTTTAGTGTTTTTGTCAAAATTATTGCGTTAACGCAAATTAATAAATTTTTTCCATTAATCGCGTATTAATGCATACCCATGTATCCCATAATATCACTCAGAATGCCGCGGACACATGCGTGTGTGAGATGGTGACAGAGCAGGTCTCTGGGAATCCACGTGAACTCTGCGAGCTGAGCTGCGGCGCTCTGGACAGCAGTTCCTCCAGCGGCTGTGATCACGGCGAACGGCGCCGTAACGTGATCATATCCAAGACCATACACTCACAGAACTATTCTCTGCTTATAGTGTGCGTGTCTGCGTAACCGGTGCACACAAAAAATACAGCGCAGAAGCTTGACAACGGAGCCTCAGTCTCCTCAGTGTCTTCTCCCGAAGCGCACTCGCTAAATTAAAGCTGGGGTACCTAATTTTCCATTCCACTACCAGTTCATGTTGGTTGTGCCCAAAAGTAATGTTGTGAGCAAATCAAACAGATTTAATGACATTCTGCCTCAGACTGATTCTAAATGTCCCTCCTCTGTAACAAACAATAGTTGTTACAAGAGTCACTACAAATACTGCACATATGTTCACTAAGCTGTCATTTATCTTTCCACTCAAACAAACAATTACAGAAAAATATGGCATCATTTTGTTGATAGTTTGAAATGTAATTAATTACGATTAATTAATTTTTAAGCTGTAATTAACTTAATCTTAAACTTAAACATTGTAATCGCTTGACAGCCCTAGTTTTCATGCATGGGTCCGCTGCAGACTCACTGTAGAGGCCGAAGTTCTTGGAGAAAGACTGAGCCACGAAAAGCTCGAATCCCTGAGACACAAAGTAGCGGATGGCCCAGGCGTCTTTGTCCAGGCTCCCGGACGCAAAGCCCTGGTACGCAGAGTCGAAGAACACAAACAGGTTCCTCCTCTGGACACAACCACATGAAGGGGAACAGTTAGAGGGGAATAATATCTGCTGATCGCTCAAAAAACATTTTTTTTATCTCTCATTTTGTTTTCTTCTGGCTTTGAGGCCAATCAACTGAAATAATTAGCCGCCTGCTTTTGAAACTGCTCTTTTCTGTCTCTCTCTCCGTTTCCTCTATCTGTTTCTGGCCTCTCTCTCTGCTGCCTCTCTCTCTCTCTCTCTCTCTGCTCCCTCTCTCTCTCTCTCTCTCTCTCTCTCTCTCTCTCTCTGCTGCCTCTCTCTCTCTCTCTCTCTCTCTCTGCTGCCTCTCTCTCTCTCTCTCTCTCTGCTCCCTCTCTCTCTCTCTCTCTCTCTCTCTCTCTCTCTCTGCTGCCTCTCTCTCTCTCTCTCTCTCTCTCTGCTGCCTCTCCCTCTCTCTCTCTCTCTGCTCCCTCTCTCTTCCTGCTCTCTCTCTCTCTCTCTACTCCCATGTCTAAAAGTGTAGTTTTGTACCTTCATGATTTCTGCGATCTTCTTCCACTCGTCCTGTGTGGGGTCGGTGCCGGTCGGGTTGTGGGCGCAGGCGTGAAGCACAAAGATGGAATGCTCCGGAGCTTTCTGTCACATGAAAAATGAAATGTCAGTTATCCTCTTCTTAGTCAGTTCTTAAAAACATGAACTAACAACAATAACCACCAACCTCCAGATCGTCCAGCAGTCCCTCCAGGTCCAGGCCTCGCTTGTTGGCGTCCCAGTAATGGTACGGACGGACATCTTTGAAACCAGCGTCACCGAAGACGCCATTGTGGTTCTCTGCAACAAGTATTATGCATTATTTAGCCATTTCATGTTAGATTTAGACAAAGCTGTATTCATCCACAAGGAAGCTATGTTTACGAATTATGTGACTGAGAGGATGTACCGCCCCCTGCTGTAAATGGGAGGTTTGGTTGTAAAGTTATAACGATGTATGTGCGTGGGGCGTGCACAAGAATGAAGAATTAAGAGATCCTTTTTTCGTCCCACAGCGGGGAAATTTCAGAACAAGCCCCGGTGATCCAAGATGGCGTCCTATTCAAGTCAGTGGCTGGTTCTCAGTGGCCCAGAAAGATCAGCGGAACTCGCCCATATTTGGTCCTACCGAATCTGTGCACTGGACGAGCTCCCATGATGCGTGATGAAGAGTTAGAGCGGGAGCCAAACGAGCAGAGTTTGTGGCACTAAAGTGTGGATTTAAAGAAAACTGAAGACTTTAAGAATAAAAAAAGTTCAGGATGACAAGGGGCACCAAAATCCCCACAAAATCCGACCTTTATGAAAGCTGTAGGTTCTGTCAGTTGAGGTCGAGCCGTTTCAGTTTACATTGGGTTCTATGGGACACTTTTCTGGGTGGCCCACGTGAATTTAGTCTGGTTTAGTCCGCAGTACCGCATGATATTATAAATAGCTCCATGGTAGAGTCTCTGGGAACAAAGGGAATTTTTGCTTTATGAAGGATACACTGCTTTACTGAGATTATAATTGAAATATTCTGCTGGTTGCCAACCTATCATTCATTATAGCCTTTTTGGTGAATACATTGAAGACATTGATTTGAGGTGGCATGGAGCGGACTTATGGGCTGAAAATATGGACTGGATATTTACTGCAGAGGGCCTCAGGCTGAGGGGTGAAATGAGAAGTCCTGGACTGGACATGGACATGGACATGGACCTGGACCTGGACATGGACATGGACATGGACATGGACATGGACCTGGACCTGGACATGGACCTGGACATGGACATGGACATGGACATGGACCTGGACCTGGACATGGACATGGACATGGACATGGACATGGACATGGACATGGACATGGACATGGACATGGACATGGACATGGACATGGACATGGACCTGGACCTGGAGAATTGATGAGATGGACTATAGACGGACTGGACAGGGCTGAGAGTGAAGGGTACTGACCCCATGTGGGTGCGGACACGTAGACTGGAGTGGACGTGTTGTTGGTGCCGTTGTACCAGTGTCGGAGAAAGTCTGCCCCGATCCTCAGAGCTCCGGTCCCGCCCAGACACTGCACTGCTCCCACCTGCAGCACACAGCACTTTACAAACCAGCACAAAGCAGCTGAGGGACGAGGAAATTTACTTTTAGATTAAACCTTGAAAAAAATCCCTTAAAAAAAATATGAACAAGACAAGAACTGCCAATAGAACAAGATTCAAGTATTCAAGTATTATTTACTTATTTCTTGAACATTTTTGAGAATGGTTTTCTTAAAATATAGCATAACAGACTTAATTTATCTAAACGACAAGAAAAGTTGTCTGGAAATAAGAAAACAATTCTTAAAACAAGCAACTCACTTCTCAGACCAAGATTATGAAGTATTTTTATGTTAAAACTAGATTACTGGATTAGAGGGGAACGAAACAAGCTAGAAACTAAATTCTTTTTGCTGATGAAAGTAGACAGTCAATTCTTTCAGAATCTGGTTTTTAGATAGTCATAGTACACAATATTCTGTGGGTCTTAAAATCTATAAAAACCATCAGAAACGCCTGGCAATATAAGAGCACCTGTACTGAAATAGGCTGGCAGTCAGTGAGTTAATACTATTGTTGTTACCGTTTCATGGGAGGCTGTGGCACTTTCTCACCCTGTTCTCTGCGATGGCGGCGCTGTCGTCTCCCAGAGCCACTTTGGAGGCTGCGGACCTGAACTCGGGCAGTCCCAGGATGGGCAGGTACTCGTGGTTCAGGCTGGTGTCCTCCACGATCAGACGCTCCACCTTCTTCACCACTGGCAGCACCCAGGGCAGGCAGTCGTCCGTGCGGTACGCTGAGACGCACAAACACGTTATTTTACTGCGTATGAAAGCTGGGGTCCCCGACTTTCAAACCAAAAAAACATGGAACAATATTTATCGCTCGCAGTTTGATTCCATCACTAGTTTTCCCCATAATTGTCACTAATCACATTTAGTGCACTTATATAGTTTATAGTAGTCATTAATTTCATGTTATGCCTTTACCTTTTTGCTCTTACAACTTGACTGCATCTCGAGCCAGAAGTAAGTTTGGGATTTCCTGTTCCTCACACTGGCAACACAAATAATGTTTTATTCTGATCTACAATATGAAAAGTGACTTGTATGTTTTGTTAAATATGATAGACATATACAGCAGTAGAATAGGATTGGTCGTTCCTTGTTTGGTTGGAATTCTTCTTTCACAATATCATATGTTTGAACTGTAACTTTGAATTTTAATTTAGTCGTCACATCAATGATCAGCTTTTTCAGTCAATCACCTCTCAGCTCAAAAAGTCAAATAGTGACTCACAGGACTCTTTTTTTCCCACAAGTGTGCAACATAGGACATGTTTTAAAGTGAGGTGAAGACGGCATGTTGTGGTCCGATTTGTTTAAGACTTCTACTTTTACAACACTTTCTCTTGAGGCAAAAAAAAATGTACAGACAAAAGTGATTCTATAAACACTGGAGTATTCCCAATATTACTGTGATATTTCTTTGATTTTTTTTAAACAATTTATCAGGCCTTAATCTTTGAATGTGACCAAACAGACTTCTATCACAGTGAACAACACAAAAGAAACTTTACTCAAAAAGACAGCATTACATACATAGTTCACAATATTAAAAACAGTACATATTTTATTTTTTACTTTATTCTGATGTGGGAGTGGAGCAGGGTTTTTTGCATTGACACTGACCTACGACCCATAGTTGTGGCAAAGGCCTGAAACCAGATGAAGGCAGTAATCTCTAGTGTAGAATCTGCAGCTCTACATCTTTCCACAAAGAGCTTTAAACTTTGACACAGGACTCTGCAGTTTCTCTGAATGAGTCTCTAAGCTTCTTTATATTAATCTGATCCACGGTTTAATTATTGACGATTTACAACAAGTCAGAGCCACTGCCGCCAAGAGCCACAACAACAATAAAAAAACAAGTTAATCAGGGCGGCACGGTGGCTGAGTGGATAGCACTCTCGCCTCTCAGCAAGAAGGTCCTGGGTTCAAATCCCGGTTGGACCAGGGCCTTTCTGAGTGGAGTTTGCATGTTCTCCCTGTGTCTGCGTAGGTTTCCTCCGGGTGCTCCGGTTTCCCCTACCACTAAAGATATGTACAATAGGTCTGGCATGTGCCTCCTGTACTGGTACCCCCACTCCCAAAAAATAACAATTGTAAACTGCTTTGAGACTCCGATGTGCAGTGAAAAGGCGGTATATAAATAAAGATTACTTACTTACTTACTCTCAGAAGACAAGGACAGATATAAAACAACATTAAACAGTAAACTATTGTCACTGTGAAATCGATCAACCAAAACAATATCAAAACAAGTGCAAGATCATTTTAAAGTGCTCTGTTCACACTGATAACAGCCTGTGGAAAAAACTGTTAGCGTAACGAGATGTCCTGCATCTCAGCGAACGATATCTTCTGCCAGAGGGAAGAAGCTGGAACAAGCCTTTCCCAGGGTGGCCAGAAGAGTCATTGAGAATTCTCAGAGCTCTGTTTAAAAGTCTGGATTTATAAAGAACCTCCAGAACAGGAAGCTCACAGCCCACGGTCCTCTTTGCAGAGCGGAGCACCTTGTTTAAAGCTCTCTTTTCTTTATCTGTGATGTTTCCAAACCACACAGACACAGAACCAACAAGTAAACTCTCAATGGTGCAGCGATAAAAGTTAAGCAGAATCTTAGAGTTAGTGGTAAATTCTCAAAGTTTACGCAGAAAGTAGAGACACTGACGAGCTTTATTAACGACTCGGTCAGTGTTTTTAACCCATTTCAGGTCATCAACTCTATAAAGTCTAATAAAGTCTGTTATCTAAAGTTGCCTATTAGTATTATGGCAAATCACATATTGATAAGAGGTTTTTAATAACGGCAATAACATGCTATAAGATATTGGAGAGACCAGCCCTGATGAACAGATAGTTTTGAAGTGAATTGATGGTTATGAGAAGAGTGACAAAACAACAAAATATTGGAAAACCATTTATACATGTTAGAATAAGTCTTTGTGGTTAACTTGATGAACAGTTTCTACTAATGTTTTCTCTATCATAAACATTAGAGCTGCAGCTGTCTGACTGTAGCCAACAACAGATCAGAGAAGCAAAACAAGAAATGTAAAATGCCCAGGATCTTCACCACTGATCCTCCATCCTTAGACCCTCCTACATCAGCAAGAAAAAACCTAAAAACCCAGTGGGAAGTGAGAAACCTTGAGGACAGAAGGTTTATTTTTATTTTTTTTAAATCATTGAGAAATTGTGTTACTCCATTTCCTCAACTGTGTCAGTCCTAGGACACAAAGATATTTTAAGTTTTTGAAATACCAGGCATTGACTCTTTCTATCCAGACAATGATGGCAGGTTAGTCAATTCTAAAGCTAATTTTCTTAGGAACAGCCACAATTTACTCTAAACAAGAACCCAGAATGCATTTACCAGTAATAATAATGAAAAAAAGCTAAGTAATACAGTAAGTCCATCTTAAAACTCAACCATGTTTCCCTTTGGTCCTATACTACTCATTGTGTTCAGAGAAAAACTACCAAAAAACAACCTGCAAACCAATAATCAATACAAAAGTAATAATAATAATACAATAATAAATCAATAAACAGAATCAAAGCAGCTCTTGTTATTAGGACAACTGCAGACTGATTGGGCCTCATGTCGCTCTGAAATGGGTGTGAGTGGTGTTCATTTTGACTTCTGAAGAACTCCATGAATCCTGTATCAAGTATCACACGTTCAAAGTCCTGCTGCAGCTGAGACAAGGGACACAGGAAGGTCAAAGCAGCCACCGAGTCTGCAGCATTTGAGGAAGACAAGATATCCTCACATTCTTACATAACTAATAAGAACAAGAAGTGAAACTGAGCAGTGAAGATTGTCCTGGTTTACTTATTATTACATGTTTGTTTCATCTTCTACTGAGGCACTAAGATTCTTTTATAGGGACATGTTGGGTCCATCAATACACATTTTGCCCATAAAATTAGCCCCGTCATCATCTATTGGCACAGTAAACAAAGAGGCGTGCTTCCAATGGTGGGTCCTACACACAGCAGATGAGGGGTTGGAGGTGTAAGGGACATAAATTGCGTCGTCAGCTGAAAACAAGGTCATCTCTTTTTCTCCACGGACAAAACAAGAATGCATTTCCTATTGACTTTAGTAGACTCTATAAAGTCTAATAAAGTCTGTGTTATCTCAAGTTGTCTATTAGTATTATGGCAAATCACGAATTGATAAGAGGTTTTTATAACAGCAATAACATCCTGTAAAGATATTGGAGAGAACAGCCCTGATGAACAGATAGTTTTGAAGTGAATTGATGATTATGAGAAGAGTGACAAAACAACAAAATATTGGAAAACCATTTATATATGTTAGAATAAGTGTTTGTGGTTAACTTGATGAACAGTTTCTACAACAGAGTGAAGGGAGCAGTCACAAGACGAAGTCACGCTTTCCCAAATCCCTTTCACAACATAAACATTAGAGCTGCAGCTGTCAGACTGTAGCCCAATACTGCTGCTAGCTTCTATGTTAGCATTTGGCGAAGGTCAAACCATAAACAATGACTGCATATTGCTGAGTGATTATGAATACTTGTTCAGAGAGATTGAAAACCTTATTCTGACAATTTGGAAGTGCATAGTCATGAGATGTACTTGTCCCATTCATCCTCCAGTCCAGGCTGACTTAGCATTAGCATTAGCTTAGCTGTAGCTATGAGGCTTTTAACGAAAAGCGTGGCATTTAGATCTAGACCGGTAAATATTTACAGTCCATGGTGCGGACACTGGCAAGTGTTGAAATATTTCTGGGAAAATCTCTGATAATCTTTGAAAAATAAATGATTTCCAGTATTTGAGGGCGCGTTTAGAATGAGAAATATGACAACTGTGATGTTGCTGTCATTCATTACTTCTATGACTTTTAACAAACTTATTTACTTTATAGAATCTTCTTATTCTACTAACTTAAAATACACTTGATACACAGTTTGACGAATGACTTTTTTCAGTCGTCAAAAAGTTCATAAACTACAGTCAATGGGGCGAAATGCCTAGGATTTGGTGAGTTACCTAGCATTAGCATTAGCATTAGCATTAGCTCCACTTACCTCCGACTCCCAGGTTCACCTTCTGTGGATGCGGGTCGTCTCTAAAATCGGCCGTGAGTTTGAAGACTGCCACCGGCGGGGCCTGGGGCACCTCTGTGAACAGAGACATGTCTTTGGGCGGGAGACTGAGTTTTACGGTGGAAAGGTGCAGATGAGGTGGAGGATAGACCGTGTGGAGCTGAGTGCAGTGGCCGGAGGAGGCTGCAGGAGACGCGGGGAGCAGCTCAACCTTCAGCCGCTTGAGGAGGGAGCAGGGGGCGTGAACACGGACAGCCAATCAGAGCGCATGTACGGAGGGGAGCGATGACAGCTGGCCAATCAGAATGCACAGATGGAAGGCGCAGATGCACATCAGTGAAACAGATTGATGGTGGGGCAACCGTTCATACAATTTATAATTTATTAAAGAGCATAATGATAACATTCATTGTCTTTCTATCTTTCAATCATTTCCACACACTGTTTGATATTGTGGCAAAAAAACCATAGACTGTCAAACACTCATAGGGACTAAAGCAAATTCTCACTTTGATAAAAAGAGAGACTTTGCAACCTATAAAGTAACCCTGTCTTTTGATTCTTTATTGGACTAACACCACTTTCACGTATTCGTAATTCATTTAATACTGTGAATTTGTTTCTTTTAAAATCTTGATGAATACACTGTTAGTTTACTTCTATTATTAAATGTTTGTTTCATCCTCCAGTGGGACACTAAGATGTTTTCAAAGCCCACAGTGCTCTTGTGTATTTAGTTTAGTTTGCTGTTAATTGGTGCCACTCAAACAACAGTAGAGTCAAGAGAAGTGCTTTGTCATAGGAGTGATGAAGACACGAGCTGTAGTGGTTCATTTAAGGCACTAGAGGGCAGTGTGTCCACAGTCTGAATGCCACACTGCCCCTTCATACTCTGGATAGACCAGTGGGGGAGGGTCCCGGCTCAAAAGTGGCCAAAATGACGTGCGCTGACATGCTTGCAGTACCACCCCGGGCCAAAGGGGGTGGACCCAGAAGAAGAATTAGCCAATGCTAAAACGTCTTTACAGGATGGACCAAAAGTCGGCTCTTGGCCCAAAGCTCCGTTCCACATGTGTGTCAATGCTGAGGGGGGGGGGTTTTGGTCCACTCTAGTTTACTTGCTGTGAATATTTTAAGTCTCTCGTTCAAATGAATGGAGCTCTCACCGGCTGACGCATGCGCAGATGCGTTTTTTTCACAATTTTCTTGTGGGAGGGACCACTCGCGGCCATTTTGGATTGCCCCAGTAGAGCACATTTTTTGGCCCATTAGTTAGAACGGCGGAGATAGGCGTGACTCTGTCCATTAATATATACAGTCTATGGTAGAGACAGGGTAATAATTAGCCTGGTCGTACCACACCATAGTACAAATGACATTTCATACTAAGGTCTGGACGTGCTCCATTGACTCCTTTAACAGGTGGGAGGGGTTAACTCCTTTTGCAGATTGAAACGATTGGATCTAAGTTTACCGTGACGTATGTAGTGTGCCCGAGTCTGTTGTTGTTAGCATTTAGCCTAGCCATCTCCTTTGCCGCTAACGAAGCCCGTGGGGAGTAGCGCCACAATTTATTCTAGCAATTACATTTGCCAAACATTCCTCTTGCTCCGGCTTCAATTTCTAGATAGAACCAGACCGGATTACTTTACTATCGCATTTTTCGCCATTGCCAAACTACAACCTGCCCATTCGACGCAAACTCTTGACGTCACCCACAACTAACTACAACACCCGCCTATGAAATTCAACCGATTGTAATCGCTAACACAGGGACCAGACCCACACGTTATATGCAGTGAAATGATGATTGAGTGGAGTGTACAGATGGATAAGGCCAGGATAGGTAATTGAATTGAATCATTTATTTCTAACCTGCACAAAGAATCTTTTTAAACAGGCTATAATGTACAGACTTTTAGTTTTGGCTTCTTTCACGTCTTTGGATCATCTTTTACAAACAGAAAAGTGAACAGTCACCTTCTCTCAGCCAATCAGCTCTCAGCCCAAATAGTCTCAGGAACTTTCTTATAAGTGTGCAAAATATAACATGTTTAATAAATCGAAGATAAAGACACGTGGATTTTTCATTCACAAAGTTATACTATTTTGCAAAGTACTTTCTGTTGTGAAAAAGTCAGACACCCCAGCTTTAATTCTTTCAGAATTAAAGCTGGTCGGAACAGGGCCTGGTCGGAACAGGGCCTTTCTGAGTGGAGTTTGCATGTTCTCCCCATGTCTGTGTAGGTTTCCTCCAGGTGCTCTGGTGTCCCCTACCACTAAAAACCTGCACAATAGGTCTGAATGTAAATGAGAGAGTGAATGGATGGTGTTGATTGGAGCTGATGGTCCAGTGTGTTCTGGACTCGCTTCTGTCATCACCGTGTGTGGAATGATTGGAACAATATCTGAACATTGTAAAGTGCTTTGGGTGACCTTGGTCTGTAAAATGCACTATATAATTAAACATAAATAAATAAACATTACTTACTTACTAAACAGGATACTTTAGCATTTTTAATATGTAGATAATCCTGTAATTCCCCACTTCTACCAGCAGGGGAGGTTTTTCAACCTCAAACATTGCAAGCTTCATATACTGCCATGTTGTGAGAAATTACTAAAACTAATTTGAAGGTATACAGGCCGTCAATCATCAAAGAGAGAGAGGCTGGAAAAAGAGCGGCAGGTACAGCGCCTCCGCACTCCAGTGACTTTCATCAGAAATGTGTTGTAAAGAAATGTCCCGGCCAGAAGAGACCACTAAAAACTACTAAAAACAAACAACAAAAATCCCCCTGTCTGTTTCAAGGTCGACAGTTGTGCATCGCAGCCTCAGTCCTCGTTCTACAACATGAGTCCTGGATCTACAGTCTCAGTCCTGGATCTACAGTCTCAGTCCTAGATCTACAGTCTCAGTCCTAGATCTACAGCCTCAGTCCTGGATCTACAGTCTCAGTCCTGGATCTACAGTCTCAGTCCTAGATCTACAGTCTCAGTCCTGGATCTACAGTCTCAGTCCTAGCTCTACAGTCTCAGTCCTGGATCTACAGCATCAGTCCTGGATCTACAGCCTCAGTCCTGGATCTACAGTCTCAGTCCTGGATCTACAGCATCAGTCCTGGATCTACAGCCTCAGTCCTGGATCTACAGTCTCAGTCCTAGATCTACAGCATCAGTCCTGGATCTACAGCCTCAGTCCTGGATCTACAGTCTCAGTCCTGGATCTACAGTCTCAGTCCTGGATCTACAGTCTCAGTCCTAGCTCTACAGTCTCAGTCCTGGATCTACAGTCTCAGTCCTGGATCTACAGTCTTAGTCCTGGATCTACAGCCTCAGTCCTAGCTCTACAGCCTCAGTCCTGGATCTACAGCCTCAGTCATGGATCTACAGCCTCAGTCCTAGATCCACAGTCTCAGTCCTGGGTCTACAGCCTCAGTCATGGATCCACAGCCTCAGTCCTGGATCTACAGTCTCAGTCCTGGATCTACAGCCTCAGTCCTGGATCCACAGTCTCAGTCCTGGATCTACAGTCTCAGTCCTGGATCTACAGTCTCAGTCCTGGATCTACAGTCTCAGTCCTGGATCCACAGTCTCAGTCCTGGATCTACAGCCTCAGTCCTGGATCCACAGTCTCAGTCCTAGATCTAAAGCCTCAGTCCTAGATCCACAGTCTCAGTCCTAGATCTAAAGCCTCAGTCCTAGATCCACAACCTCAGTCCTGGATCTGCAGCATGAGTCCTGGATCTACAAATTGAGACCTATAGACCCTCCCCACAATTAGCTTGGATGAATCTAAAAACAACTCCAGGGTCCGTGTCTGGTGAGGAACAACATTTAAAGTATCCCTAATGGGTTTTCATTATCAATACTATCTCCCTTCACCGCTGCCTGAGTCTGGGCTTGCTGGGCTCCAAGGGTCACCTCCTCTCACCTCTCATTCTTGTCTCTGTAGTGAAAGCTTGTGGCGTCTGCACAGGGGGCCACTCAATGTCCATCATGTCGACAAATTGCCGGAGTCGGCCCCCAGCGTGCAGCCGTGTCAGAGTGGTTAGCCTCTTTGAAACCCTACACTGTTGATGGTTTGGTTTTGGAGGGGAGCAGGAAGAGGCCTCCGAGCTGCTGTTTTTGATGTTAGGGACGACGCCACATACGGGCCGCGAAACCAAACACACTAACACACCGCGCTCAACCGTGGAGGGTTTTAGAGTTGGGTTTGATGGTGTTATTGTAGAGTAGTATTGGTGGAGAGTAGAAAATCATTGGTGTTTAGGGTTAGCTATTTATTCACCTGTTTATGATAATGAGGATCAATCATTTTTAAGAGAAATGTCTAATGTTTAGTTCTGACTGTAAATCTAATTAAATCATTTGAAATTATTATATTTTACCATAAATAATGATTAATTCAAAATAAAGACTACAGCAACAACAATAATATCCCTGTATTGTTGAGATTTTTTTTTTTTTTTTTTTTACCATGATATTGTTGCTGTATCTTGGAATTTTTGCCTAAAGTTGCACTTCTCATCTGTCCTATCCTGACTCATTTCGTTTGGGTTAATTTAAATGTAGTTGTTAAGCTGCATATCTATACAGTTTGTCACTAAACATCCCGGTACCATTTTAAAGGCAAGGCAAGTTTTTTTGTATACCACAGTTCATACACAAGGCAACCTCAAAGTATGGTATTTTTAACCTGGATTTCCCCCTGGACTGCCACCTTAACGTGGTGGGGGAGTTTGAGTACTCGGATGATCCTGGGAGCTATGCTGTCTGGGGCTTCATGCCCCTGGTAGGGCCTCCCATGGCAGACAGGTCTCAGGTGACGAGTCAGACAAAGAGCAGTCCAGAAGACACCATGGACAGCACAGAAATGAAAACAGTGACGTCGCCCGGCATGGCGCAGCCGGGGCCCCACCCTGGAGCCAGGCCTGGGGTCGGGGCCCGTATGCGAGCGCCTGGTGGCCGGGCCTTAGCCCACGGGGCCCGGCCGGGCTCAGCCCGAAGGGATGACGTGGGCAGTCCCTCCTGTGGGCCCACCACCTGCAGAGGGGTCCGTGGTGAAGCGGTGCTGAGAGGACTGGGCGGCAGTCGAAGGCGGAGACCTCGGCGACCCAGTCCGCACACACAACAGCTGGCTCTTGGGACGTGGAACGTCACCTCACTGGGGGGGAAGGAGCCCGAGCTCGTGGGGGAGGTTGAGCGATACCGACTAGAGATAGTCGGCCTCACCTCCACACACAGCTTGGGCTCTGGAACCCAACTCCTTGAGAGGGGTTGGACGCTCCACTTTTCTGGAGTTTCCCGCGGGGAGAGGCGGCGAGCTGGGGTGGCCATTCTCATTGCCCCCCATCTCAGCCGCCACGTGTTGGAGTTCTCCCCGGTGAATGAGAGGGTCGCGTCCCTCCGCCTCCGGGCGGGGGACAAGTCTCTCATTGTTGTGACGGCCTACGGGCCTAACGGCAGTGTAGAGTACCCGGCCTTCTTGGAGTCCTTGGGAGGGGTACTGGACGGTGCACCGCCCGGGGACTCCGTTATTCTCCTGGGGGACTTCAACGCCCATGTGGGAAACGCCAGTGACACTTGGAGAGGGGTGATCGGGAAGAGCGGCCGCCCTGATCTGAACCCGAGCGGTGTTCAGTTGTTGGACTTCTGTGCCAGTCGCGGTTTGTCCATCACGAACACCATGTTCAAGCACAAGGGTGTCCACCAGTGCACGTGGCACCAGGACACCCTAGGCCGGAGGTCGATGATCGACTTTGTTGTCGTATCATCTGACCTTCGACCGCGTGTCTCGGACACTCGGGTAAAGAGAGGGGCGGAGCTGTCAACCGATCATCACCTGGTCGTGAGTTGGATCCGCTGGCAGGGGAAGAAGCCGGTCAGACCTGGCAGACCCAAGCGTATAGTGAGGGTCTGCTGGGAACGTCTCGCTGAGCCCCCTGTCAGACGGACTTTCAACTCACACCTCCGGGAGAGTTTCTCCCAGGTCCCGGCGGAGGAGTGGGACATGGAGTCCGAGTGGACCATGTTCTCTGCCTCAATCGCCGATGCGGCGGCTCGTAGCTGTGGTCGCAAGGTCTCTGGTGCTGGTCCCGGCGGCAACCCCCGAACCCGGTGGTGGACACCGGCAGTAAGGGATGCTGTTAGGCTGAAGAAGGAGTTCTATCGAGCCATGATGGTTCGGGGGACTCCTGAGGCAGCTGTCCAGTACCGGCAGGCCAAGCGTGCCGCGGCCCGGGCTGTTGCAGAGGCAAAAACCCGGGACTGGGAGGAGTTCGGAGAGTCCATGGAGCATGACTATCAGTCGGCCTCGAAGAGATTCTGGCAAACCATCCGACGCCTCAGGAGGGTGAAGCAGTTCTTTGCCAACACCATGTACGGTGCGTGTGGAGAGCTGCTGACCTCGACTGGGGATATTGTCGGGCGGTGGAAGGAATACTTTGAGGTTCTCCTCAATCCCCCCGTCACGTCCTCCGTTACAGAGGCAGAGGCTGAGGATGTTGGGGCGGGTACATCCATCTCCCTGGCTGAGGTCACCAAGGTGGTTGGTAGCCTCCATGGTGGCAAGGCTCCGGGTGTGGATGAGATCCGCCCTGACTATCTAAAGTCTCTGGATGTTGTAGGACTGTCTTGGCTGACACGTCTCTGCAACATCGCGTGGCGATCGGGGGCAGTGCCAATGGAGTGGCAGACCGGGGTGGTGGTCCCTCTCTACAAGAAGGGGAACCGGAGGGTGTGTTCCAATTATCGTGGGATCACACTCCTCAGCCTCCCCGGTAAGGTCTACTCCAAGGTACTGGAGAGGAGGTTACGGCCGATGGTCGAATCTCGGATCCAGGAGGAGCAGTGTGGTTTTCGTCCCGGTCGCGGAACACTGGACCAGCTCTATACTCTCCATCGGATACTCGAGGGTTCATGGGAGTTCGCCCAACCTGTCCACATGTGCTTTGTGGATTTGGAGAAGGCGTTCGACTGTGTTCCCCGGGGTGTCCTTTGGGGGGTTCTCCGTGAGTACGGGGTCGGAGGTCCTCTGCTGAGGGCCATCCGATCCCTGTATGACCGGAGCCAGAGCTGTGTTCGCATTGCCGGCAGTAAGTCAGACCTGTTCCCGGTGAATGTTGGCCTCCGACAGGGCTGCCCTTTGTCACCGGTTCTGTTCACTGTATTCATGGACAGAATATCTAGGCGCAGCCAGGGGTCGGAGGGGGTCCGGTTCGGAGACCACAGGATTTCATCTCTGCTGTTTGCGGACGATGTTGTCCTGTTGGCTCCAACGAACCAGGACCTGCAGCATGCACTGGGACGGTTTGCAGCCGAGTGTGAAGCGGCTGGGATGAGAATCAGCACCTCCAAATCCGAGGCCATGGTGCTCGACCGGAAAAAGGTGCCTTGCCCTCTGCAGGTGGGTGGAGAGGTCCTTCCTCAAGTGGAGGAGTTCAAGTATCTCGGGGTCTTGTTCACGAGTGAGGGAAGAATGGAGCGTGAGATTGACAGGCGGATCGGTGCAGCGTGCGCAGTTATGCGGTCGCTGTATCGGACCGTTGTGGTGAAGACGGAGCTGAGCCGAAAGGCAAAGCTCTCAATTTACCGGTCAATCTTCGTTCCCTCCCTCACCTATGGTCATGAGCTTTGGGTAATGACCGAAAGAACGAGATCGCGGATACAAGCGGTCGAAATGAGCTTCCTCCGCAGAGTGGCTGGGCGCTCCCTTAGAGATAGGGTGAGGAGCTCAGTCACACGGGAGGAGCTCGGAGTAGAGCCGCTGCTTCTCCACGTCGAGAGGAACCAGTTGAGGTGGCTCGGGCATCTGTTCCGGATGCCTCCTGGACGCCTCCCTGGGGAGGTGTTCCGGGCACGTCCCACCGGGAGGAGGCCCCGCGGAAGACCTAGGACACGCTGGAGGGACTATGTCTCTCAGCTGGCCTGGGAACGCCTTGGGGTCCCCCCGGACGAGCTGGAGGAAGTGTGTGTGGATAGGGAAGTCTGGGCGTCTCTGCTTAGACTGCTGCCCCCGCGACCCGGCAACGGATAAAGCGGAAGAAAATGGATGGATGGATGGATTTGAACATTGTCAGAGAAGAAGCCTGTCTCACATTTTCAGGAAGACTGTTCCAGATTTCAGCTGCATTAATCTGAAACGCTGCCTCCCGAGGCTTAGTCCTAACTCTGGGACCAGCAGGAGGCCAGTCCCTGTGCTCCTTAGAGTCCACGTACTTCCTGGTTCTAGTCAGGACTCGATTCGCAGGTCTCTGATTGGTCAATCCTTAGACAGCTCATATCTGGATTTACAAAGACGATATTATAAGTAGAAACCCCAGGATCATAGAGAGCACTAAATCATTTTTTATGACACACACGGTTACAGAGCTAGAGGAGATTAATTCCAGAGCCAGTTGGAGCAAAATTTCACCCATGAGCACTTTCCTATTGGACGTCATTGAGCTAGCGGGTTAGCATCGTCCATTTACGCACAGACTATGAGAAGTGCACGGTCTTGTTGATTGGATAACATTCTTTAATATCAATTTTGAGATTTAAAAAGTACTAAATATATAGTTGTGAACCACCGGTGTCAGCACTTTTCACTTTTTTAGCCAGGAGAAGCACTTTGTATACCCATATTAAAGGCTGTAGAGCGTGTTGGTCACTCTAATGAAACCATCCAAAATACATTATTAACTTTATTGTGTGTCAACAAGAATTTCACGCCAAATTATAACGGGACAGATCCGATTGTTGTTTAGCGTAGCCTGGTTCGAGTGTGTATCTGGAGGGTGGGTGTGTATGTGAGTGTGTGAGTATGTGTGTGTGTGTGGGTGTGTGAGTATGTGTGTGTGTGTGGGTGTGTGTGTATGTGTGTGTGTGTGGGGCCTCAGACTGTTATTAAAAACATCAGGTGTGATTGTCTTCCTCTGTCTCCCCTCAAGGGTTTGATAAATGGATTCCACTTCCTCCTTCACCAAAATACACCTCTGCTCTCTCCGCCTGCAGCTCA